TTATGGATCCAGCATCCACAGCCTTCGGGGGTAGAGAGTTCCAGATTTCCACTAGCTTTTTGTGTGTGTGAAACAAATGCTTCCTGATTTAATTCTTAAACAGCCCAACTCTAATTTTACAGATGATGCCTCTTTGTTCTGGAATCTCCCACCAGAGTAAATAGTTTCTCTGTATCTCCCCGTTCAATCCCTTTATCATTTTATACACCTGAATTAGATCAACCTTCGACCTGGGAGAGCGAGTTATAATAATAGCAATAATGCTTGCTTTTGATATAGCGCCTCGTTAACCCTCGTCTCAAAGCGCTGCACAGAATTCGCTGTAAAGTGTAGTGACTGTGTATTGTGTGGGCAAAACGCGGCAGCCAATTGCGCACAGCAGCGTCCCCACAGACAGTCGTGGATTGAGTGACCAAATTCTTTTTTTTTAAAAAAATTTGGGAGGATTACCCCGGGAAACCGATCCGCCAATTGACTAACAACTGGGTTCCGGGGGTCCTCTCGCTTACGAGGCGAGCGCGCTAACCACTACGCTACAGAGTCGTGGTCTTTCATGGGCTTTGCTATTCCTACCCCTTCCTCCTTCCGTTAACCTTTAGAACCAGAATGTACGTGTTGGTTGCTGGTTCTCCCTTGCGGTTCGTGCACCATCCAGTGACCGTGTGTGCGGGTAACTGTCTGCTCTCACATCGTTCCCGTTTGCTGCGCTCACAACAGAGCTCTGATAGAGAGAGAACACTCGCCATTCTTGCCAAAGACTGTAATCTTACACTGCGCTCTTTGTGGCATGGACATATTTTTCTCCACCACACGCTAACCCCCACCCCCTCCCCACCCTCCTCCGCAAAAACAATAGACCATCTGTTAGAGATTGCTGAGATCTCGCCCTGTTCCCCAAACGCTGACAAATCACTGATAAATCAACGTACAACTCTTGCGTTTGACGCATCGCCTATTGCTGGGTCTCCAAGCGCTTCACAGGGTTTCTAGCTATGAAGTGAGGCGACTGGGCATTTTTGTGAGCGAATGCGCCGGCCAGTTTTGCGCAGAGCGACGTCCCGCAAATAGCTATCACCGATTTTATCTGGGGGATCGCAGGGCAGGACAGCGGGGGGGAGGGAGAGAAAATCCCATCTCTTTTTGGGGGATCTTTTAACGTCCACCTGAGCAGGGTACAGACAGGGACGTTAATTGATTCAATCCCCCCACCACGGGACCGAGCCCGGAGTCTGTGTATAAGCTGGAAACGTTAAACCCTACCCTCTCCTCTTTCTCTGTCTGTTCCACAGTTCCGGAACAGCATCCAGGATATTTTGCCGTGTCTCCCTGCTCAGGATGACCATTACCTTCTGCGTTGGCTCCGAGGTATTGACTTCTTAATAATAATAATAATAATAATCCTTGCGTTTGATACAGGGCCTTATCACGTCGTTGAGACGTCTCAAAGCGTTTCACAGAAAATACTGTAAAGTGGAGTGACTGTGCATTTTGTGGGTGAAACATAGCAGCCAATTGCGCACAGCAGCGTCCTTCTTGTGGATTGAGCAACCAATTTTTTTTGGAGGGATTATTACCCCCAGCAATCGCCAATCGACTTAACAACCACGTTCCTAATTTACTGCTGGGTAAAGGAGATTTTTAATGCCTGATGTGGGGACAAAGAGCAAAGTGACTGAACCTTTCTCTCGTTTCCAGCCAGATCCTTTAACCTGCAGAAAGCAGAGGCGATGATTCGCAAGGTAAGAGACACTGCAATTAACTTAACCCTCCTCTCCCCAGGTTGCCGAGCGTGTGCTCGATTGCTGCTCAGGATGTTGCTGAACGCTGATTTCTTGTTGCGTTCTCAACTCCAATTTTGAAATGTGTTTCCTCCCCGACTGCAATCCCCAGCGTTCAAGCCCGAGTTCCCAATCAGTGAACCCTATTTCTCTCTGCCTGTCACCGGGAGGTGAGTGAGTTAGTGAGCGAGCGAGCGAGCAGCGTGTGTGCGCGCGTGTGCGTGTGTGTGTGTGCATGCCTGCGGGTGTGTGCATGTATGTGCGCGCGCGTGTGTCAGCTCACTTCCACGCCAATGCATCGGTGCTTTGGTCGGGGGTTGCTCCCAGCAGCCCGCAGCACCAATGCATCGGTGTACTCGCTGCGTTCTTCAGCACCCATGCATGGAGTTGAGGCACTGCCGCCTTGCGCCACTGCACCAATGCATAGTTGCGTTGCTAACACACGTGGATCTATACCTCCCTTTAAAAAAGAAATGTTTTTTTTGTGAACCCGGGATAACTTTCCCCCTCCTCTCTGTTTGTAGCACCTGGAGTTCAGGAAGCAGATGAAAGCTGACACACTGACAAAGGAGTGGGACCCCCCTGAGGTAAAACTTTGGACAGCTGAGGGGGTGGTGGGGGGGGGGCGCGGAGAGGCGAGAGGGTAAAAATGGATTTGCTTACTTCACGGCTGTTTGCGGGGACGTCGCTGTACACGTGCTCGTCCGCTAACGCTTCACTTACAAAATACACAGTCACTACACTTCGCCGTCAGCGCCCTCGCCTCGCAAGCGAGAGGACCCGGGTTCGATTCCCGGGGCGCAGCGAAACCGTAGGCAAGTTTCCTCACTCCACAGCACACGCACGCCCACAAAATAAAGACAGTCGAGCCTCTTAACGGTATATCCTGCGAAGCGCTTTGAGACGTCTGAACGACGTGATGTGGATCTATGTCAAATGCAAAGATTATTATTACTATTAATTATTATTAATAAAATCCCACGAGGCGCCGTGAGCCCGCCCGTGATTGTAGATTGTACAACGTCTTGTTTTGTGGGGGGATGGTAAGTGACGCCGACGGCTTGGCTTTTGCGGCAGGTCCTCATCCGCTATTTCGCGGGCGGGATGTGCGGTTACGACAAGGAGGGCAGCCCCATCTGGTACGACGTGATCGGCCCGCTGGACCCGAAAGGGTTAATGTACTCGGTGTCCAAGCAGGACTTCCTGAAGACAAAGATCCGGGACTGCGAGCGGCTGAGAGAGGAGTGCGTGAAGCAGAGCGTCGCGGTGAGCGGACTTCCCTGTCAGCCTTGTCGGGTGCCGTGCGTAGTGCGGTGCTTAGAGCACTCGCCTCGCAAGCGAGAGGATCTGGGTTCGATCCCCAGTCGGGGCAAAACCTTAGGCAAGTTTCCTTACTCCACACACACGCGCCTCAGTTCACCCAGCGGTAACTAGGAACCCGGCTGTTAGTTGTTAGTTGTTCGGTGGATCATTTTTCAGGAGGTAATAATCCGTTTTTAAAAAAAAATGTGGTCACTCAGTCCACGAGCTGCCGTCGTGCGGTGTGAGCCGCCACATTTAGCCCACAACATACACAGTCACTACACTTGTCACTCCACTTCACAGTATGTTCTTTGAGACGTCTCACAGGAACAGAGGAAGAGGAGTAGGCCATTCCAGCCCCTCGAGCCTGTTCCGCCAATTTATAGGGTCGTGGCTGACGGGAAATGGGCGCCGTATCAAACGCAAGGATTATTATTACTATTATTGTTATCAAACTGAAAAAACACGGCGCCATCAGGGGAGAAACACAGAAGTTACTTTTGTTTTAGATCAAGTATTTGCGGACGGAGGCGAAATAAGGAAGTGCGAGTTGTTCGTGTGTGTTGTGTGTGTGTGTGTGCGCGCGTGTGGTGGCGGGAGGCGAGATGGGGGGGAAGGGGCGTCGTTTTGACGATCAGTGCACTGATATCAACTGCTCAGTGCATAGGCATTGGATGTTCCTATAGCAATCAAACCACGCAGATCAACAGCTTCCACACTGCCATAGCCCCAAACCCGAGTCTACCATTACTGCCCTTGTGCTAGGAAGCCCTTCAGCGCATTACTATGTGGAGTCCTGTAGCTTAGTGGGTTAGCAAGTTCGCTCGATAACCTGTCACCTCGCCCTTCCCTCTCCCCACCTCACCCTTCCCTCTCTCTCTCTCTCTCTCTTAAACTCCAGAGTAAGAATCTGTTCTGATCTTTTGCAGCACAGCACAAACATTGAGGCCATCATAATGATCTACGACTGTGAGAATCTGGGGCTCAAACATTTATGGAAACCTGCAGTCGAACTGTACGGAGAAGTAAGTACGGGATCGGGATTTAACACGAGGGAAAAACACCGGGATTTAACGTGAGGGCAAATTAACGACTTCATGTTGTCACTTGTTAATTATAGGGAACAAGTTTGTTATATTATTAGAAAGGTGGTTAGCTGGTTAGACTCCAGCAGTTTCTCCCCAATGCACACCCTGGGGTCCCCCAAACCTTGGCTCTTGCCAACCTGCGCCTATTACTCTCCGGAATTGGGTAAGAAAGATGCATCCCTCCAGGGAGAGAGAGAGAGAGAGAGCGCATTGCATTCCAACAATCTTCCTCTGGAATTTCCATGTGTCGGTAGGGTGCATGCAATTCTCAGTTTGGTTTGGAGACGCTGAAGTACGTTGATGGGTTTTTGCATGTGTCAGACACCCAGCTGACCCCCAAAAAAGCAACCAGAACTTTGGCCAGTGAGTAATCCATTGCCTTTGATGCTTTTCCTTGACCAGGTCCTGACTATGTTTGAAGATAACTACCCCGAGGGTCTGAAGAAACTGTTTGTTATCAAAGGTGAGCAGTAGCAGAGTTGGTGGTTGAGGATCCGGGTTCAATTCCCGGACGGGGCAAAACCTTAGCAGGGGCAAGTTTCCTTACTCCATCTCGCCTCTGGTCACCTAGCATTAAGTAGTTACCCGGTTGTTAGTCGATCGGTGGATCACTTTTTGGGGGGATAATAATCGTTTTAAAAAAAATAATTTGCTCACTCAATCCATGACTGTTTGTGGGGACACTGCTGTGCGCAATTGGCTGCTGCGTTTCGCCCACAAATATACAGTCAATTCACTTTACAGTATATTCTGTGAAGCGCTTTGAGACGTCTCGACAACATGATAAGGCGCTATATCAAATGCAAGGATTATTATTATTATTACTTGGCCCCAATGTTGATTCATGTCCTTAAAGTTGCACCAATTTGGAGCGTTTATAATTTTATGTCTGTGAGGTAATTACTAATCATAATAATCCTTGCATTTGATACAGCGCCTTATCACGTTTTTTCGTGCTTATTTTCATTCTCCGTCTTGTTAATTGTCTTCTCCTTTGGTTCCAGCACCAATGATTTTCCCCGTGGCCTACAACCTGATAAAGCATTTCCTCAGTGAGGACACTCGCAACAAGATTCAGGTCCTGGGAGGTATATTAAAAAAAAAAATCCAACTTGAACCTCGCGCATAAAGTCCGCCGCAAGCCCTGAAACTCTGGAACACTCTCCCTCTATCCCTCCGTCTCGCCCCCTCTTTTGTGATCTTCAGGTCGCACTCGAAGACCATCCTCTTCGACAGCACCTTGGGATGTCCTCCTGACAGTAAAGGCGCTATAGAAATGTAACCTCCCCCCCACCCCCACCCCCTGTCCACCTGCTCCGCCACTGTCAAGCGCTCTGGGACGCTACCCTGCATGAGGGGCCCTGTATGAATGCAATTTGTTGACGTTGTTAAAGAAATGTACCCCAATATCTGAGCTGCAGACAGGGAGCGAGGTTTAACTTCTCACTCGAAGGACAGCGCCTCCAACAATGCAACACCCACCCCAGCACTGCATTGGGGCGTCAGCCGAGACTTGAGAGTTCAAAGTCCCCGATGAGGGACTCGAACCCTTAAGCTTTGATTCAGAATCGAGAAACAGCTCTGAAGGCATCAACTCCCCTGAATAAACACCATTGGTTGAGTTATTTGACTACTGCTACGATTCAAGTGTCAGGAATTTGCATTACTGCACTGCAGTCCCAGTCCACAGCCGTCAGTCAGTCTATGTTGGTCTTACAGGGAATTGGAAAGAAATCCTTTTACAGAACATCGATGCGGCAGAGCTCCCAGTTTATTACGGTGGGACGCTGACAGATCCCGACGGAAACCCAAAGTGCACATGCAAGGTGAATGTTGTCGGGAAGCGCACAAGGGCTGGGTATTTTTTTTCCGTGCGCGCGTGCGCGTGTGTGTATGCGGTGGGGAGGGGCGAGGGGTTCGACCAGGTGTCTGACAAACGTGGAAACCCATGACCATGCTTAAGAGAATCCAAACCAAAATTGCACCTGTGTCTACGTCACCTACACACGGAAATTTATCTGTGACTGAAACGGTATGCGCTCGCTCTCTCGCTCTCTCTCACCCCCCCCCACCACCACCAAGAGCTACACAGGACACATTGGGCCAATTGGCCTTGAAGTTCTGTGGTTCAATGAGCGTCGGTCGCCTCCGCAAACCCCTCCGCAGCGCCGTCTCCAGGCCGCGCAGAGGTACTGCAGCCATCGTTGCCAATAACATTGAGCAATTTTTATTTTTTTAAAAAAAAAATCCTGGCTTTTTGGTTCAACATCTTTCAAGAGGACGTTGCAAAACACGTCGCACGATTTTACCATAAAGCGGAGTGGCTGTGCATCTTGTAAGCGCAACCCGGCAGCCGTTTTTTTTTTTGCACAGAAGCGTCCCACAAACCGCCGTGAAGTAAAAGGAACGATTTATTTTTTTGAAGCAGGGGATCGTTGGTCAGGGGCACCAGGGGGAAAACTCGCTTCCTTTTCCTCTTTAGAACCAGGAACTATTAAAGGATGAGAGAGTGGAATAAGGTGGTGGGGGGAGGGGAGATGTTTAAAAAATGAGCAGGAGAAAGGAGCGAGGTTAGATGTCTTGTGCGGACAACAAAAATGCACAGTCACTACACTCTGCAGTAAATCCTGTGAGATGTCGTCTCGGAGATGTCCTCTTGACGTGAAAGGCACTATATCAGATGCTAGGATTATTTTAAAAAAAGAAACACAGACTCAGTGGATAGAATGGGCCGTGTCCATGCAAAAACATTGTGTGATTCTGTTAAATTTGCAATAACAACTTACATTTACACACAGCGCCTTTCATGCGGACTAGATTCTCAGAGCGCTTTTAACAGCTGGGGAGAAAGGGGAGGTGAACGTAAGTCGTGGTCGGAAGAGGAAAGTCTTCAGGTGCGATCTGAAGACAGGTAAAGAGGGGGTGAGGCTGAGAGATTGAGGCAGGGAGTGCCTGAAAATAATAATAATAATCTGGTCAGTCAATCCACAACTGTTTATCAGACTCTGCTGTGCGCAATTGGCTGCCGGGTTTCGCCCACAAAATATACAGTCAATTCGCTGTATAGCATGAAAAATCGTGATAAGGTGCTTTATCAAATGTAAGGATCATTATCATAATAATAATTATGATAATGATGAAAAGGATGGCCGCTGATGGTGGAGTAGAGGTGATGAGGGGTGTGAGCAGGTTGGAGAATGAAGGGAAATGACACCTGTTATTGTGTCTTCTCATCAGATTAATTACGGAGGTGACGTCCCTAAGACTTATTACATCCGAGACTCGATCAAGCAGCAATACGAAAGCACAGTCACGGTTAACAGAGGCTCCTCACTGCAGTTAGAGTACGAGTTGCTGTTCCCAGGCTGCGTCCTGAGGTGAGGCTGAGCCAAACAGCCCCAGGGCGTGTGTGTGTGTGTGTGTGTGTGTGTGAGTGAGAGGGGAGTGGGGGTGCAGGGAAAGAGGAAAGTGGGTGGAATATCTCCAGATGCCTGAGATTCCCCATGTCGCTCACCCAGGTGGCAGTTCATGACGGAGAGTGCGGACGTGGGCTTCGGGGTGTTTATGAAGACTAAATCGGGGGAACGGCAGAAGGCGGGTGACATGGTGGAGGTGGTGCCCAACCAGCGATACAACAGCCACCTGGTGCCGGAGGACGGGAGCCTGACCTGCCGCGAGCCGGGAGTCTGTACGTAAAGGAGTGGGCGCAGCGCAGAACCCCAGAACGTGATCACGCAGGCCATCACGGTCCAGCGTAGTTGCGCCCACAAATGACACGGTCACTACACTTTACAGTAATATTCTGTGAAGCACTTTGAGACGTCTTAATGAAGCGATCAGGCGCTATATCAAATGCAAGGATTATTATTATCATCCACCAGAATAATCGCTTTACGGGAGTAATTGTCGCTCCCCAAAAAAACCTAAATAAACATTAAGAATTTGGTCGCTCAATCCACGATCGTTTGTGGGGACGCTGCTGTGCGCAATCGGCTGCTGTGTTTCACCCACAAAATATACAGTCACTCCACTTTACAGTGTGTTCTGTGAAGCGCTTTGAGACGTCTTGGAGATGTGACAAGGCGCTAATATCAAATGCAAAATGTTGCCTGTGCCTTTAAGGCTCGCCTTCAGAATTTCTGAGGCTAATGAGTGAGCAAGCGAGCGACTGAGCCAGGCGCTAACTCACGAGATGTACAAAGCGACTCTGAGATTCTATCTTTATTCCTCTCCCCCTTCCCTCCCTCCCTCGTAGACGTCCTCCGGTTCGACAATACCTATAGTTTCATCCATTCCAAGAGAATCAGCTACTCGGTGGAGGTTCTGCTCCCAGATCAGGGGTCCGAGGCCCACATGAACGGCCTGGGGGACAGGACACCACAAGACCCCAGCCTCGGCCACAAGCAATAACCAGCGGAGCGACCTTCAAATCCCAGGGAGCGGCGGGCGATATATCCTTTCTGCACAGATATCGTCTGCCTTTGGTGCCTTGTGTGAAGGACTGACTGTGGACATGGCTGGGTGGTGGTGGGGGGGAAATGGAGAAACCCATGGACAGAGCGAACCAAATCCGCTCCGAAGAGCAGCAGAAGACCCCACACCTTGGTCAAGCCAAACAGGAGAAGAAAAAAAGTGTGGGGTGGGGAGAGACAACAACTTGTGTTTACATGGCGCCTCTCACGTCGAGAGGACGTCCCATTTTTCTTTTTCTTTCGCGCTAAACAAAATTCTGCTGCTTTGCACAGCGAGCGGGGTAAAGGTAAATTATTTACTAACTATGACTCAAAGTTAAATTGTTCACTGCTGTGGATCACACAGCATTGTTAAAAGTATTAACGGATTCAATGGGGGAGCCTTATTCAATGATACATTCTCCTTGGAGACTCTGGCACGATGTGGAATTCAAACTGGAGGGGGTTTGGGGTAGAATGTTGGTGACCCGGGGGATTTGGTGGGTGGGGGGGGATGGGGGAAGAGTGCTCTCTCTTTCAGTGGCTTAATACTGTAATATTTTTATTCCGAAGACAAATCTCTGCAACTGAATGTAATTTTCGTTCTGCTGTTCACACGGTCTCTCCGCTTCTCTCGACAGTAAAACAAACCCTCGCCTCTGCCTTTACTCCCTGTTCTTTGTTAATCACTTGCATTTCGACACACCGCGTAGTAAATAATCCTTGCATTTGGTACAGCGCCTTATCACGTCTTCAAGACATCTCAAGGTGCTTCACGCAATGTACTGTAAAGTGAATTGACTGTATATTTTGTGGGCGAAAATGCTTTTTGTTCAGCGTCGTACCTGCTTTAATGACAAGTGATGTTTTCTTGGCCAACGCAGCAGCCAATTTGCACACAACAACAACAACAAGATTCCATTTATTGAGCGCCTTTCACGGCGGGAGGACGTCCCAAGGCGCTGTACAGTTGGGTCAGGACCCGAGCAGGGGGGAAATGGTCAGGGGGAGGGGAGGGAGTCGAGAGGGGAGCTGAAGGCACGGTCAAAGAGAAAGGTCTTGAGACCGGCCTTGAAGGAGGAAAGGGAGGAAGCGGCGAAGGCACTCGGGGATGGAGTTCCAGAGCCTCGGGGCTGAGAGGCTGAAGGCCCGACCACCGATGGTAGGGCGGTTGGGGCGGGGGATGTGGAGCAGACTGGAGCCAGAGGAACGGAGGGTACGGGCAGGTAAGTAGGGGGATAGTAGGTCAGAGAGGTAGGAGGGAGCGAGGCCGTGAATGGCCTTGTAGGTGAGGGTGAGGATCTTGAATTCGATCCTCTGGGGGATGGGGAGCCAGTGGAGGCGAGCGAGGGTGAGGGTGGGAGTGGTGTGGTCCCAAAGCCTAGTGCGGGACAGTACACGAGCTGCAGAGTTCTGAATGACCTGCAGTGTGGAGGGAGGGCCGGGAAGGCCGGCGAGGAGAGAGTTCCCATAGTCCAGCCTTGAGGTGATAAAGCCGTGGACCAGAGCTTCAGCAGCGTGAGAGGTGAGGTAGTGCCGTAGTCTGGCGATGTTCCAGAGGTGATGGAAGGCGGTGCCAGTTGTAGTGCGGATGTGAGGGAGAAAGGACAGCTCAGGGTCGAACAGAACGCCGAGGTTCCTGATGGCTTTGAGAGGTGGAGAGTGCGGCCTTGGATGCTGATGCCGTCAGCGCCTGAGGTGCGGAGGCGCTGACGCGACCCAATCAGGAGGGCCTCAGTTTTGCGCACGTTGAGCTGGAGAAAGTTATCTCTCGTCCAGGAGATAACAAAGGGAGGGGTTGGAGAGAAAGTGGTGGTGGGGGGGGGAAATCCATATTTGTTTTAAAAATTCTATAATATTTTGATGCTGACCATAGCAAAACTCTCCAACAAAATGTTGCAGCCTCGCCTTTGAGGTTCACCCGAGCTGTTATAGTTTGAGGGGTTGATTTCTCAATCTGATAAATGATAAATGTTCTCCTTAATCTACAGAGCAATGGGTCATCTTTACCTGTGTTAATCAGGTTATTTATATGTGAAAGTGAGTGTGTACACAGTATATATAGACATCTGTGTATGTGTGTACACACAAATACACACTTATGTATAGAGATTATATATACAACCCCCCAATATATACTATACATACACACATACATATACACACACACACACGTGGAGTGCTGTAAGCTCAGTGGTTAGAGCACTCGCCTCGCAAGCGAGAGACCTGGGTTCGATTCCCGGCAGGTCAGGGCGAAACCTTACGGCGAGTTTCCTTACTCCACGCCCGCCTCCCCTCGATGATAACCCCTCAAGAAAAGAAAAAAAAAAAAACACCCCAACAATAAATAAAATCGGTCACTTCAACCCACGACCGCGTGCGCGCGATGGGCTGACAAATCCGTACGGTCAATTCACTCGACGGGGCGGTGCGTTCTGCGGAGCGCTCTGAGACGTCCCGAAGAAGGTGAAAAGCTGCTCTATTAAACGCATATCTATTAAAATTGAGAATATTACACATATTACACACACACACACACACCCACACGTCATGTTCAGCCCTTAGGTTACATTACGTGCGCGATGATGGTGATGGGTGTGTAACTGGAGCAGTTAGTGGAGGGACCGCCTGCCCTGCCATGTAGGGAGGGAGAGGGGAGGGAGATAGAGAGAGAGATAGAGAGAGAGAGACGGAAACAACATCTTTAAACTGTAGACATTGCGAGAACAGCTGATCAGCACCGACTCTCTCTCTCACTCATCGCTCCCACCATGGACCACAGCCACAGGGAGGTGGACACCTACAGAGACACCTGGGTCAGGTATCTGGGTAAGGATGAGGATGGAGGGAGGAGGGAGGGAGGGAGAGTGTGTGTGTGTATGTGTGTCAGTACTGGGGAGGAAGATCTTTACTGTCAGATCAGCCACAAAACATTCAGCTGATGCTGTAACCTGAGTTGGTGGAGGAAGGAATTACCAGTGGCTTTCTCTCTCCCCCCCTCCCACATACACACACACACACTCTCTCTCACTCAATACTGTTTCCTTTTCCAGCAACTACTTCCCCACCCATCTCTCTCCTGGCTTCACCAGCCATTTTTTGTGTGGGTGGGAGATGAAGGGGATCTACTAACTGCAAAAATATGCAGATTAAAAAATAAAGCCTCTTTGGGAGGGAGAGGGTAGAAGAAATGTGTCTGTGGTCTACAGCAAGCCAGAGAGATTTGCATTGGAAGAAAGAAAGAAAGAAAAAAAAAGGGCAGCATAGAATAAGTAAGATAAATCCTGTGGGACGATCCTAGAGCTTTCAGATGTTTGCTAAGGAGGAAGGAACTTGCTCATTGCCAACACCAACCAGTGTGAGTACACAGTGAGCAAGTGAGGGCTTGGCTCTCTGTGTCTCTCCTCTTTAACACTGCAAAGTTCCTCTTTAGCTATTTAAAGCTTCTCCCTTTGCCTCAAGCAAGAACACAGTCTCTCTCCATCCCTCCCCCCCCTTTAAAGACACGTTTGCTGCCTTATTCTTGTTTTTTTGGGGTGGGGGGGGGGTGGTGGGGGAAAAAAAAAAGGAAAACGAAAAGAAATGTTTGGATGAATTTAAATGCACATGTTCTGCAGTTGGCTGCTTTCCTCAATCTCTTGCTCACGCACGCTCCAGAACATCTCAGAAAACAAAATAGATCTTTAAACACAAGAGCAATGTTCGGGGCAGGCTGCGCTTTATACACGGGCCCCAAACCAGTCCTTGTGCCTTTCTCAGCCTCGTATGAGTAAGACTGAGTCAGAGGGAACAGAGAAGGGAAATGATCACAAGCGAATGCTAAAAACAGGTCGAACAAACCGGCCTGCATTCTTTTTTTGTTAGATCAGGTCAAGGGGGAAAAAAGGACAATTCTTGCTTTTAACAAGCATTTCAAGGGATTTCACCTGTAAAGAGCAGTGACTGTGCAGCAGACAATCATGTAACACAGGGGAATGTGTGTGTGTGTTTGTGTGATGGTGGGGGATATTTTAAAGAGATTGGAATCCCCCACCAGTGATGGATGAGACAGAATCGTAGTAGCAAACATCGAGAACAAGACAAAAATACTGAGAGAGGGAGGAGAAAGAAAACAAGCAGATAAAGTGGGACAAGCTGTACAGTTGTCAGAGAGGGTACAGCCCTGTGCTGCGAAAATTCCTCGCAGGACACAGATGACAAACATGGATCAGGTTCCAAAGCAGCTCGGACAGACAGAGGCCAAGAGCTACCCATCAGTCAAAAGTATTCCAACAAAATGTCATTGACATCAGAGAAGGCAGCAGCTGTTTGCTGGCAAAACCTAGGCGCTTAGATCCGCACAAGAGCAAAGGAACTTTATTCAGCAGCAACTGGATCAACCTGGGCAAAATAGTAATACAAAAGAGATATATTTTAAAAACCTTAGGCAACTTTCCTTACTCCACACGCCTCTGTTAACCTCGCAGTGACAATGGCAAATTACATGTGTACAGCGCCTTTCACATCAGGAGGACGTCCCAAGGTCGCAGTCAGGGATCCGCACCAGAGCTGGTGGTTGGGATCAGGCGCTATGGAGGGCGGGGAGGGTAGGGGTAGGAGGGTGATTGGCACAATAGAAGAGGAGGGTCTTGAAGGAGGCAAGGGAGGGGGCGAGGTGGAGGGACCATGGGATGGAGTTCCAGAAGGTGGGGGATAGAGGCTGAAAGCCTGCCCTCCAGTGGAGCGGAGAGGTTGGTAGGGGGTTAGGATGTCACAGAGGTAGGGAGGAGCAAGGCCGTGGAGGGCTCCGAAGGTGAGGACCAGGATCTTGAACTGTATCTTCTGTGTGATGGGAAGCCAGTGGAGTCGGGCGAGGATGGGGGTGATAGGGTCGCGGAGCCTGGTGCGGGAGAGGACACGGGCTGCAGAGTTCTGGATGATCTGCAAAACCTGCGGAGGGAGGAGTTGGGGAGGCTGACAAGCAGGGAGTTTGCATAGTCGAGCCTGGATGTGATAAACCCGTGGATGTTTACTGCAAGGTAAACAGAGGCGTGTGGAGTAAGAAAGTTTTCCTATGGGTTCACCTCACTGGGGAATCAAACCCCGGTCCTCTCGCTCGGGAGGAGTGCTCTAACCCACTACGATAAAGGACTCTGCTCTCCCTCACCCTTAAAAAAAAATTCTACCTGTAGCTTTAGCTTGTTACTCTCAGGATATGCCAATGAGGTTGGTGAAGCATTCCGTGCGCTGGTGCCCGTGGGGCTGGTGTGGGTGTCCTACGGAGTGTCAACTGCGTATGTGACAGCTGATGCTGCAGACAAGGGGAAGAAAGCAGCGGCTGTAAGTTATCGCTACGACCCTCATATTCTTTCTCCCTCACTCCTTTATCCATGTATATTTATTTTGCTTACATCCCCCCTCCATTTCTATACCGTCATCAGCGCGTGAAGGGTACCCAGACCAGCCGCGGTCTGGTTCAGTTCAGGCTCTGCACTGGAGTGACAAGATTGTGCGGTTAAGCCCCACTTTATAATGAAAACACTTGCATTTGATTATAGCGTCTCATCAGGTATTTGAGACGTCTTAAAGCGCTTCACAGGATATACTGTAAACACACAACCACAGATGAATGCAATCGATGTGAAGACAACAACAACTTGCACTTATACATCCTCCTCCACATAGGGCAGTGTCTCAGAGCGCTTAACAGCCTGACTTGGGGGTGAGGGTGGGAGGTGACCTTTAGCACGGTCGAAAATGAATGGCTTAAGGCGGGACTCGAAAAAAGGGGGGAGAGGGGCTGAGGGATTGAGGGAGAGGGTTCCAAAGTTTCGGGGTTGTAGTGGCTGAAAATCAATCCCTCAACATTCACACAAAAGGCAACTAAGAACATAATTTCTAGATAGAAGACCCCAAAGTCCATCTAGATTGCCTTCCACCATCCTGATAGACGCATCACGCACAGGCTTAAAAGTATCTGAACCAAACTGAGAACTCCATCCATCCCACCTACACACGTTATAAAGTCAAACGGTCCAATCCATCTTCAACTTAAAAAAAAAAAAAAATTCCCCCCCCACCCTCCAAAAAAACCTCAGGCTCACGGAGAGAAACCGGGCAAAGTGGCGAGAATTGGAGTTGCTGTGGTGGACACCTTTGTGTGGCAGGCACTGGCTTCAGTGATCATCCCCGGGTTCACCATCAACCGTGTGTGTGCTGGTTCCCTCTGGCTGCTGGGTAGGACCACCAAGCTGCCTCTGCCCATCCGCAAGTGGACAACAACGGCCATCGGCCTGTCCACTATTCCCATCATCATCACGCCCATTGACAGGTGAGGCTCCGCTGGTTTTCTGATTAATGATGCACTTTAGACTTCCCAGCACCCTGGGATATCTTTCCAACGTGAAGGGCACTAAACAAGTGTAATTTTTTTGTTGTTGCAGCTCAGGCCAATTCTTCAGCACAATATTGGGGGAGGGCTGCCAACTCTGGTTGGACTCATTACATGACATAATGGCTTTAACCTACTCAAAACTCATTCACTAGAGAGACAGTCATGTTTAGTCACCATCATAAATCAATTTTTGGGGTCTGACACATGCAGAAACCCCTCAGTCTCCAAACCCAACTGAGAATGCTATGCATCCCACCTACACGTGAAAATTCCAGAGAAATATTGTTGGAATGGAATGCGCACCCTCTCCCCACCCCGGGAGAGACGCCATTACATCATGTTTACCTAATTCCGGAAAGAATTTTTGTTTCCTGGGTTTGCTCGTAGCAGTGTTCAGGAGAAAAAGGGAGCGCACTGGCAGAGGGATGAATCCTTTCTAGCATTAATAATCCTTGCGTTCGATATAGCACCTGATCACATCTTCGAGATGTCTCAAAGCACTTCAGATTATATGCTGTAAAGTGAATTGATTGTATTTTATCTCGACTAGTTTCAAAATGGAAGAGATTTCTTTTGGAAATTAAGATGCATTTAGCACAATCTACAATGTTGTGGTGGAGGGGGGGGCAAAATGCAACACTTAGGTATAGTGTTATGTCACACCATCTCCTAACAACCTGCCTCTCTTCCCTGTTCCAGGTCAGTGGATTTTCTGCTGGATTGTACACTGAGGAAATTGTATGAGGCTCATGACAATACGGATACAAAGAAAAGTTCTTGAAGACCTGTTGTGGGTGAGGGGTGCATGAAAGCAAAAAAGAAAACACTAGGTCTTAAATAAAGCAATAAATGCACTCCAATCTTAGGAGTGCTAGCTTTTTTAAAATGAGAAAAAAAAGCCATATTTTGAAGTGGAAATGATATTAAACACTTTTTTTTAAAAAAATCATCTAAATGTCATATTTTAACATCGGTTTGATGAGAGAAGGAAATTAGCCGTGTGTTTGCACAGGGTGGGTGGGAGGAGAGAGGACAAGAAGGAAGAGGGGGAGGAGAAAGGGAAGAAAAAAAACGTCTTACAGGAGTTTGGGGAGGGAAGGAAATAATTAAATAGCTGATTGTAGTTTATTGGGGAAGGAGGTAAAGAAGATTGGCAAGGAGGTACAAAACCAATCTCAGCCTCCAGTGATGATACCCACAAGACAACGACATGGAAATAGAAGCTACAGGTGTCTTGTATCTCAGTGAGCAGTAACCTTGGGCAGAGCTACTGAATTTGCTGCCCCCTTCCAAGCTGCCATTTGCTCAGCTACAACAGGGCAAAATCCCAGTGGTCCCTACAATCTAGACTAGTTCAGATTCTTTCACACTTGCAAAAAAAAAAATTCTGTGCAACGTTAAAAAATGATACTAGTTTGTGCATTTGAAACAGTAACATCATGTCAAGAGGTCTAAGGAAATGCAGTACTGTAAAGTGGAATACTTGTCTGGAGTACTGGATTATTCGCAGCAGCAAAGTTGGTGAGAACAAGTGCACGGGGTAGGGGAGGGAGAAAATGGTCTTAAGGCTCAAGACTGAAATAAATTTCAGGCCTCTGTCCCCTAGATTAGGAAGCACAAAGCTAGAAACTGAACCTTCAGGTATAGTTTCTGATCAGAAACAGAAAAAAACTGCCCACATACCAGGAATTCTGGACATTTGGATTTTATTTTTGGCGAAAATCAAGACCCGAGTAAAGCACAATTGAACGATGAGTCTTTGGCAAACAGCTTAGTGCAAGTTTCCCAACAAAAAAAATCCAACATTGCCAAGCAATGGGTCCTATGGTGGGCAGTTCTGGTGCTTTTCCATTTGTAAATGCTCAGAAACAGGATCCCAAAGAGACAACCAAGTGGTGGGCAAGCCATTAGGGTCAGCATTCTTTGTGGAACTGTCCCTGTAGAAGGATACAACACCATCAGTCACTGTAATTGTTGTGCACCCAATAATCCCAAATAGTAAGATCCAACTGCTATACAATTAATCCTAATGTACTACACGTCCCAGCGTCGTTCTTTCCTCTCCCACCACACGCTTAATAATAATCCCTCCAAAACTAAAAACAATAATAAATTGCTCATTTTCAATCTACGGCTGTTTGTGGGACATTGCTGTGCGCAATTGGCTGCCGCGTTTGCCCACAAATATGCAGTCAATTCACTATACAGTGTGTTCTGTGAAGCGCTTTGGGACGTCCTCCCGACGTGAAAAGCGCTACATCAAATGCAAGAATTATTATTATTACTAGTCAATTTCTCAGCCCGTTGGTTCAAATGGTCTATACAAGATTTGTATCACACACTAGACAATGATCCATCTCTGCTCAAGACTAACAATGCCCACACCATCCTGCATTGACGTGCAAAAAAAATGAAGTCAAGTCTGTGCAGAGAAAATATTGGAAGGAGGAAAAAAACACTTAAGGTGGGTTGCAGGGGTGAGTAGAAAGCTCCCCCAGAGATTCTTTCAACACATTGAGACAGGAGGTGGGTAGCCTGAACAAGCCCAGAGTTAGTGAGAATGGGATAGGGGGGAAAGGGGAAGAGAAATTCACTGTATACAATTTGAAAACAGAATTAGACTACACACAAGAACCACTGACTAGTGCTAATGCATACATTTGGAGTTACAAGGCATTGGGTCACTTAGAAGCGCTTTTTTAAAAAAAACTACCTTCAACTTTAGAAGAGCTGGATCCTGACCGAAAGTTGTGGACTTGCAATGGGCCGACAGTCATCACATGATGAAGACCAGCTAATTCATGAGGCTCTGGGCAAGGGTAGAAAAGCAAGTGCTAAAAGCTAGTCTCGAGAAATTTTGTTTGTTCGTTTGGTCAGCTGGTTGATTGACAATTGAAAAACCATCACCATTCTTAATAGCATCCAACCAACCAAGAGATTTCCATGCATCGTATCCGAGAGAAAGAAGAAAATAAAGTAAAAGTACCTTTTGCTCGTTTTAGACGATGTCCAGCAGGCTGGCAAGTGGTCTCACAGCAATCACAGAGAGAACTTTGTGAAGGAGCATCCAAGAGTTGCCACCTGAATCAATGATACAACTAATATCAGACAGAAGGGACTTACCTAACACAGGCTGATTACATACAATAAATCTCACTATACTAGTTCAACCTTTTACAACTGTTAGTACAGAGATCGATACAGGATATCAGCTATTAAAAAGGCACCAACCACAATCCATTTCTGCTCAAACCATTTGATTGCTAATTATTACAACCGCAACCTCCCTCCAGGTCCATTACAATAGCAGTTGATGTAGTGCCTTATCAAGTCTTCGCGATGTCTCATAGCACCAACAGATTGTACTGTAAAATGAATTGATTATATTTTGTTGGCAAAACACTAACAAAATATATTAGCTATTTAATATTACTACCTGCTAACATATATGACTGAGGAAATAGCCAGCGTTCTGCAGAGATCACATCCATTCAGCATAAATAATAATAATCCTTGCATTTGATATAGCGCTTTTCACGTCGGGAGGACGTCCCAAAGCGCTTCACAGAACACACTGTGAAGTGAATTGACTGTATATTTGTGGGCGAACGCGGCAGCCAATTGCGCACAGCAATGTCCCACAAACAGTCGTAGATTGAAAATGACCAATTTATTATTGTTTTTGGAGGGATTATTATTAGACGTGTGGAGTAAGGAAACTTGCCCAAGGTTTCGCCCTCTGCCTGGAATTGAACTCAGGTCTCTCGCTTGCAAAGCGAGTGCTCTAACCACTGAGCTACAGGACTCCAAAGTTACCTACCTTCCCGTTAGTCGGTCAAAGGAACATGCTTTGTGGGTGGAATTGGGTTGGTGACTAGGATCCCACACTAATACTGTACAGTGAACATAAACCTGTAAGAGAACAAGGTTAGAGGCACTTAGAGTACAAAGTCAATGCAAGAATACTCATCATCTTGTGACACTGACCCACTGTCTCCTGAGCACAGCACATCAGTCTGGTGGCTTTTTGGACACAACATGAATTGGCATTTGATATAGCACATTATCACATCATTGAGATATCTCAAAGCACCTTACAGAATATATACTGTATATTTTGTGGACAAATGCAGATTACATGTGTAAGAGTTCCCAGCACAGAAGGCCACTCTGCCCATCATGTCTCTTTTCAAGTCCAATCCTTTCAGTCCACTTTACCTGGCTCCCCCCCACACACACCCCTGTAATTCACTTCAGATGCCACCAAATCTCACCTCTGCTTCCCCCAGATTAGTAAACGTGAAGGCCTCCACCACAAACCGCAGACGAGACCCATTGATCCTGGGCAAGAACATTGAACGCGCCGTCTTTCCATCGATAAGACATCTGCAAGAACACACATGCAGAACATCAGTCACATCTCAGTCTGTGCAATGTTCATACTCCACTGAGCACCCACCACTCTATTAAGCGCTCTGAAATACCTAGGGCAAGGTATAAATGTAAGTTGTTGTTGTTGAGTTCCTACTCCTTGTATGCACCAAGTTCCCTCTGAAATACACTGAAGGCTTTTGCTGGAACCAAAGCTTTCAAGAGTGAGTGCCACATACACACCACCATCAGCGCAAGTTGTTACAATACACAACACAAAGCTCTTCTGTTCCAGATGTTTTCTTACCCATGATTGGTTATGATGGTGTAGTTCTTGTGGAGCTGGTCGGGTCCTGGGCTGGGGTGGCAGTGCACTCTTCCACGTAGACCCGGAGAGATTGGTGAAAGGAGGTGATCACAGCAGCTTCAAGATGGATAAGGGTCCCCAGGAAGAAGACATTATCTTGCCTCTCTGTATCCCAGTTATCTAAGATCAGAGAGGGTTTGGTTAGTAAGAGAGACAGCAACAATACTGCTAATCCACACCAGTCCAACATGGATTGGATTCCATAGAGAAGCCAACTTCTCGTAGGAAATTCCAAAGGAAATTTCTCTCCTTAACCCCATCTTCTCTCCAATTTGATGGAAATTTCTCTTAGCAAATTCATCACAAAAGTGACTGATTTCCTTTCTCCTCCCTCCCCCACCCTCCCAAAGAGAAGGTCCATACCCAATGATACAAAGAGTCCAACATCCATTGTGTTTTATGGCCCAGAATCACTCACCTGCCATCACTTTCATTGAGAAGATCAAGCTTCCTTCTCCATCCAGAGAACCAGTCATTGGAAGTGAGAACCAGGGGAGAGCCATCATCTCCCTGTGAACAAATGAGATTCAATTTACTGTTTTAGATCCACGTGCGTGGGGGGAGGGAAATAGATTAATATCAATAATCCTTGCCTTATCATATCACAATGCACTTCACAGGACATGCTGTAAAGTGGAGTGACCATGTATTTTGTGGGGGAAAACTCAACAGACAGCACTCCCCTTACCTTGGATAGTGACATTGGATATCACGGGTGAAAGGTTGCACCTGATCTCTCTGAGGCTGGTACTCAACTTGTTAGAGTACACCACTTCCTTATTGGACACCTGTGAGCAAGATAGAGAGAATACAAGTTAGAGAACACACAATGCTCGCAGGTTCCATTCAAATTTTCAAGACTGAGGTGGATAGATATTGGTTAGGTAATGGTATTAAAGTACATGGGGCAAAGGAGAGTAATTGGAGTCGAGGTGCAGATCAGCCCTGATCTCATAGAATGAAAGAGCAGGCTCAAGGAGCTTTTGACTGGCCTACCCCCGTTCTCATGAGATATAGCACCTTACCACATCTTTGAGACATCTCAAAGCACCACAGGATATACTGTAAAGTGAATTGACTGTATATTCCATGGGCAAAACACAGCAACCAATTGCACACAGCAGTGTCTCACAAACAGTTGTGGATTGAGTGACCAAATTATCATCTACATGTACAAGAAAAAAAAGTTTGAAAGAAAGACAACAAACACAAAAGAAATAAAAAAAGTTCTCACCCACCAGACGTGTAGCTTCGCAGTCCAGCAGGGAGTAGTGGAAGACTATTGTGGCTGTGTTGGGGTTGAAGGCTGAGGGGGAGCAGCCACCCAGGGTGAAGGCAGAGGTGGGGTCCTCATCCATCTCCTCCCCCAAAACCCTCAGCCACACGCTCACCGTCAGTGTGTTGTTGCCGCAGGTGTAACTAGTAGCATTCTGCCAGGCTGAAAGATCATGAGGTTTGTTTTAGAGAGAGAAAGAGGGGGAGTATTGAGAGAGAGAAAGAAAAAAAAAGAGATGAACAAAAAGGAAAAATAGAGAAAAAAAATCCACGCAAAAACAGAAATAGAGCAAATTGAGAGCAAGAGAAAAAACATTGAGAAAAAAAGGAAAAAGTATTGAGAGGAGAGCAAAAGTTGTGAGAGAGAGAGAAAAAAGAAAAAAATAGTATCGAGTGAGAAAAGTACTGAGGAAAAGAGAGAGAGAGAAAAAATATTAAGGGAGGGGGAAAGAGGGAGGAAGGGAAAAAGGAACAAAGTATTGAGCGAGGAAAGTTTTGAAAGAGAGAAAAAACAAAAAAAGAATCAAAATAAAAAGGGTGGAGAGAAAAAAAGCAAATGAGAAAAAAAAAAGGATTGCACAAGAGAAAACAAATTGAGAGAAAGAAAGTGCGTGTGTGAGGGAGTGACACACACAATCCACAATTCAGCGCACAAATAACAGGAGATAAGGCATTATTGTTATTATAATTAATAAGTGATTATAACAAATATACCAACCCTGCAACACTGCGGAAGCAGCTATAGCCAAGAGCAATGCGAGGATCCCTAGTGATAGCATGACCTGAGGCAGACAAGTGAGATGTGATGGGGTGGGCGCCTGCCTCTCACTGCTCTTTTGTAGCCCCCTTTCCCTGTTATTGATCCCAATTGATCCTCAATCACCCGCTTCTCCCTGACACCTGGTCCTGGGGATCGATTAAACCGGTTTCCATTTGGAATCCTGAGGCCTGACAATGATTGACCTCATCATTGGAAAGTGGGGGTGGGGGTAATGAGCCATTACACCCACCCACTCACTCCTTAGTGTTGTGCAGGCCAAAGCTTTTTTTTGTGTAAAGCCTAATTGAATGGACTTGTGTGCTTGTTGGCTGCTAGTTGGCTGCTTATTGGCTTCTCTTCCCTTCCCCCCGTCCTGTGCACCTAACACCCCCCCCTCCATCCATCCCTCCCTCTATATGTTGGTCATTCACTTGTTCCAGCCACTGAAACTCTAGAATCCTCCCCCCCTATTTTCAGGTCACACCTGAAGACCTTCCTATTCAACCATGCCTACGGTCCCCTTCCCCCAACTCGGAGTCATGCTCCACCACTGTCAAGCGCTCTGGGACACTCCACTGCATGAGGGGGGCGCTATTAGAAATGCAAGTTGTTGTTGTTGTTGTTGGCTGATTGCTGGGAAGTTGGGAAATTGATGTGCTGTTGTGAGGTTGAGCGCTGCAATGTTGGAGGTGCCGTCCTTCAGATAATCCATTGACCCGAGTTCTCGCCCGCCTCAACAATCCCTTGACACCTTTGCAAGAGAGAAGGGACTTTCTCCTCTCCCAAGGTCCTGGCCAACAGTCCTCCAGATAATTGGCTGTCGCGTTTCGCCCACAAAGTACACGGTCACTCCACTTTACAATATATTCTGTGAAGCGTCTTGAGATGTCCCAACAACGTGATAAGGTGCTGTATCAAAAGCAAGGATTATTATTAATTATTAAAATCCTGCAAAGTGCTGTGAGGCATCCTGACCACTCGCTTGTAGATATTATAATGCCTTCTTTCAGTCGCAGAAATGAGGTCCGTATAACAAATTACTACAAAAAGGTCACATTTTATTGAATAAATTACATGGCCCACGTAATGTACACGCAAAGACAGAACATGTTCGAACATCAATGCTCTTTGCATTCAAGAAGAAGAGTGAAACAATCATATTATTTCCAAATTGATCTCGAAGACAAATGACTAAGTGAAATTGCAAGCCTGTTGGATATGTAAGTGATATAGCGAAGGGTGGGGTGGGAGAGAATTAGTCCTGGGTTGGTTTGGGGATGGTATGTGCAAGATTCAATGAAAACCCCCAAACCCAATATTAAACTGGCTCTGAAATTGAGTTCATTGAACATCCGGTTCTTTGTTTGTGCTCTCAAGGAAAACAGCTCGTTTCCTATGGATTCCCTTTTCACCCGTGTGTGTGTGTGTGTGTGTGTGTGTGTATGTGTGTTGTGGGGGGGAGGGATGATGCTCTAATCATGAAGTATAGAGGGAAACTTGCAAAAAATACGAAGACACAAGAGATTGTGGGTGACAATAGTCAAGAAGTGGGGTTTGAAGACGTTTGGAATCAAAATGAATAATTTTCACCAAATAAAAAGGAAAGTGATGTCTAACAACTTCAGGTCAATACACAGAACTGAAATTAGTTTAACGGACACATTTCCTTCTGTTACACCAGGATCTCGTGGGTCTGGATATCCGTCTGTCCTGCCTTGTAATCCAGGATTATCAGAACATGTTGAAATGGTCTGAAAACATTCCGCTTTGCAGTGCGAGTGGGATTCATTCGGAAACCTTGGTCTTAGAGGTAGTTTCGATGGAGTTGTGAAGTGGGGGGTGGGGGGGGGGGGAAATTATTAAAGATTATGTAAATCCAAAAAGAGAAGGGAATTTCTCTCTTTCCCCACACCCACCTTGTGTCCTGGCCAACAATCCTCCAGATTAATTGTAGTGTTAGCCTCTCTGAAAGGGTGCGTTCCCTTCGTCTCGCATAGGGAATCCCAGTCCGTAGTCTCACTTGCCTCCATCAAGGCCCGTCTCAAGACCCTCTTCTTTGACCGCGCCTTCGGTCATCCTCCTACCCCTACTTTCCCTGCCCTCCATTCCTCCTGATCCCAAGCCCCAGCTCGTGTCCAAATCCCTGACTGTCCAGTGCCTTGGGATATCCTCCTGATGCCTCAACCCACTTTGAAACAATCTGCGATGATTTGGCTAGTTGGGACTAAGGTCCACCAGTTCACCTTCCACTATCCTGGCAGGCTCATGACATGTGGTGCCCCAAACTATATATTGTATTCTCTAAGATATTATTTCCTGTAAGAACATATAAGAACACATTTGCGCCATTGGCTAAGTACCAAATGACTTATTGCTACTGCATTTACACAGGACTGTTCATCTGTCGCAAAGACAAAGCCCTCTGAGACGCTACCCTGCACGGAGGGCGCTCTATATGTGCAAGTTGTTGTTGTTGTTGTTATTGGCTTTAAACCAGTGTAATAAGGAATGGTTATGAAAGTTCCCACAAATTACTTTTACAAGAAGTGACGGCAGTGGGCAACTTGTTTTTACAGTCCTTCCGCAAATAAGAACAATAAAAAAAAACTCTTGGCTATTTGACTGTGTTAACGATCGAACGAGGAGGGTTCATCAGAAACTTGCTTGAGTTTCACGTGTCGTTATTGTCCGAGAGTCTGATCCCTGCTTCGGGTACGGTCACCGTGACAACGCAGAGATCTCCGAGCTCAGACACCGAAGAGGTTCTTCCAAGTCACAGTGGCTGTTTTGTAATCCCTTCCCAAGGGGTCGGGGGATGGGTTGGGGTTGAGAGCTGAAGGGGCAAAGGGTGAAGGGGAAAAGGGTGAGGGGGCAAAGGGTGAAGGGGCCTCTGGAATTGGACACGAGGGGGCAGTTATACGGACGAGCGAGCACCAGCAAAAGCTTGATGTAACCGAATGGCCTCCTCTTATGCTGCAGTCTCAGTGATTGTTCCTGGTGAAGTCTTAGGCCCACCAGATGTTGGACTTCACAGCGACTTGGGGACAGGGAGGGAGGAAGGTGGGTGCTCGCTGTATGCCAGCCCAGGTCGGTGCCACCTACCAATCTGGAGCGTGACAAAAAAAAAAACAGGGACAATACAGTCCTACGAATGTGTCTGTTAGAGTTGGGGATTGGGGGCGGGGGTGGGGGGGATGAGAGGAGCACAGACAAACCCAGAGAGGTGAGATGGGCGAGTGGTGCCCCCACCCCTCTCCTCCCCCCCCCCAATCTCCTAAAGGGTAGCTACCACTTGAGCAGGTCCCTGACCCGCGCCCACAGCTTGGTGAGCCACAGGTTGACCCCGAGTTCGGTCAAGTACTGGATCTCGGGGGTCAGCATCTTGCGGCACAGTTTGCGCTCCTTCTTGCTGATGTTGGTCTTGAGGTTGTAGCCCATGATGGAGCGCTCGCCCAGCGGCTGCCAGGGCTTGAGAGACGCCTCCTGGATGGCGCTGGCGTCCACCGCCCGTCCGCCCGCGATGCAGACCGAGCGCATGGCGTCGTTGACCTTGCGGAGTTCCGCCACATCCCTCGCCATGCGCTCACGCCCGTACCGTTCCACCTTGGCCCAGAAGGTGCTGTTAAAATGCCGGTAGAGCAAGGCATCGATGGCGTTCCACTCGGTGGCCTGACGGTACAGCTCTCCCGTCATGCGGGAGACGGTGGAGTCCTTCCTCACGTTGAGCTTGAAGTAAAGGATGTCTTCAAAGTCCCAACACAACAGCTCCTTGAGGAGGACCAGAGACTCGTCAAAGTGCTCGAGAAGCATCACCAGGTGGAACCGCTCGTCGATGGCTCTGATCCCGCCCAGGACCCGGGGGTCCTCGGGGCTCAGGTTGTTGTCGAAACCAAAGTCGAAGAAGAGCAGGTTCTTCAGGTAATGAGCGTTGAAGCCGTTGGGGTCGTAGTGTCTCCAGGGGTCTCGGAGGAACTCCCCCAGTTTGTCCTCGCTCCCCATGGTCCAGGTCAACGGGATCACCCGCCCGAAGTAGTGGAGAGAAGACTCGAAGAGATCGGCCGGGTCACGGAGGATCGTGAAGAAGATCGAGTCCTCGGGCAGGATCTTCCTCACTTCTTCATAGTTGAACCTCATGTGGTTGCAGATGACATTGAAGCACGTCCCAGGGCGGTAACCCTTCACGTGGCTCCGGTCGAACCGTGAAGGGTAGTAGAAGTCGTTCCTGCCGTTGGGAAACGCAAACTTGAGGCCGTGTTTCTGCCCGAAGCGGAACAGGATGTTGAGGATGGTGCTGCTGCCCGTCTTGTGGGTCTTCATGAACATGATGTCCACCTTTGGGCTGCAGATCGCCCTCGCTGCCCCTGTGCCCGCCAGAAGTGAGCCGTTGGCCCTGGACACACTTCGGGAACGAGCCCGCTTAGAGGAGGAGCAGGAGAAAGGAACGGGAATCCTGTCGGAGAAAGTCGGAACATCAAGTCAATAATAACGATAATTTCGCCCACAAAATATACGGTCAGTTCACTTTGCAGTACATTCTGCGAAGCGCTTTGCGGCATCTCAAAGACGTGATAAGGCGCTATATCAAATGCAAGGATTATTATTATTATTCATAATAATTATTATTATTCATAATAATAATACCTCAGGTCATTGAGATAAGGCGCTGTATCGAATGCAAGGCTTTTTTTATAGTAAAGTGTAAGTAACTGTGGCTTTTTGGGGGTCACTGAGTGTCTGATACATGCAGAAACCCATCATCATGCTTAATAATATAATAATCGTCCTCGCATTTAACATTGCGCCTTATTGCGTTGTTGAGACGTCTCAAAGCGCTTCACAGACTATAACGCAGTAAAACGCAGTGACTGCGCATATCGTGGGCCGAACACGCCAGCTAATTGCGCACAGCAGCGTCCCAGAAACGGTTGTGTATGAGTGACCGCATTTTTCTTTTTATTATTCCTTTTGGACGGATAACTACCCCCGGAAAACGATCCGCCAATTTACTAACAACCGGATCACAGAGGCGTGTGGAGTGAGGAAACTTGCCGAAGGTTCGGCCTCGCCTGGGAATCGAACCGAGCGCTCTCGGGAAGCGAAGCGAGCGCTCTAGCCAGTCTCAAAGCGCTTCACAGGATAATAATAATAATAATATTATATTAATATTAAGGATACGGCAGAAAGAGGTAGAGAAACAGCTGAGCTGTTGCAAGGGAAGTGTGGGCGAGTGACCAGCAGAGAGCACTCTCTGAGCATTTTTTTTCCCACGTTGAACATCGAGTGATCTCAATTCCCTGAGGAGCCAGAATGGATTCAATGAGAGTTCTTCACTCTAAGCGTTGGTAGTCCTCAGTTGTATATTTATCCCAGCAAGTACGAAGGTGCGCACTATTTTTCTTTATATATAAAGCAAATGCGCATTTACAATTGACGTCCTCCCGACGTGAAAGGCGCTATACAAATGTAATCTTGTTGTTATTGTTCGGAAGGAGATTAGAGAAGGGAGTTTCTCTCCCAGCGTCAACGGTTTTCCCCTCCCAAACCCCGGATAAAATCTTGTTCACTTCACGGCTGGTCTGCAAGGTCGTCGCTGTGTGCAGAATTGGCTGCCGCGTTTCGCCCACAAAATACGCAGTCACTGCACTTTAGAGTGTATCCAGTGAAGAGTTTTGAGATGTCTCGACGACGTTATGAGGCGCTGCGTCAGTCGCAAAGATCATTACTATTATTATCACCGCGTTAAGAAGGCGTCTTTCAGGTCGGGGAGGGGGTGGGTCTCAAAGGGCATAAGATGGTTGAATGCGATGGAGGGGGAGAGGGAGGTGTGATGGTGGTTGATGCTTGCAGGGAGGTGGGGGTGGAGGGAGAGAAATGGAAAGAGGAGGCGTGGAAAAGGGACATCTTACGAGGGAGCTTTGAGGACAAGGTACAAAGGGGGTGGGGGTGGGGGAATGAGTCAGAGGGGGAAAGGGAGAGGCAGACAGACTCGGGGATGGCGTTCCAGAGAGCGGGTGGGGTGGGCGGCGGGGGGGGTTTAAGATGAAATAAAATGAATTAAACACGAAAGACTTACTCTTGCGAGTTGTATTGGCGAGGAGGCATGGTGTAGGAATAGAGCAGAATCATGCAGCTGGTGAGCAGTGTGCCCAGGATAAGACCTTTGCACATCGATTTCCATTGCTTTCCAGGCTTCAACATAGTCTGGGCTCGGCCTTTGGTTGACTGGCAAAGATGATGCATCGGTCAAGCCCAAGCCAAGCCAAGCCAGGTCAGGTCAGGTCAGGTCAAGCCGCGTCAAGGGTCGAGCACCGAGATTGGGAGTTGAGTTGAGTTGGGCGATGAGTAAAGGAATGAGACCCGAGCCCTGTAAATCAGAAGGTGGGGTGGGGTGGGGTTAGGTCACAATTTACACAGCTTTCTCATCATTCCTCTACCTTTACTCCATCCCTCCCTCCCCCTCCCTCCCTCTCCATCTCTCTCTCACACTCCCTCCCTCCCTCCCTCCCTCCAGTGAGTAACCCACATTGCAATGGGAACCACCAGTAATTTCAGTGCTTATTATAATGGACTGAACAGCACAACACAGAGAGAGCGTCACAATGACTGTCTGAGCCCCAAAGTCGACCACTGATGTTCTGTTTGGGTTCTGGTTCAAGAGGTATAGAGGAGAGTTTGGGGTCATTTTATTTTTATATACCCACAGGTCCAGAGAAGATGGTTAAATCTGCACACAAACCAAACACAGGATATCTCTGACTCTACTCAACTCTGCCCCTGGACTGACTGACCAGGTCCTTACAGTCTTGACAGAGGGGAAAGAGAGAGAGAGAGAAAGAGAGAGAGAAAGAGAGATGGACAGAGAGAGAGAGAGAAGAGAGAGTGTGTGAGAGAGAGAGAAAAAAGAAGAAAAGAAAGAAAGACAGAGAGTCTGACAGAGGGGAAAGAGAGAGAGAGAGAGAGAGAGATGGACAGACAGAGAGAGAGAGTGTGAGAGAGAGAGAAAAAAAAGAAGAAAAGAAAGAAAGACAGAGAGTTTGACAGAGGGGAAAGAGAGAGAGAGAGAGAGAGAGTGTGAGAGAAAAAAAGAGAGACAGAGAGATGGAAAGAGAGAAAAAGACAGACAGACACAGAGAGAAACCGACAGCCCACACCCACACCCACACTGAGGACATTCTGGAACAAGTTGTTTTATCTTTTTTTTAAAAAATTACATATTAGAAATATGATTCTGATGTATGATTTTGCTGTAAAAACCCGGAATTAAACCCAACCCCTGGGATCACTGACACACACACACACACACACACTGACACACACACACACACAGACATACACACACTGACACAGACACACACACACATTGACAGACACACACACACTGACAGACACACACACACAGACAGACACTGACACACACACTGACAGACACTGACACACACACTGACAGACACTGACACACACACACACTGACACAGACACACACACACAGACAGACACTGACACACACACTGACAGACACTGACACACACACTGACAGACACTGACACACACACACACTGACACAGACACACACACACACACACTGACACACACACTGACACATACACACACACACACACACACTGACACAGACACACACACACACACTGACAGATACAGACACACACACTGACAGACACACACACACTGACAGACACACAGACACTGACAGACATACACACACTGACACACACACTGACAGACACACAGACACACACACACTGACAGACACACACACACTGACAGACACACAGACACACACACACTGACAGACACACACACACTGACAGACACACACACACTGACAGACACACACACACAGACACTCACACAGACACTGACACACACACACACACACACTGACAGACACTGACACAGACACTCACACAGACACTGACACACACAGAGCGGCGGAGCTCTGTATCACAGCGATTCCTGTTTCACGAACCACAGCGCAATATATCGCCCTCAGGAGCGCCGCCGTTTATTTTGCGCTCTTACGATAACAGGATTCGCTGTCTCACAAGAAGCGAAAGGTGTAATGTCAGAGCTGTGGCGAACACACGGCCCCTCGTGGGGTCACACCATCAAATACATAAACACAACAATCTAAAAACCACAGCAAAATAACACCTGTTGGTACAGAGAGGGACAGAGAGGGACAGAGAGAGGGACAGAGAGAGTGACAGAGAGAGAGGGACAGAGAGAGAGGGACAGAGAGAGAGTGAGAGAGAGGGACAGAGAGAGAGTGAGAGAGAGGGACAGAGAGAGAGTGAGAGAGAGGGACAGAGAGAGGGACAGAGAGAGAGGGACAGAGAGAGAGGGACAGAGAGAGAGAGAGAGAGAGTGACAGAGAGAGGGACAGAGAGAGAGGGACAGAGAGAGGGACAGAGAGAGAGTGAGAGAGAGGGACAGAGAGAGTGACAGAGAGACAGAGAGAGACAGAGAGTGACAGAGAGAGAGTGACAGAGAGAGAGGGACAGAGAGAGAGTGACAGAGACAGAGAGAGAGTGACAGAGAGAGAGTGACAGAGAGAGTGACAGAGAGAGTGAGAGAGACAGAGAGAGTGACAGAGAGAGTGAGAGAGACAGAGAGAGAGTGACAGAGAGAGTGACAGAGAGACAGAGAGAGAGTGACAGAGAGAGTGAGAGAGAGACAGAGAGAGAGTGACAGAGAGAGTGAGAGAGAAAGTGAGAGAGACAGAGAGAGAGTGACAGAGAGAGTGAGAGAGACAGAGAGAGAGTGACAGAGAGAGTGACAGAGAGAGTGAGAGAGACAGAGAGAGAGTGACAGAGAGACAGAGAGAGTGACAGAGACAGAAAGAGAGAGAGTGACAGAGACAGAAAGAGAGAGAGTGACAGAGACAGAGAGAGAGTGACAGAGAGACAGAGAGAGAGAGAGATCCTTCCATTACAGCAGCGACACTCACCCCCTGTCCTGTCCTGTCCTGTTCTGACCCTCTGTGTCTCAGTCCCTGTCTCTGGTCTCTGGTCTCTGTGTCCTCTCCTCTCCTCCTCTCTCTCTCTCTCTCTCTGTGTGTGAGAGGGTTGTGCCCCCCCCCCCCCCCGGGCAGTGACAGGCAGTCACTCCGCAGCCCCGCCCGCAGCCCGAGTCCTAACAGCTGTGTGTGTGTGTGAGTGAGTGTGTGTGCACTGTGTGTGTGTGTGCAGTGTGTGTGTGTGCACTGTGTGTGCATTGTGTGTGTGTGTGCACTGTGTGTGTGCACTGTGTGTGTGTGCAGTGTGTGTGTATAGTGTGTGTGTGTGCACTGTGTGTGTGTGCACTGTGTGTGTGCACTGCGTGTGTGTGTGCACTGTGTGTGGGTGTGCAGTGTGTGTGTGTGCACTGTGTGTGTGTGTGTACAGTGTGTGTGTATAGTGTGGGTGTGCAGTGTGTGTGTGTGTGTGCAGTGTGTGTGGGTGTGTGCAGTGTGTGTGTGTGCGCACTGTGTGTGTGTATAGTGTGTGCAGTGTGTGTGTGTGTGCACTGTGTGTGTGCAGTGTGTGTGTATAGTGTGTGTGTGTGTGCACTGTGTGTGTGTGTGTACAGTGTGTGTGTATAGTGTGTGTGTGCAGTGTGTGTGTGTGCAGTGTGTGTGTGTGTGTGTGCAGTGTGTGTGGGTGGGTGTGCAGTGTGTGTGTGTGTGCAGTGTGTGTGTGTGTGTGCAGTGTGTGTGTGGTGGGCGGTGGGGAGAGAAACACAGAAACACACACACATTTATTTATTTGTTTGTTGATTGATAAATAAATAAATGGTAAGATTTCTTTTCATATATGTATGTACCTATTTGCACACATTAATAATCCTGGCATTATCACAATAAAACGAATAAAACGTATCCATTAATCAATCACAAATGTATTGACTTACATATGGAAATATATATACACACACACACACATATATATATATATATATATTCATAAACAAATTATATATTTGGAGCTCAGTGTTTTAGAGACCCAGAGACCTGGGTTCGATTCCCGGCAAAATATTGGGTGAGTTTCCTTACCCCACACGCCTCTGTTTAGCAGTAAGTAGGATCCCGGTTATTACTCGATTGGCAGATCGTTTTTTCCGGGGATAATAATCCCTCAAAAAAAAATTTTTTTTAAAATGTAGTCACTCTGTTTTAGTCACAACTGTTTGTGGGACACCGCTGTTCGCAATTGGCTGTCGGGTATTGCCCACAGAATATACAGTCAATTCACTTTATGGTACAATCCTGTAAGCGATATAAGTCCTCCGCCTTCCCAGCTCCCAGAGAGTCAATAAACAGTTAATTATTGTTAGTGACTGTTATATTTACTTGTGTACGTATCAGTTAACAGCATCGATAATACACTAATGTATGTGTTATCGGTCCTCAGGATTGATCTGTGTTGCCTGTTAAAGCCGATTGGGGATCGTGGAGCAGTGTACTGGTTAGGGCACTCGCCTTGCGATTCCTGTGGGGTGCGGGTGGGGGGTGGGGGGGGTGTTGCGTAACCTTAGGAAAGTTTCTTTAACCCACACACCACTGTTTACCTAGCAGTAGCTAGCAACCCGGTTGTTAGTCGTTTGGTGGATCGCTTTCCGGGGTGTAATAAGCCCTTCCCCCAAAAAATTTGGTTCCCCCCTCCCCTCAATCCATGACTGCTCGTGGGGCACTGCCGTGCACAATTGGCTGCCGCGTCTCGCCCGCAAATATACAGTCAATTCACTTTACAGTGTGTTCTGTGAAGCGCTTTGGGACGTCCTCCCGACGTGAAAAGCGCTATATCAAATGCGAGGATTATTATTATTATTATTATTATTATTCTGTGAAGCGCTTTGAGACATCTCGATTACTTGATAAGGCATCAAATGCAAGGACTGTTATTACATATAATAACCAGCCGAGCTGCTTTGCGGTAGTTACCCAAACAATTTCCTCTTGAGTCATACGATCCATTCCCTCAAGACACAATTTATCTCTCTAACAGCGCCTATCACGTAAATGAAACGTCTCAAATCGCTTGATAGAATAAAAAATACCTGTATCGAATTTCACTCGCACACTCAATCCAACCCTTCTGCACGCCTGAATTTGGCAATCATAGGCCAGGCCATGCGTTAGCAGCAATTTAAAAGCTCCCCCTTCCTGGGACTCAGCTGGAAAAAAGCTTTCCCTCGGAAAAACCCTGGGGGAGGGGGGAGAAGGGGTAAGTGCGGGGGTTTGTACGAAAGCCACTCGGAGCCGAAGGCAGAATTTGCAACGCTTCGTGACCAGGGAGACGAGATTGGGACAAAAACGGTGTCTGTGAAGAATCAAAGAATCTGATAGTGTAGAAGGAGGCCATTCGGTCCCTTTGTGCCTGTGATGGCTCTTTGAAAGAGCTATTCAACGGATGACAATCTCCCGCTCTTACCCCCTTAGCTCTGCAAAAAAAAGAAATTCAAATCACTTCAGTTCAAAGGCTCGATCCTTGCACACACATTAATGTATTATTGATACTGTTAACTACAGTGACACATGCACAAATAATATAACATTATTATTACAGTATACCCACAGTAATATATACATAGGGTAACATTTCCTATTTACTAAATAAGTGCATTTTAAAAGCTTTCACAAGCCCTTTGAGACAGGAAAGGCGCTGTATCAAATGTAAAGATTATTATTATTATTATTATGCTACTATAACATTTATCAAATGCCATTTCGAAGCGTCAGCCCAGATACCCAATTTTGCGACGCGCGGAAGAAAGTTTATAAACAAACCGACGATAAAACAGTTGCCAACAGTGCAGGAATTTTTTGTGTTTGCTAACATTTTTCAGTGTCTGCTCACAAAATCGTTATTGTTTTTTTTTTGTGCCCAGATTTACGCCTATGTTCTCAAAAATGCCAACTATGCTGGAGAAATGTTAGTTACAATGTAAAACTGCCGCGTGCCGCACCAGATTCCCTTCCACCCACAGCCCCCAACACACACCGGCTTTAAGAGCCTTGACGTAACATTCCTCCGCGTTGACGTGTGTGAAGACACAACTCTGCATCGGAAAAGTCGGAGAATTCTGGAATGTGGGAGAGAGGGAGAGAGAGAGAGAGAGAGAGAGAGAAACGGCACTGATGTTCCTCGAGTAACAAATTGCAATCTCAGTCCTCGCTCCCCCCACCCACACTTTCTCCCCCACCTACTCTCTCACGTTCCGCGAGTCACAGGGAATACATTATTATTATTATTATTATTATTATTATTACAAGCTGTCCCTGACCAACTCAACGTCACTGTCAGTCACTCGGTGCCATCTCCGATGAGGTTTATTCTTAACATAACATAACATGTAGGAGGAGGAAGAGGCCATTCGGCCCTTCGAGCCATTCGATCGTGGCTGATCTTCCAATCTAACTCCAGCCAATAACATAACCCTGCCTTAGCCCCATATCCCTTAATCCTTTTTGCAATAAGGGTTAAGCATTTATACAGCGCCCTTCGCAGTGGGGTAGCGTCTCCGAGCGCTTAACAGAGGCAGAGCCGGATGCCGAGCCGGGGGGATTGGTGGGGGGGATGGGGGGGGGGGGGGGGGGAAGGGAGGTGACCGCAGGCAAAAAGGAAGGTCTTCAGGTGCTCTCTGAACACATTCCGATCAGGTGCAAAGGAAAAAGGCGCCATATCTAATGAAATTCTCATTATTTCTGGTGAAAGTGATTCCGCCACATGCACGCACACGCACAAACACAACACTGCGGAGTTGATTTGCAACTCAGGTGTTAAATATTACCCCCCACACCCCCACCCCCCCCCCCCTCCCACCCCGTCACTCCGATCAGCGGGTTAACTGTTCGGCCACCCGGGTGACTTGAGACGCTTAAAAACAAAAGGTGGTTCAATGATTAACAGTTTTATGTCGTCAATGAAAATACGTTTGTGGGATATGGATGGGATATAATGTGTGTGTGTGTGTGTGTGTGTGGGGGGGGGGTGGTGGGGGGGGGATGCGGACTGGGGTGGGGAAAGAAGTCAGATTAAAAGTGCGTCTAGTTCCCAGTTTCCAAGGCGGTGAAGCGGTTCAGCACTGGCAGGACTTTATAATCCTGTTTTTTTTTTCTCGTTACTCGTATCGTATCTGGGGCCATAACATTTACATGAAAACCTACTGACCTTTTTAGTTTACCCACTGTATTGGGGAGGGGTTTGCCAGGGCTGGCTTCAAGGTAATTCACACAGGTAATTTCTTTCAGGCGAGTAATAACAAATTAATAACAATTATCCCTCCGCGTTCGGTACTGCCGGCAGTTTCCACGTGCGTGAAGACGTCTGGAGATTTTAACTTTGCATTTGGCTGTCAATTTGCGTATAGCGACGTCCTGCCGACAGCCACGTAGGTGAAAGATTGATTTTATTGTGTGTGTGTGTGGGGGGTGGGGGGTTGTGTGGGTGGGGGAAGAGAGGGACCTTCGTCTTTGGACCTTCCCCTCTGCGACGTCGTGCTGCACACTGGGACGCTACTTTGCACGAGGGGCGCTGTATAAATGCAACTTATTTTGGTTAAAAAGTTGCACTAACTGCAAACAACTGTTGCATGTTCCACTGTTCATTGGAACAGGTCGTCTTTCGTCTGATTTTGAATCCACAATGGACACACACGGTGGGCCGAACAGCTTTCTTCTCTGCTGTGAATTTCTAGGTCGGCCATTCTTACCGGCGAGGATAAAATAGCGGCAAGGCAATTATTATTCTGCAGGAAGTTTTGCTGCACGGACTTTGGGCAATAAACACAAACTGCAACTTCGCACGCACTGCAACCATAAACCCGCGCAGCGGTTGTGTGCACGGCTGACATTTCCCCCCAGTGGTTAAGTCGCCCCAAGTGGTTAAGTCGCCCTCAGAGAGGTTTTCGCTCCCTTAGTGATCCTTGCAAAGGCAACGCAGAATTATTGCGGTGCTGAGAACCCGATGTGGTAACATGACGGCCTCTGGTGCAAACGCAGAAAGCGAGTCAATGGCGAGGGCAGAGAGGTTCAACGGGGCAGCGAGTGAGCAAAATGCTCGAGGAAGCTTGACACCACTTGGGTGAGATGAAAGTCCAAGATAAGGGGACTTGGAACTATTGCCATCGGGGAAAAGTTCAGTCTGAAAGGATCCACCCAGTTGTACTTGCTCCGCACCAACCTGCCCACTCCCTCCACTCATGTACCCCTCCCTGCCTGCCCAGCATCGGCGGTTGAGCCTTCAGCCTTTCCGCGCCCCCCCCCCCACCCCCACTCCCCTCTCATTTGGAACTCAATCCCAGTCCCTTCGCCTCGGCCCCATCTTTGCCTCCTTTAAGTGCCGTCTCAAGCCCCTCCTCACCGACCGTGCCTTCGGTCACCCTCCTACCCCTACCCTCCTCCCTCCTGAAACCCAACTCCCAGCTCAGGTCCAAATCCTTGACTGTCCGGCCGCCTCGCGATGTCCTCCAGTCTTGAAAGGTGCTGCGTAAATGTCATTTGTTCTGTTGTTCTTCTATAGAAGACTGTGTCTTCTCTCCGGTGCCAGAGGATCTTCGCCTCGAGGCTCAGCCGGTGTTCTGTCACCCGGCACAATTTAATTGAAAGCGAGCCACCCTGTGGAACTCACTGCTTCTCCAGGTGCTGTCTGCACACCATGAGCGAAGCTCTCTCCTCTACACTGGGAGCTGCACAAAGACAGGGGATCCTCTCCCATCCCCCCCTCCTTCCCTCATCCAGTGTATATTTCGGCACAAAATATAGTCGCTCCACTTGACGGCATATCAAAACACACAGGCAATCCACTTTACAATATATTCTGTGCAGTGCTTTTGAGACGTCTCAACGACATGATAAGGCGCTGTGTCAAATGCAAGGACTATTATTATTACATACTCCAGGCAAAGTGGCTATAAACTAGCTGGGGGTCTGATACCAGGTCTTGTGTGGATCATAGAATGATCTGATGAGAGGATCATCAGGTGAAACAGAAAAGGGGGGGAATGAAGGAGTGCAGTTCACAAATTCTAATACTTTATTTTTGTCCTGGGTTTATTTTGGTAATTCTAGTACCTACCGATGGCTGCATTTTTTTTTAAAATATCATCGTTTTGAAGCAATGCGACTTGGTACAAAATAAAATAGGCTCGAGGCAAAGCCACTGCCCCCCAGCGAGCTTTCAGATGGCCTCATGAGCGGGAAACAGATGACAAAACATGGGGTTTGCATGTTAACTGTAACCAGTTCACGTTTGTGTTTCCGAGTAACCCTTACAGTAGCCCTCTGATAGCAGGCCAGAGCCTTCTACAATGATTGAAGTGCCACAAAAAGGTACTTGGTGTGGGTTATGGGGCAGAGTTTATCCAAGTCATGCGATGGACAGCACTTTACTGTGCAGAACACCCCCCTCTCGCAGTGTTGGCTTTACAAATAGAAATGACCTTACAAACAGGGGATATAACTCTCAATCACCAAATAACATGGTGACTTTAACCCCACAATGTGTTTGGCTGATGAGAATTCTCTAAGGTTACATAGAATGCGAGGGCTGGTGGACACATTGCGCTGACTGTACACCGTCCCTTACTGTCCATCATAAATCTCAGCACAAAGGATCTGGGAGAAAAAGATTCGCTTTGTTACTGCGATTTCATTCTCTTGTTCCGCTTCTTCTTAGCTTTGACAGCGTCATCGTGAGCCTTCCTCTTCTCAGCCAGTTTGTTCGTCTGTAGAGAGGAAAGGGCAATTATAGGTCGGGCAGAGCAACAGGTACGAACAACACAAGGCCTTAAATGGACAATGGATTTCACGCACAAAGCTTCCTTATGGGGAGAGGAAACGGAGAGCTCTAAACGATAAGACTGGGTAGAATATGCCAACCAACCTTTGTACAGGAAACTCAATCTCCCTCCCTTTCTCCTCCCTCCCACCTACACACACAGCCACACTCAGAGAGCGAGCACTAAATGTGCAGAACTAAACGTGGAAGCAAAAAACGTTGTTTGTTTCAAGACCAAATTAAGATGAGATCTCTGTTAGAAAATAATAACTCGAGATACAGTATTTAGTTTGGGATCCGACGTATCAAGCGACTGCCAGATGGTGGAAGGCAAACTGGATTGACTTTGGGCTTCTTTGGCTTAGCAAATTCTTAGGTTAATATGAAGTCGTCAGCATTCAGTAACCCGGGATCGCGAGATACACTGAACGAACCTCTCGGACTTTTCTCTTCTTGCCGAACATGATCTTGTTGTACAGATATTTCTCCCTCTTCTTCATCATCATGATGGCCAGCCGCTTCTCCTCGGCTTGTACCAGCTGGGCCACCCGACCCTTGTCCTCCAGCTTCACCGTCCCTGTGGTCACCTTCACGTTCAGTTTCTGTGGGACGCCAAGACTCTGTCAGGCAACTCGATAAGAGAGACCACGTAAACTACCCAGCAACAGTGCGCAGATTGTCACATCCGTTAAACACAGCGCTCTCCTACATATACTGCCGAGGCTCGTAGAGCACTCGCTTCACAAGCGAGAGGAGCTGGGTTCGATTCCCAGATGGGGTGAAACCTTGGGCGAGTTTCTTTACTCCACACACACGCCTGTTTACCAGCAGTAAGTAGGAACCTGGTTGTCAGTCAATTGGCAGATTGTTTTCTGGGGGTAATAATTATTATTATAATACTCACTTGGCCCTTCGCCTTCTGGCTCTCCATTATCTTCAGCCTTTGCTCTTCACGCTTCTCCTCCTCGTCCATGTCTTCATCTTCGTCTTCGTCGGAGCCATCTTCATCCTCCTGATCGTCCTCGGATTCCGAATCGCTTTGCTTTGCGTCTTTAAAAATCAACGAAAAACACAAGAAAGGGATAACAACTTAAATTTATATAACGCCTATCACGCAGGGCAGCTTCTCAAGAGCGTTTAACAATGGCGGAGCCCGATGCCTAGCCTGGGGGGGGGCGGGAGGAAGGAGGAGGTGACAGTAAGCATGGTCGAAGAGGAAGGTCTTCAGTCATGATCTAAAAGAGGCGAAGGAGGGGGCAAGGAGGTGGGATTGAAGTAAAGAGTTCCACATAGAGACAGACTTTGTGGCATCATTCAGCAAAGAATATATACACTCAGGCCTGAAACGACACCTCGATTCCTGTACAGGCCTGGCAGGGAATGTGGTCTAAACTGCTTTAAAGATGTCTCAAATTTTCGCGTCTAATGTGCAGTATTTCTTAACATGGAATCCCTTCACAATTCCCATTCGGATTTTGCATCCCGGATGCAGATCTCGTTGGGATCAGAGTTCTCATACATCAGAGTGCTGTGCTGCCTTATGAAGGAATCCTGTTAAGAAATACCACGCACTAGATAGACTGCCTTTGTTGCATTTATTTTTGTGTGAAGTCAGCTTACGTGGAGTCTCTCCTCTCTGTAAGGCCAGGAGCTTGAGCTTCTCCGGGGGAATGTAGTCGCCGTCCTTCTCGTCCACGAACGGGGACAGATGTGGCGGCAGAACGACTCCGAGAAAATAATCTGCCACCGGAAGCAACGTCTTGGCATTAACGGAGTCAAAAATCCACTGGGGCTGGATGTAACACCTGCAAGTCAAAGGCAAACGCTGATCGATGTCTGGCAGTCTAGGGGTTAAAAACCCCTTCAAAACAACAACTTGCACTTATATAGCGCCCCTCACGCAGGGTAGTGTCCCAGCGCGCACAAGTGTTCCGGAGTTTGGGGGCGTAGTAGCTGAAAGCGTGGCTGCCGATGCTGGAACGGAGGGCACGAGGGACAAGCAGGAGGCCGGAGACGGTTGAGCAGAGGCAGCGGGTAGTGCATTGGGGGAGTAATTGTGGAGGTTGGAGAGGTAGGGAGGTGCCAGGGCATGAAACAATTTGACGATGAGTGAGAGGATCTTGATGAAAACTAAACATCACCACCAAGGCTGCTGGCAAAGAGGCAACTTGACGAGGCCACGAGAACTAACCTGTTGATAAACTGCTGGTTGAAATTGGGCCTGTCCACGATCTGATGGGTAATCGTTTTGTCCGTCACCTCGTACAACGCCCCACTGCAAAGGGTTTTATCCCACGACACTTGGCCTCCAAAACATCTAAAACACAGGGCATCAAACTCACCAGGACGCACTCATCACTAGGTAACCTTCGCCACGAAAGAGATAAATACACTCTGGCGCAAACAAAATTTGGTTCGAGCCATTCCCTTCCTATCTGTTGATCTCCCCCCAACCAGAAGCAAACTAATTCAGTGACACCCGTGGAATCCGGTTACATTATTTCGTGGCAACCGAAGCTGTTATTTGTAGCAAGTCCTTTTTTTTGTTCGGCAAGTGAATTCTTCTGCCTGTTCAACTAGGACTGCCCTTACCTGTTAGGGCTTTGGTTTTCAGGGTTATCAGGAGCTGAGAGGGATGACTCCCTGCCCCCAGTAACTGGTCTGCCCTTCAAGGTCCTGCTGATGAGCCAGTTCAGCTCCAAGGAGACCCCGCTTACCTCCCCTGGGAGGACAGTCACTAGTTGGTCGTTTGACATCCGACAAGCGGATCTGAAACCCCGACTGCCTATTCAGCCCCGACAAGTTAAAGGTCTGCGTTAATGCGATCGTTTTTCTAAGCCACTGCATTTATCATAGAAGCATCTCACGAAGCAGCACCACACATACCTGATAATAAAGGCCAGGGATTCTCGTGGCACTTCACGGTTTAAAAAAAACTTCATCCCCTCAAACAACTTCTTCTGTTTGGCTAAACTTTCTCGCTCTTTCTGCCTCTCTTCAAGCAGCTCGGCATTCTCCTGCAAACCCAAATCACTCACATCAGTCCGGGGTCGCAGGTTTATTTTACAGGTCAGAATAACGTCACATCTCACACCTCATCAACAATCTCTACTGGCGTTTAAATAAACCCTGGCCGCCACAGAGAGTGGGGAAGGCTGTGGGTTCGGAGTCACAGCAATGGAAGCACTGACCGGCCATCGTGCCCGTTATACGGTCGGTATTTTATGGTGTCCACCCCCCCGCCCCGATTACCACCTCATAACGGGGTCTCTACAGTATCCTCAGTGAAAGGTGATCTATGTTTTTTTGGCATTGTTTCAGGTGTTAAAAATGGGATTGGGACACAATAAGGAGTGCGTGGAAGTCAAGTAAGCTTCACAATTCACGACCAAATCAAAGGTATCACAAATCATTAACAGCAGTTAATTCCACACAAGGTAGCCTCCCTCCCGCCAGCCTGCATTCAACAGTAACCTGGCAGTGAAATTTACTTTGTATTCGCACTGGGGGAGACATCTGCATGGCGTTACTAAGGCAGGGAGTTTCTAATGGAGCAAACCTAAAGGGAGGTTGAAACATTTGCTGAAAGTGGTGCTTAACTAGGAATGATGCTCGTAAAAAACCCTCTCGGGGGAGGGGTGAGAAGGGGAGTCCGATGTAGCTGGTTATGTAAATCACTGAGAAAGGACACAAGTAAGGGCGTACAGGACACACCAATGACATTAAAAAAAGACCTTGTGCCATTCTGTGCCCAAAGGAGGAAAACCCAACACAGAAACTGACAAAACATTGGCAAGGTCACTGGCCAAAAATGGAACTAAGCTACTATTATGATAATAATAATCCTTGCATTCGATACAGCGCCTTATCAAGTCGTCGAGACGCCTCCAAGAGCTTCACAGAAAATACTGTAAAGTGAATTAACTGTGTATTTTGTGGGCGAAACATATAGGGAACACATTGGTCAATATGGGGAAAGAGCAGGGAATTGGGATTAGAGTTGCAAGCTCCAGTGAAGCAGGCCATTTGGCCTCCACCTATTTCTATGGTCCAATGATCTGGGTGGAGTTGGCTGTGTGGGCTTCCATAGCCCCAGTAACAAACAAAAACAATTCAGGACTTACTCCCTCAGCGGGAAATTCGTCGATCTCCGCCTCGTCCTCTTCGCTGGAAGGTATCACGCGAGCTAAGCTGTCGCTCAACGCCGACAATCTCTTTTGTGAAAGCAAAAGGAAGAAGGGGGAAAAAAAATTATCAGCAAAGTGAATCGAGGAACATGAAGACAGGCTAGGTTTCCAGGTGGGTTTGCTTGTGGTTTACCTCCATGTAGTTCTCGGAGTCCACGGCACACTCGCCATCTGCCGGAAGCTCGTTTTCTGGGTTGAGTTGAAGCTACGGAGAGATTTTCAAATGCATTAATCAAATTGGTTAATCGGGCAGGTACAATATCTTGAGTTTGACCATAAATCAGCAATTGTAGACAAAGAGCATACGTAGAAACAAGAGGACATTCGTCCCATCCCACTAGTCCACCAGACCGTTGGCAGATCTTAGTTCCATTTTCCTCCACATCCCAATTATCTATTTTTTAGACCGAGGGGGGGGGGGGTCACTCATGAGTTTTGACACATGCGGAAACTGATCACCGAGCTTGAGAGTCTCCAAACCAAACTGAGAATTCCACACATCCCACCTACACGTGGAAATTCTAGAGATAGATTGTTGGAATGGAATGCGCACTCTCATTATCCCAATTATCTACCAATCTACACCTCCCCCCCCTTTTTAAAAAAAAAACAAATCTATCTATCTGTACGCTTAAGTCCTTTTTTAAAGAAAAACACCAACAAAAGAAATAATCAGAAGGTGATTATCACCAAGTTGGATTTTGGATTTGCTACTTTACAATGAGTAAAGTCAATGCTATCTGTGGACACCTTTAGAGTCCCAGTGTGAGGATGTGAACATTTACGGAAACAAATTAATAATTCACATTGAATTATGCACAGACATTCCAGAGATAATCAGCTTACCCTGGGAGGATACATCAGGTTGAGACTCTGGTAGAGTCTGAAGTTGACGAAGCCGAGAAGAGTAGTGAAGAACTCGGTGAAGGTAGCCATGACTCTGTAGTCCACATCGGTGGGGTGCTGGAAACAGAGATAATTAGGAGAGTCAGTGACAGCAGACACTGAAACCAAACTAAAAGGAAATAATCAGGATGAAACTGAGGGTCATTAACTCTAGCCGCATTGTTTCTCTTCCCCTTTCCCACAACCCAAACTCTGATCAAGTGGTTTTGTGTTAAGAAAAGGCTGACTGTGGTTGAGTGCAATAAGATTATCCCAGGAGTGAGCCTGGCAGCAGTCTTGAGTCAAACTGTATTAGTGAAAGTAGGTTCAAGCAGTAGGAAATAATAATTTTACAAAGAAACCTTTACAGTTAATCCACTTTACAGTAGGTTCTGTGAAGCGTTTTGAGACATCTCACCAACATGATAAGCGCTATATCAAATGCAAGGAGTATTATTTTGTTTTATAAAGAATGGGATCACTGTTGACCAAATGACAATCACCAACTTTAGTTTTTGGAAACGCAATTAAAGAGTTAACAAAAGGGACAGACTTTTCCTTGATGAATTAACTCAACTTATAGGAGCCCAGCTTCAGCTGGTCAATTTATAGCCGGCAATGCAAGTTTCTTGATGCAGATATTGACGGAGCACAATTTTTGGAAACACTGGAACAAAGGGAGAGAGAGTGACCGCAACGCCCCTCTCTCCCCCCTCCTGAACAAAACGTCTTGTATATTTATCCTTGCTTTGGGTGTTAACGCAAGACAAGATCAGCCATTCGGAGTTCAGTTTGCAGACATACCATTCTGTTAGCTGAGCGACTATGGACAAATAAGACGTTGAAATTGCTCTATTTCAATCCAGCAGGTTGAAAATGAGATGACTTACATATAGGACCATTCAGGACAATGAATACAAGCAATAACAAAGCTCTTTGTTCGTGCATCACTGGTATATAAAGGAGGCTTTATTCCCTTAGCCCAGCTGCAGTGTAATGCTGTCACAAGGGACTCTTTTCAGCATAGGAAGGCCTTTTAAAGTATTGAAAACACCCACTAGATTGTAGCTGGCTGGGACGGACGATAAGACAAGTAGTAGTCTCGAGTCCAGTTACTGTTCAACACGCTGAAGAATGCACCAAGAATGTACTTTTCTGTCATTTGCGAGTTCTCTCCGGTTAAACTGCAAAACCCTGGGATTTAGGCATACCAGAAAATATATTCCACAGCATATTAATACAGCATGTAGACTTTAAATCTAATCTCCCCTCTCCACCCCAAATAAAAGTCAGTCATTTTGTTAACGGGTCCCTTTTTGAGATACTTTTACTGTCAATTTAAACTCCTAGCATCTTATGAAATTACTGATAATTTTGACGATCAGGACTTGGGTTCAAAAGTGGCCCCCTGAGTAAACAGAATACAGAGTCAATTCTCTTTACAGGATATTCTGTGAAGCGATTTGAGACATCTCAACGACGTGATAAGGTTCTGTATCAAATGCAAGGATCATTATTATATTTTCTTTCTTCCGTAAAAGTTCGCTGTAGAGACAAATCAGGCCTTTTGTCACTATTTGAGCCAAGATTTCATATCTATATCCAAAGGTGGAAGCTAACTCTGTTATATAAAAGGACAATTTAATCTCTTATCACCCTTCCCACAATCCATTTGTTTTCAAAAGAAATCTCTTCCAGATATGAAGAAAGTCGAGGAGAAATTATAGAACTTGCAAAATTAGTCTAATGTGTCAAAGCGTGTTGCTGATTTCACCGCAGGCTCTGTTCAGAAACACTGCCTGCCCGATGCCAAAACACCCCATCTATCAGGTTACATGTCATGTTCCTCCACTCTAATTGCTCTATGATTAATCAAACACCAATGCCTCATCACGAGCCTTGGCGCCATGTCACTGCCAGGTACTTACATCATGAGCAAACGTGTAGGGAACAATCCAGGTTATCTGCTGACCGAGAACTTCAACCTGGTAGTAAATCCCTTTGATTGACAGAAACACCTAACAAGAGAGTGAGAGAGAGAAAGACGCAAAGACTAAAATAAATCACAAGGTTCTTTTACAACAAGTTTTTTTTTAAAAAACAAACCCTAATAAATCAAAGTAAAAGTATTTTTCTAACAGTTTCAAATGGCAGGTGAAACAATAGGGTAATCTTAAACTACTTTGTACACTGCTATCTGTTGTGAAGATAGCAGAACCCCAGTTGCTGGGCAACTAAATTGGATCAGTTTAAGTTGCTTCACAACACTGTCTCGCTCACTGCACGAGCAATTATAATTGCTCTCCCCAGTTCACTTTGATTCATAGGAATAGTTGTAGGCTATTGCGCCCTTCAAGCCGATATATAAAAAAAAAGCACTGCAGCTGGCATTTTGAAGGCATTTTTCATGTGAATTTACTTTTAAGAATTTATAGAAAGCCCACGTCAAAGTTAAGACTAAATAAGATGTTCTAAAGTTCAAGGCAAATCTAAAGCGAAATTCCCCCTCCCTTGTGGAGTTCTCGCTTTGTAATAATCACGTCCTGGACTTCACACAAAAAGTCTCTCTCTATAGCCTTTTCCCTCTCATCATACGTGTCTTTAAACTCTCCGCAGAACGGAACAGGAAATGCTTTGTGTTGACACGCGGGAGGAGAAATGGAAACAAAAGTGTGTTTAAAAAAGTGTTCCCAATTTATATTTATATTTATACAGACGTCTCGAAGCGCTTCACTCTGCCGAGCTGCGGAGTGGGAACCGAAAAGGGGAAATGACCGAAAGCGCCGAAAGTCAGTCGCAAACTACCTTTTGCAGCGACCTGGAACCTATCACGAAATTCATGAACTCCACAGTTAGGCGTCGACACAACTGAATGGTCTGCACGTGGCACTTGCCCGTCCGAGGGAAGGTTGAGAACAGGAAGCACATGGACAAGGTGTCGTCTAGGTCACGGAGCGCGTCGATGAAGGTCGGATACCTATGAGGGAAAGAGAGCGCGGGGGTTAAATATTTCTTAAAGCTTGTAGTCAATATGAAAACTGCAACTAAATGTCTGCAGATGTTAACTTCTCTTCAGATGGTACTTTATCAACAACCATTGCCCTGCATGCTTGTGGTCTTAAAAAGGCTCGAAATTGATTAATTTGCAGTTTATAAAACAGGTGCTTGTTGAATAAAATATGAAATGAGACAGACAAACAGCTGCCATATCAATCATTAACAGCTTTTAGCGATAACTGAATTCAAGGGTCAGTCGGTTAAGATTTGTAAAGTTTCTTCTTTGAAAAATATACTGAAAAATCTACTAAAAGTATAAATAATATGCCTTTCGGGTGTGGGAATATAACGCACATCTGTGCATATACGGCGCATTAAAAAAATCAATAGTTTTTCAGTAAACACCATTACCCCAGCTGACAAGGCGACAGCGCTTTTACAAAAACAAATTTTCTGCATCGGGTGATTTTAAAAAAAATCACAAGAGAAAATTCAGAGGCACAGAGAAGAATGGTACCTCTAATAGCAGGTGAACACTAATAATAATAATCCTTATTTGACATCTCAAAGTGCTTCACAGAATATACTGCAGAAGTGAACTGACTGTATTTTTGTGGCCGAAATGCGGCAGCCAATTCTGCACAGTAGTGTCCCACAAACAGTCCTGGATTGAGTGACCAAATTATTATTATTATTCTTATTGTTTGGGGAACTAATGGGAAAACTCTATACAAGAGGCTGACATAATGTGTAAGTGGTCGAAACTTTAAGTGAATATCTGCATTTCAACAGCGCATTCCATGTAAGAGAGGATGTCTCAAAGCTCTCTGAGGCCAAGTGAAACATACAACTCACAGAGCTTTGTTCATGGGCTTTTATTTGTTATGTTACTGAATGAACATATTATCACCCGTTTGCTTTCATGGGTATCCAGGAACTTTGGGTTTTATTCCAAGCATTTGTTATCTTGGTTTAGGTACAAAGAGTCTTGAATGAGAATAGGTTATTCAGCACATGACGTCCACCTTCCCCACAGCAATGTCTCCCACTGTTTGAAACAGTGGCCACTTTCAGGGGCTTGGCTTATCCATCAAACATTGTGTTTCTCCTCCCTCCCACTACCCCACTTCTCCCTTCCTCCGGCAAGATTCATTCCAGCAATCTAATACATTGCAAGGCTTACAAGCAAGCAGGGTATCACTGCTCAGATCATCCTGTTCTGCCAACAAGCAGATTTCTGTGCGTAATTTCTTGAATGACACAAAGACTCTGGATCCTGCAGTTGGTGGAGTCAAACAACTGCGTGTTTGTTCTGAAAGCCATCATGATGTTCCTAACTCATGCTTTCCGTTCCAAATCAGCCGTTCGTTTGGAGGGGAGGGGAAGGGAGAGCAGAGCAGTGAAAAACCCACAGAAGGATTTTATTTTTTGCATCAGCAAAGTAATCATAAGAATCCTTGCATACAAGAAGGCGTTGAGATGTCTCAAAGCGCTTCACAGGGTATACTGTAAAGTGATTGACTGTGTATTTTGTGGGTGGGCCGCAGCAGTCATCTGCACACAGCAGTCAACTGCACACAGCAGTCAATTAAATCAAAACCTAACCAAAACACAAAATTGCAAATCCAGCTATTTGAATTGAAGTAATTCAAGTTACAGCACCACTTCATGGTACAAATAAGGTACTACCCCAATTATAATAACGAGTGAGAGATACACATAATATTTCTTTGTATATGATAATTGCTGTATTTAATATAGCGCTTTATCATGTCGTTGAGACGTCTCAAAGTGTTTCACAGAATATATTGTAAAATGAATTGACTACGTAATTTGTGGGCGAGTTACTGTAGGCTTCATTTACCTTTCTTTGATGATGTGATCGAGTTTGTACACTGGCTTATTGTCCTTGAGCCGGTCGACGGTATTCCATTCCGCTTTTCCATAGGCTTTCCTGAGTTTCCGCACAAATACCTGAGGACGTGCAATCATGCATTATACACGCTGCTCTCTTCATCAGCCTAACACGCCTGGCTTACTTACACAGGGCTAGGAGGATCCTGTGTCAGTGTTTTTGTACAATAGCTTATTCAACTGTACTATTTAACCCAAAGTACTGTACTGAATTACTTATCCACCTTTAAAATATTCACCTCTGCATTCCATAAACCTCGCTTGTGGAGTAAAGATTGCAATTGCCTCCCCATCCCCCCATCCTCCCTTCGTTACAGAAAGGCTTAACCACCTTACTTACCTCCACCGGTGCAACAACAACATTATTTCATTTATAGAGCGTCTTTCACGTCGGGAGGACGTCCCAAGGTGCTGGACAGTTGGGTCAGGACCCAAGCAGGGGGGAAACGGTCAGGGTGAGAGGAGGGAAGGGAGGGAGCGAGGAGGGGGTAGAGAGTCGAGAGGGGAGCTGAAGGCACGATAGCAACGATAGCTAGAGAAAGTTACTACCCTGACATCAGCTATTTGAAAGAGTGCTTTGTTCCAGTTAAACATACAAAGAACAAGTTATACACAGATAAGATACACAGACAAACAAAAATATTTCCATGACTGCCTGAATCACTGGCATATTAAAGCTAACCCCGGTTTAACATGACATAGCACGCATGAGAGAGAGCGAGCGAGTGAGCGAGCGAGAGCACAAGGCCAGAATAATGCTTTCAAATCCTCCAAGGTAACAGCAGGGCATAGGTGTTAGGGGCCTATAGGGTAATTTTAGGCTGGACACCAGGACCCTTATTTCTTAGTTATGTGCAGGAAGCGATGCTGACGTCCCTGTGTTGTGGGTGCGTAGTCCACAGGGAGACCACACTTATAAGTAGACTCACTGGACCGGGGCTGGCCTACATATATACGCTGCAGCTTTTGGAGAATCTTAACCTCTGGAAGGAAGGAAACAAGGAAGCTCGTACTTACTTTATAGTCCCGGAACTTGTTCACAATGGGCTCGTGCAGCAAAAATCTGATATCTTTGATGAGATAGAAAGTGCGAGCAGCTGTCGAACCTTTGTTCACTTTTTTCTTGTGTTTGGGTTCGTGAGGATAAATCCCCTTCAGAATGCATAGTCGCCTGTTAATAGGAAGGACTCGGTGTCAGCTGAAGTAGCAAATATATTTCTCTGCAGCATCTTACGTCACTGCAACCTTTCAATGGGGGCCAGGTTAAGAGATTGCAGGAGGCACACCTCCCTGATACAAAAATAATAATAATAATAATCCTTGCCTTTGATACAGTGCCTTTCACACCTCACCTTGTCGAGACATCTCAAAGTACTTCACAGGATTTTACTGAAGTATAATGACTGTGTATTTGTCGGCAAATGCGACAGCCATTTCAAGCACAGCAAACAGCCATGAAGTGAACGACTGGTTTTGCCTAGGGGATTGTTGGCAAGGATCTGGCAACCACGTGGTAACCCACTCATCTGGGCTCCAATTCTCAAACACCATGTTATAGCGAAGCACATATATGTAATATATTTTTAAAATTGCCAACTTCCAAATTATCAGGTCACCATTTCCTTTGTGATGCTACCCAAGTTACCAGCAGTGACCTGGAGGTGAACCAAAGCTAGGTGTACCGTGTACAGTATAGCTGAGCCCATTACAAATCTCACCTGAAATCTGCAAGGCTGAGCTGTAACTTCTTCCTGGCTTTATTCCTGGTGATGTAGTTAGTGGCTGCTCCACGCTCATACTGAGCACAAGAAGGAAAGGGAAAAAAACAGATTTAGTTATTCAGTGCCCAGGGACCTCCGGATGTTGGTCTATGAACAACTGAGTGAATGAGTGTGATATTGGGAGAGTTTGAGTGAGTGATTGAGTGTGGCTGAGTGTGACAGTGATCGACAAATAAGAGTGAGTTTATGATTAAGTGAGAGAATGAGTTTTTGAGTGAGTTACAGTGAGTGATAAAGAGTGAATTTATGGATCACTAAATGAGTGATAGCGAACGAGAGAAAGAGCGAGTTTGAGTGAGAGGTAGAATGAGTTTGTGGATCATTGAATGAGAGATAGAGTGACAAAGAGTTAGCTTGTGAGTGAGTGAATAGCGAGTTTGTGAGTGAACGAGTGAGTTTGAGTTAGTGGCTTTCAGTGAGTTTATGAGTGACAGTGAATTAGTGAGTGAGATGCTTCAGCCTCTCTTCCCCCACCCTCTGGAACTCCATCCCACAGTCCTTTCGCCTCGCACCCCCCCACACTCCACTCCCTCCATTGCCTCCTTCAAGACCCTCCTCTTCGACTGTGCCTTCAGTCACTCTCTTATCCCTACCCACCCTCCACCCCTGCTGATCCCAACCACCAGCTCAGGTGCGGATCCCTGACTGTCCAGCATCCTCCTGATGTGAAAGGTGCTGTGTAAACGTAAGTTGCTGTTGTTGAGTGAGTTTCATTGAGTTTATGAGTGATATTGAGTGAGTTTGTGAGCGAGTGAGTTTGTGAGTGTGTGAGTGAGATTGCAGTGAGTGAGTGTGTGAGTTTTGGAGTTTGTGGGCAAGCGCGCCAGTTTGTGGGGGAGCGCGCCAGTTTGTGGGGGAGCGCGCCAGTTTGTGGGCGAGCGCGCCAGTTTGTGGGCGAGCGCGCCAGTGTGTGGGCGAGCTTGTGAGCGAGCGAGCGAGTTTGTGAGCGAGTGAGTTGGTGAGAGTTTGTTTGGGGGTGAGTGAGTTTGTGGGTCTGTGAGTGAGATGGCGAGCGAGCGAGATGGTGAGTGAGATTGTGAGTGAGTTTCAGGGAGATTGTGAGTGAGTGAGTTTGAGTGAGTGAGATTGTGAGTGAGTGAGATTATGAGTGAGTGAGTGAGTGAGTGAGTGAGTGAGTTTCAGTGAGTTTGTGAGTGAGTGAGATTGTGAGTGAGTTTCAATGAGTGAGTGAGTTTGTGAGTGAGTGAGATTGTGAGTGAGTTTGTGAGTGAGTTTCAATGAGTGAGTGAGTTTGTGAGTGAGATTGTGAGTGAGTGAGTTTGTGAGTGAGTTTCAATGAGTGAGTTTGTGAGTGAGTGAGTTTGTGAGTGAGTGTGTTTGTAAGTGAGTGAGATTGTGAGTGAGTTTCAATGAGTGAGTTTGTGAGTGAGTTTTGAGTGAGTGAGTTTGTGAGTGAGTTTCAATGAGTGAGTGAGTTTGTGAGTGAGTTTGTGAGTGAGTGAGATTGTGAGTGAGTTTCAATGAGTGAGTTTGTGAGTGAGTTTCAATGAGTGAGTTTGTGAGTGAGATTGTGAGTGAGATTGTGAGTTTGTGAGTGAGTTTCAATGAGTGAGTTTGTGAGTGAGTGAGTTTGTGAGTGAGTGTGTTTGTAAGTGAGTGAGATTGTGAGTGAGTTTCAATGAGTGAGTGAGTTTGTGAGTGAGTTATCAATGAGTGAGTGAGTTTGTGAGTGAGTGAGTTTCAATGAGTGAGTTTGTGAGTGAGTTTCAATGAGTGAGTGAGTTTGTGAGTGAGTTTGTGAGTTTGTGAGTTTCAATGAGTGAGTTTGTGAGTGAGTGAGTTTGAGTGAGTGAGATTGTGAGTTTGTGAGTGAGTTTCAATGAGTGAGTGAGTTTGTGAGTGAGGTTCAATGAGTGAGTTTGTGAGTGAGTTTCAATGAGTGAGTGAGTGAGTTTGTGAGTGAGTGAGTTTGTGAGTGAGATTGTGAGTGAGTGTGTGAGTGAGTTTCAATGAGTGGGTGAGTTTGTGAGTGAGTGAGTTTGAGTGAGTGAGATTGTGAGTTTGTGAGTGAGTGAGTTTGTGAGTGAGGTTCAATGAGTGAGTGAGTGAGTTTGTGAGTGAGTTTCAGTGAGTGAGTGAGTTTGTGAGTGAGTTTGTGAGTGAGTGAGTTTGTGAGTGAGTTTCAGTGAGTGAGTGAGTTTCAGTGAGTGAGTTTGTGAGTGAGATTGTGAGTGAGTGAGTGACACGCTGTGCTTGTGCCATGTTGTGTGGGGGAGGGGTGGGGACATGTCAGCTCAGAGCCTTCCAGAAGGGGTGTTGGTGCTGCTCCGAGGCCGGGGGGTGGGGGGGGGGGAGACAGACCGAGAGAGAGAGAGAGAGCCGGTGCGGGGCCGCCCTGGGGTGGGGTGGGGGGGGTCCGGGGGCCACGTTCTCACCTTCTTCTTCTCCAGGCCGCCCATCCTCAACCGCCTCTCTGCGCACGCGCCACCGAAGGACCCCCACCGCCCGCCCGCTCTGCCGCCTGCCCCGCCGGGTGCCTGACACCAACGGTTTATTTTAATTGGATCAAGAGGGTGGAGGACGGGGGGGGGTGGGGGTGTGTGAGGGGGTTAGTGAGGGTAAGGGGGCGGTGGGGGGTTAAGGGGGAGTGGGTGGGGTTAGTGAGGGTAGGGGGGTGGGGGTTAAGGGGGGTTAGTGGGGTTAGGGGCTGGGGGGTGTTTAGGGGGTGGAGGTTAGGGGGGTTGGTGGGTGGGGTTAGTGAGGGTAGGGGGTGGGGGGTTAGGGGGGTTGGTGGGTGGGGTTAGTGGGGGTTAGGGGTTGTTGGTGGGTGGGGTTAGTGGGGGTGGGGGGTTAGGGGGGAGTTGGTGGGTGGGGTTAGTGAGGGTTGGGGGGTTAGGGGGGTTGGTGGGTGGGGTTAGTGGGGGTGGGGGGTTAGTGGGGGGTTGGTGGGTGGGGTTAGTGAGGGTGGGGGGGTTAGGGGGGGTTGGTGGGTGGGGTTAGTGAGGGTAGGGGTTGGGGGGGTTAGGAGGGGGTTGGTGGTTGGGGTTAGGGGGTGGGGTTAGTGGGGGTTAGGGGCTGGGGGGGGTTTAGGGGGTGGGGGTTAGGGGGTGTTGGTGGGGGGGCGGGGGGGTCTGAAACAACCTGAGGACGTCTCGATACGATCCACTCAGGATATCGCTGTGGCGTCCTGTAGCTCAGTGGTTGGGGCGCTCGCTTTGCAAGCGATTCCCGGGCAGGTCGGGGCAAAATGTTGGCCAAGTTTCCTTACTCCGCACACGCACACGCGTTCGCACACGCCTCTGCTTTTCCCGTTTGTTAGTCTATTGGCGGATCGCTTTTCCTGGGGGTCATAATACCTTCGAAAAAATAATAATTTTGTCACTCAATTCCGCAACTGTTTGTGGGAACGGCGCTGTGCGTAATTTGGCTGCTGCGTTTCGTCCACAAACTACACAGTCGCTACACTTTACAGTATATTCTGTGAAGCGCTTTGAGACGTCTCGAAGACGTGATAAGGCGCTATATCAAATGCAAGGATTATTATTAATTATTTTTACTGTAAAGTAGTGTAGTGACTGCATAGTAGGCAAAAGTTTTGATTGATTACCCCGACTCCTTTCTGTTTTACTGACAAAAGGCTTAAAGATTGTGCTTACATGGATGTGTGTGCCCGATGTGCCCAGGCCCTAACTAAGGGGCTTGCACCCAGAAACCTTGACCCAAAGGCAAGAGTGCTACCAACCCCAACTCAAGGTGACACCTATTCCGGTGTGGGTCAAATCCAGAGCTCTGCTTAGCTCAGGATATCAATGTCGGTTCAGTGAGGCACATTAAATATTCAATGCCTTTCCCACATCTTATTTTGTTTATTGAGGTCAGTTCCTGTAATCCACCCTCTCTACACCAATGACCCTCGTCTTGAATGACGCAGTGTTCCTTAGATCTCCCAAGGCCTGTTTAAACTGTACAGGCTGATCTGAAACTGAGAACGGTTGAGAGTGGGAAATGGAGCACTTTAATGTTCTGGTGCCATCCTGTGGCTCTGCTACTGTAGCCACACTCATATTTATCACAGTTAATACTGGGCTCTAAATTCCTCTTGATAAGGAGTGGGGGAATTCTGGTTATCTAGGCGCACGTTAACTAGCCCTAAAATAAGAAATAGGAAAGTACCTCTGTTAGAGGTAATTAGTCGGAAATCCTTTGATTTTGTTTTTTTATCTACGTGCAAAAACATGACCTGGGCACAAAGCCTTCAGGAAAGTGATTCAGTGGAGTATGGAAACTTGTCTAATATTTCGCCGTGTCCAGAAATTGAACCCGAGTCCCCTCGCCTCCGAGGCGAGTACTCTAACCACTACGCTACAGGACTCCATTGTAAGCACAATCCGCCAAGCTCCTTTTCTGAGCCTTAATAAGCACTCTCCATTGCAGATTTTTTGCATCAACATGGTTTTATGTTGCAGTGAAAGGACCCGACCAAGCTCATCGTGTGACACAAACGGCAAGAGGCTTCTTGTGCTGTGTGTTGTGTCAATGAAAGGGATGCGTTAAATATGGATGAGTGTTTGACTTACACTAGCCCTGTGCATCAATGAATTACGGTTGAGTGACTGAAAGAGAACAAAAACACTTCTGTTATTGCCTCTATTCTTCTTTCAAGGCATGAGGGTTAGTGGTTACAACACAGCGAGACCTGTCGCTCTTTTCTCTGTCCAGGAGGGATGTTCAAATCAGCTCTTGCTGTTTTGGAGTCATGTAGTGTATTGGTTAGAGCACTCGCCTTGCAAGCAAGAGGACAAGGGTTCGATTCCTGGGCAGGGTGAAACCTTAGGCAAGTTTCCTTACTCCACCTGCCTGTAGCAGTAAGCAGGAACCCGGTTGTTAGTCGATTGGTGGATTGCTTTTCCAGGGGTAATCCTCCAAAAAAATTAATAATAATAATAATTTGGTCACTCAATCCACGACTGTTTGTCGTGAAGGATGAAGATTTGTATCAGCAACAGCACTGGTCATCATCTGCCCTGTCAACGCTACTGGGGAGAAAGGTTGGCAGTTCTGCAAATCAACCACAAGGTGACAGGCTGCATAACACGTGCGACGTATTAATTACAGAATATTTTCAACGATTGGGCCATTCGTGCCTATGACGTCCCCCCAAAAAATGATGTCTCCAGCTTCCCCCCCCGCCCACCATCACCCTCCCCCATTGGAGCGAGGTGTGCAGAGGCATTGGTTTTTACAGAGTGTTTCGCCCACAAAATACACAGTCAAATAATAATAATCCTTGTATTTGATGTAGCGCCTTATCTCGTGGTTAGAGCGCTCGCCTCGCAAGCGAGAGAAGCCAGGGTTCGATTCCCAGGCAGGGCGAAACCTTAGGCAAGTTTCCTTCCTCCACACATCTCCGTTTACATAAATAGGATGTCGATTGGTAGATCGCTTTCCGGGGGTAACGAGCCCTCCAAAAAAAACAAAATGTGGTCACTCATTCCACCCAAATTTATGGGGCACTGCTGTGCGCAATTGGCTGCCGAGTTTTGCCCACAAAATAGAGTCAATCCGCTTTACAAATGCAAAAGCAGAGAGCGCTGGGGAAAAAACTCAGCTGGTCAGGGCAGCACCTACGGAGAAAGGAAAGTGAGTCAACGTTTCGGGTCCACGACCCTTCGTGTTTTGTACCACTTTACAATATATTCTTTGAGACGTCTCAACGATCCAATAAGACCCTATATCAAATGCGAGGATTATTATCATCATCATTATTATTATTATTATTATTATATTATTGTCTCTCTCTCTCTCTCTCATACCAGAGGCTGCTGGTAGGGTTTGCAAAGCTCTACCATACAATCCTAACTATTCACTTGCACAGTTTTTTTTCCGGGTGGTTGTTGTTTATACAGCCCCCACACATGTGCCAGCATTCATTCCCACCAGGCAGATTGGAATATCTGAACTGGAGATTCCTGGGAATGGATTTATTGTTGGAAAAGGGAAAAAAAAAGGCCAAAAAAATGAAACATTTTTCATTTTTTTTTGCAAAAAGTCAGGATATTCCCTAACACGTGTGTAAAAAAAATTATATTTAAAAAAAAGTGTTTTCCCTCCTGCTTATATATATATATATTTTTTGGGGGGGGACATTTTTTTTCCTTAAAGCAGCTGGTGTTTTGGAGAGGGAGAGAAAAGAGAGAGAGAGAGAGAGAGAGAAATAAGAGAGAGGAGAGGGGGAAAGGGAAGAGAGAGAGAGAGAAAAAAACATGTGATGGTGTCCCTTTAAAGAGTTGGCTCGGAAGTAAACCATTGGTATTTTATTTGAAAAAATGTTAAACCCTCCTCAGCCCGGAACAGTACTGATTGACTTGCAAAGTGGGTGGGAGCAAAAATGCACAGTGCCTTTTGGTGTAGTCGAGAATAGAGAGAGAGAGAGATAGAGAGAGAGAGAGAGAGTTTAAGTCAGTGAGTTAGTTGCCCTGATGCTGATGGTGATGATGATGTCGTTGGGGGTCGCATCTGATCTCTAAAGGTGCAACTCAGCAAAGTAGCAACAAATAGCAACACCACCAACAACAACAACAACGAGGAGGAGGAGGAGGAAGAGGAGGAGGAGGAGGGGGGAGGAATGCATGAGGTTTCTCAGGGCAAATGAGATCTGATCTCTCTTTTCTCTCTTTCCAGTCTGCAAGAACAATAGGAAGCTTTTGAAGGATTGCACAGAGTGAGTGAGAGTGAGAGTGAGTGAGAGAGAGTGAGAGTGAGTGTGTGAGTGATAGAGAGAGAGAGTGAGAGAGAGTGAGAGTGTGTGTGTGAGTGAGAGAGAGAGAGAGTGAGAGAGAGTGAGAGTGTGTGTGTGAGTGAGAGAGAGTGAGAGAGAGAGAGAGAGAGAGAAAGAAATGGACCTTCACATCTTAGAACACAGGCTGAAAGTGACCAGCCTCAGTAAAGCTGGGCTGGAGAGATACACTCATGGACTCATCAAACTGGTCTTTCTACGTGACAGGACGAGGTGAGCTCTGCAATTTTATTTTCCTTTCCTTTCGAGAGGAAGAGAGAGTGAGCAAATAGAGAGAGAGAGAGAGAGAGAGAGTGAGTGAGGGGAGAGAGAGAGTGAGTGAGTGAGTGAGTGAGTGAGTGAGGAGAGAAAGAAAGAGTGAGGGAGGAGAGAATGAGAGAGAGAGTGTGTTGGAGGAGAGAAAGGTGGGGGGTGGTAGGGAGAGGGTGAAAGAGAGAGAAAGGGAAAAAGAGAGAGAGAGAGAGGGCTTTGCCTTTCTTTCTTGCCATTTCACAGTGATATGCATTCACACCCTTAACATCACACCTTTTTTTTCTCCTCTTTTTTTAAAAAAAACACACACACACACACACACACACACATAAAATCGTGTTATATGCCACGGTAAAAAAAAATGCAACTGGATGATCACAGCGCTTTCGAGAAATAACTATGGTAATAACTATGGTAGTAGTAATCATAATCCTTGCATTTGATACAGCGCCTTATCACGTTGTTGAGACGTCTCAAAGCGCTCCACGGAATACACTGTAAAGTGGATTGACTGCGTATTGTGTGGGCGAAACGCGGCAGCCGATTGCGCACAGCAGCGTCCCCACAAACAGTCGTGGGTTGAGTGACCAAATTATTCTTTTTCAAAAATTGGTGTGTGTATGGGGGTGTTGGGAGGGGGTATCTCCACTAACTAACAAAACAAGTTCCTCTCGTTGCAATTTGTTCTCTCTCTCTCTCCCCAATTTCACCACCACAGGACAGGGCATATTGTTATATTGTTAGCCACATTGTATTTTATTTATCAATAAAAGTTGGCAACAACTTGTATTTTTCTTACGAAAGAAAAACAAATAAGACTTTTTGTTGAAGTTTGGATTGCAACGTGTAGAATTGTATCAAATGCAATAATTATTATTATAATCATAAACGCCTTAATAATAAAATGGATCAGAGGGGGATTAAAGAGGCCCTTTAAAGATTTGGCTCAGAATTATTATTATTATTATTGATATATCAATTATGATTAGCTTTTTAAATGTTGTACGTGAGGTTCGCTGTTTGACTCTGTCTTCTTTTTGTTTCATATAACATAGCAACAACAATTAATTGCATTTACACAGCGCCTTTCACATCAGGAGGACGTCCCAAGGCGATGGATGGTCAGGGATTTACACCCGAGCTGTGGGGTTGGGATCAGGAGCGGGTGGGGGTGGGAGGGTGACCGAAGACGCTGTCTCGAGAAGAGGAAGGTCTTGAGACGGGCTTTGATAAAGTCAAGGGAGGGGGCGAGGCAGAGGAGTTCTCCAGGATGGAGTTCCTTATGGTAAAGGGGTGGGGTGGGGATGGGAGTCTGTTTTCAAAATGTTCATTAAGTTTATTTTCTGGCACCAATAACCTGGCACCGCCCACCAATCGGTCACCTAATGCGAAAACTATTTGCCTCTTGCCCAACAACCCTTCGCACCGCCTTATTCTTGCATTCAGTTGCGAGCTTGTGTCATTTCGCTGACATGACAATAATCCTTGCATTTGATTTAACGCCCATGTCATGTTATTGAGATGTCTCAAAGCGCTTCACAGGATGTACCGTAAAGTGATATGCAAGCGCTCTGCGACGCAACCCCACGTGGAAGGTGCTATATAAATGCAAGTTGTTGTTGAATTGACTGTATATTTTGTCGGCGAAATGAGGCAGCCAATTGCGCACAAACCGTCATGGATTGCGTGACCAAATTATTATTATTATTTCTTTTGGACAGATTATTACCCCTGGAAAGCAATCCGTTGATCGACTAACAACTGGGTTCATTATAACAACTTACTCATTATTATTATATTATTATTATTACTTACTGCTAGGTAAACAGAGGCGTGTGGAGTAAGAAAACTTTCCTAAGGTTTTTGCCTCCACCAAGATTCAACTTCATCTTTTATCCAAAGTATTTGATGTACTTTTTCTCCCCCGCCCCCCTCCCCGTTTTACTCTGCTGCAGAGCTCTAAAAGAGAGGTTTGGCTCATTTCATTCTGCCTCAATCAATAGTACTCACTTGAGTCAATATGTCGTCGGTTCAAGCCACACGTTAGGGACTCTGAACTCATATAGTCTAGGCTGGAATTCCAATGCTGTGCTGGGATAGTGTGGGTGCACTGCGTTGTGCATGGAGTGGTGGGGAGGGGGGTGTTCCTTTAAATGAGACAATAAACTAGGAGGATCCCATATGGACCCTATACATGTGGGTGTTAAATATTGGCGCTATTGGAAGGAGTTTCTCTCTCCTCGAGTCGTTAAAACTCTTGTTCATGCCTTCACCACCTCCAGGCTCGACTATGCAAATGCCCCGCATGTGGGCCTTCCCAACTCCTCCCTCCACAGGCTGCAGATTATCCGGAACTCTGCAGCTCGTGTCCTCTCCCGCACCAAACTCCGTGACTCCATCTCCCCCATTCTCGCCCGACTCCATTGGCTCCCTATCCTTCAGAGGATCCAGTTCAAGATCCTGGTCCTCACCTACAAAGCCCTCCATGGTCTCGCCCCACCCTACCTCTCCTAACCCCCTACCAACCCGCCCGCTCCCTCCGCTCAGCCGGCTCCGGCCTGCTCCACGTCCCTCCACCCACCTGCCCCACCATTGGCGGGAGAGCCTTCAGCCACTCTGCCCCCAACCTCTGGAATTCCATCTCCCAATCACTCTGCCTCGCCCCCTCCTTAGCCTCCTTCAAGTCCCACCTCAAAACCCTCCTCTTTGACCATTCCGTCAGTCGCTCCCCTTCCCCTCCCCTCCCTTCTCTTCCAATGACCCCAGCTCGGGCCTGAAATGCTGAACACTGTCCAGCGTCTTGGCATGTCCTCCCAAAATGAAAAGCGCTATTAAATGTAACCTTGTTGTTGTCCTGGCTGACAATCCCCCCCCTAGATTAAAATTGGTCACTCACTTCACGGCTGTACACAAATCGGCTACCTAAAATAATAATAATAATTCTTGCATTTGATTACAGCGCTTTTCACGTCGGGAGGACGTCCCAAAGCGTTTCACAGAACACACTGTAAAGTGAATTGACTGTACATTTGTGGGCGAACGCGGCAGCCAATTGCGCACAGCAATGTCCCACATAGGGACAGGAGTAGGCCATTTAGCCCCTCAAGCCTGTTCCACCATTCCATTAGATCATGGCTGATCTGTACCTGAACTCCGATAACTTGCCTTGAAACCCTGACTTAACAAAAATCTGTCCATCTCAGTCTTGAAAATTTCAGTGGATCCTGAATCCACAACCTTTTGGGGAGAGGATTCCAGATTTCCACAACCCTTTGCATGAAAAAATGCTTCCCGATTTCACTTTGAAATGGCCTTCCTCTAATTTTAAGATTAATTTTAAGGTTGAGGGTTCAAACCCCATGTTGGGTGCCTGTGCATATGTTTCTCACCGATAGCACCAGCCATTGAATCATCTAGTGCATGTGTGTTAGTTATCTCCAATGTGACTCCAGTCATCCTTGGCCTTTGTGTAAACATTGTGCTGAACCCAAAATTAGTGGGAAAGTTCACTTCAAGCCTTCCCCTCCCTCACCCCTTCCAATGAAGTCCCACAAACAGCCACGAAACGAACAACCAATTTCATTTTAATCCAGTTCCCTCTTAAACAAATTTAAAATTGCACGTTCTTGGCCGGCGATGCTCACCTTCCTTTCTGATTACCTTAAGCTTGTGTAATGTCCACCATTTAGTTGGTGAGCTTTCAGAAGCACCTACAAAAAAAAGTTCATATTCCCTTCTGTCCCCCCCTGCCCCACCACCACCATCACTGTTAGTGTTCTGTGCTATTGTTGTTGTGTTGTTGGTCTTGGACGCTACCCTGTGTGAGGGTGCTATATAAATGCAAGTTGTTTTAGTTATTATTGCCCAATACACAGTTAATTAATATCACAGTATGTTCGGTGAAGCGCTTTGAAGCGTCTCAACGACGTGATGAGGCGCCATATCAAATGCAGGGATTATTATGATTAACAACACTTTTCTTTGCCCCCACAGATGCAAGTTCTTCTGCCTGACGGAGATGCCAAATGACTACACCCTGGTTCTGGATGAGGAGGGATTTAAAGGTACAGGGTTTGGGACCTAGAAACGTTAACTGCTATGTCCTCTGCGTGCGTGTGCCCGTGCTTGTGTGTGAAAGAATTTCCCGGTGCAGGGTATGGATTCCCTGGGATGTAAACTAACTGCGTGTGTATTTGCGTCTGTCCAAAGTTCAGCCTTACTGTTGTTCGGTGTTGTTGTTTGTATCTGTACGAGCTGTGATTGAACCTTGCCTCAGAGGCCACATTTCTCCGATAATGCAAACACTTTGTTGAAACAAGAGCAAATATTTGCTGACTTTGAGCAAAGCACTTGATTTCCCACCGGGACAAGGCTGTGTGGTTTGGCAGACCGTGACTTTGTCCTGTTAACTTTTAGCTAAAATGAACAGGCCCCTTTTGCTATTTACGCCAACGGAGGCATTCCAGTGAGCTGGAACAAGCGCTGGAGGGATTTCTCTGCCTGCTAATAATAATAATAATCCTTGCATTTGATATATGTACAACACCATATCATGTCTCAAAGCACTTCACAGAATATACTATAAAGTGAATTGACATATGTATTATGGGTGAAACATGGCAGCCAATTGCGCACAGCAGTGTCCAACAAACAGTCGTGGGTTGACTGACCAAATTATTTATTTATTGAAGGGACTAGGGAAATTGAGCGGTAATTGACTAACAAATGGGTTCCTACTTACTGCTAGGTAAACAGAGGTATGTGGAGTAAGGAAACTTGCCTAAGATTTTGCCCTGCCCGGGAATCGAACCCAGGTCCTCTCGCTTGTGAGGCGAGTGCTCTACTGGATCCCAGTCGTGGAGATCGTGTTCTGTAAGGTTTTGGGTGGCCATGTTGAAACACGTCACGCTCGAGCTGGCAACCCTAATGTGGATCTACTTTCACCGGATTCGAGTGCTTAAAAAAAAGGTCGTCTTTCAGGTTGTCAGGTCATCCCTGACGTCACTTCCTGAGGGTCACAACCGACGTGTTGGAGATATTGGACCAATTCTGCTGAGTTATGACTGGGTTTCCTCTGGACACACACAGGAAGTGACCAGAGACGACTTAGGCGTGCTTGTATTATGGGCCAGTTTGCTTTGTGAGCTACCGCGGGGTTGTAGCTGTCATTTGGTATAGTTTTCAAGAGCTATATCAAATGGTTATTTAAATCCCATTCATTAAACAACTTCATTTCCTGTTCAGAGCTCAGTGCACGTCATTGTATTTCCTGTTTACATTTGTTACAGTTATTAAAAAAAAACTGATCTTGAACTCCGTCTGCGTCCTCCCCTCCACCGCCTTCCCCCCCATCCCGAGGTCAGAGTGACAATTTTGTATTTCTTATTAATTATTATTGTTTATAATATTCACTCATTAAATAGTTGAACGGTAGATTGCAAAAAAAAAAGTCAAAAGCTTTAAAGTAGAAGGAAAGTCATAAGTTAAGCATCTAACCTTTGATGCGTGACTGGTTCCCCAATATGATTATTATTATTATAACCATTGTATTTGGTATAGCGCCTTTCACATCGAGAGGATGTCCCAAAGCGCTTCACAGGATTTACTGCGAAATGGGGTGACTGTGTATTTGTAGGCGAAACGCGGCAGCACAATTGCACACAGCAATGTCCCGCAAACCGCCATGGAGTGAGTGACCGACTTCATTTGGGGGATTTGTTGACCAGGACATCGGGAGACAGAGAGAGAGAGAGAGAACCCCTCTTGTTTGGAGAGAAAAGCCAGTTCCTCCATGAGAAGGAAACAAATGAAGTGAACTCCAGAGAACTTGAGTGTTGGCTGGATTGCTGATGGAACGATCCGTGAATAATAAAACTCATCGCACTTGGGCTCGCTGTTGAGTGAGTCCAATTGAATTGTTTTGGCAATAATTGGCTGGCCCCGGCCCACAGGCTTTGTTTTGTTTCTTGGCAAGAGCTTGATCGCTTGTCCACAGTGGCTTTAAGTGAACGAGAATGGTCTGAAATCCCGCAAACGAGCACAATTGCTCCCAAACCTGGGATTCAGCTTCCCACAGAGTCTGAATTGTAATGAGCCGAGGGTGAGGATAGAAATAAAATAATAATAATCCTCGCCATTTGATATAGAGCCTTATCACGTCGTTGAGACGCCTCAAAGTGCTTCACAGAATATGCTGTAAAGAGAATTTGACTGTGTATTTTATGGGAATTGAGTGACCTCTGTTTATCCAGCAGTAAGTGGGAACCTGGTCGTTAGTCGATTGGCGGATTGCTTTCCGGGGGTAATAATCCCTCAAAAAAAACACTCGGTCACTTAATCCACAACTGTTTGTGGGAAACTGCTGTACACAATTGGCTGCTGCGTTTTGCTCATCAAATAAACACTTTACAATATATTATAATAATATATAATATATATAATCCTTGCATTTGATACGGTGCCTTATGTCTTCTAGACGTCTCAAAATATACTGTAAAGTGAATTGACTGTATATTTCGTGGGCGAAACGTGGCAGCCAATTGCGCACAATATTTTGTGAAGCACGTTGAGATGTCTCTACAATGTGATAGGGCGCTATATCAAATGCAAGGATTATTATTATTAATAATATTCCCCAATAATTCCCCGGGTAAATGTGGGTCTTGAGAGTCATGCATGTTGTTTTTTGAGTATTGCAACGCAGCGGCTGTAGAGTTGAAACGTCTCAGGGGTAGTTGCTGTGGGTGAGTGCGGAGACTGTGGTGTGTGTTTTGTGGGCGAGTGTGGCGGCCGGTTTGCACAAAAGCTCGGTCCAAACTTTTTGTTGGCCAAGGCACCAGGAGAAGAGTGCAATGGGATCTTTAATATCCAACTCTAGCAGAGCAGGCGGACTGGGGATGGACCTTGGATTGGTTTAACGGTTACCCTCCCACAATATGGCACTCTGTCTAGAAATGAGTTGGAATGGAATGTCAGCCTTGCACTGTGTGCTTAAAGTCCTGGTGTGTGTGTGTGTGTGGGGTGGGGGGGGGTTGAACCCACAGCTTTCTGACCCAGCGGCCAGTGTGCTAATGGAGTGAGTGAGTGAGTGAGTGAGCCAGCGTGACTCGTATTGGATAAAGCCAGACACGGAATTCATAATAGAAGAGGTTCGTCACATAATCGGGGCTTTGTGTTTGTCGCTCAGTGATTGTGGAGCAAAGTGAGGGAATGACATCTTACTACACGTCCCACACTTAGCTTTGGTAATTAGTAATAGTGCATTAGTGTCTTGTGGTTTAACAGAAAGACTTATCCCTCCCCCCCTTTTAAATTAAACATTATTGTTATTAGGTCAGGGTATCAAGGTTATGGGGCAAAACTGGGTAATTGGGGCTGAGGTACAGGTCAGTCATGATCTAATAGAATGGCGGAATAGGCTCGAGGTGCTGAATGGCCTCCTCCTGTTCCTACGTTTTCCCCCTTGCTTGCATCTGCTTCCTTTTCAAATGCACCTCCCCTCCCCAGTCGGGTCCTGTTTTGCTCCGCTAGATGGCACTCTTCTCCTTGAGAAACGTGCTTGATTTTCTTAAGACTTGTGAAATGCTCCAGTCTTGTCATTACATCGTAGAAAGAGAGAGACAGAAGAGAGAGAGAGAGAGATGGAAAATTTTAATTGATAACAGGAGAAGCGACGAGTTGAACGGTCTCATTCTCCGCCTGCTCCTCTCTCTGAGTGTGCCGCCAATCCTTGTTTTCAGAACTGCCGCGGACGGACTTCCTGCAGGTGGTGGAGGCCACCTGGTTGGCGCTGAACGTTGTGTCCAATGGCCACTCGTCCACCGGCTCTCAGACGGTCGGAGTGACCAAAATCGCCAAGTCGGTCATCGCCCCCCTGGCTCAGCACAAGGTCTCCGTCCTGATGCTGTCCACCTACCAAACCGACTTCATCCTGGTAAGACTTGTGAACTGCTGTAAGGAACTGTTAACTGTTAGCATCAGTCATGTCATTGAGCCCTAGTGAGGGCACTGGGCTTGCTTGCTCTATTTCTCTTGCAAGATTCTGTTGATCCAACCTCAGTAACCTTATATTGCGCAGTCCCAAAGGATAGTGGTTAGAGCACTTGCCGCGCGAGAGAGAGGACCTGGGTTCAATTCCCCAGCTGGCCAGGGCGAAACCTTGGGCAAGTTTCCTTACTCCACACACACACACACACACACACATCTCTGTTTACCTAGCAGTAAGTAGGAACCTGGTTGTTAACTGATTGGCGGATTGCTTTCCGGAGTCAGTCCCATCTTCATTGAAGCCTCGGCTTTTGTCTTGGTGAACTGGCACCCTGTGTCCTTGAGCGAACTGCTCCCCCCACCACCCAGTGGAACGGCCCATCTAATTTCCCCCCCAATCCCCCCTCGCCCCCGTAATAATACTCAACGTAAAGTTCCTGGTGTTAATTAGTAAGTTTCTTTACTAGCATCTCAGAGGACTCCAATCCATTAACTAGAAATGTCCCACTTCCCAATGCCACTTCCTGTCTATCTCATTGGCTCTTTCTCTCTTAGTTGCTTTTTTTTACTTCTTTAAGGGATGCCCTCCCTTTAAGGGACACTCTTCTTCAAATCGCTTCGCGCCCTGACACCTTCCTACTTCTATGACCTGCTTACTCCCTACTCCACATCCTGTCGACCTCCTGCTTGTCCCTGGGGCTGTAGTGCTTTCAGCCACTAAAGCCCGAAACTCTGGAAGACTCTCCTTCAATCCCTCCCCCTTGCTCCATCCTTCCCCATCTTCAATTCATGCCTGAATACCTTCCCCTTCGACTGCGCCTATGGTCACCTACCCCAGCTCGGTGTCGTCTCCGCCACTGTCAAGCGCTCTGAGAAGCTGCCCTGCGTGAAGGGCTCTTTATAAATGCAAGTTGTTGTTGTTTGTGTTCTCAGGTCAGGGAGAGTGATCTGCCGGCTGTCATCCACACTCTATCGGAGGAGTTCAGTATTTACCGGGAGGTGAATGGGGAGTCTGTCGCCGTGACCAGCACTGATGTCTCTAACGGTTTCCTTAAATCGAAGAACGGTAAGCCCAGAGGGCTGGCAGTTATCGTGCATTTCTACAGAGCACTCGCCTCGCAAGCGAGAGGACCCGGGTAATTTCCCCAACTAAGGCAAAATCTTAAGCAAGTTTCCTTACTCCACACACATGCCTCTGCTTACCGAGCAGTAAGAAGGAACCTGGTTATTAGTCGATTGGTGAATCACTTTCCAGGGGGTAATAATCCCACCCCTCACAAAATTATTATTATTAGACCTCGGAAAGACATCTCCTGTCACAAACACAAGCTACAAACTCTACCAATGTTGTCTTTTTTTAACAAAAAAAGGACATAATTCATAATTAAAAACTTAAAAAGTAAGGACTTATGATTCACTCTATGTATGTGATGCCCCCTTGCCCACCCTCTCCCCCTCTTGCTCTCCCCACCCTCCCCTCCCCCTGAAGCTTTGGTTTCCGTGCATTAAGAAACACTATTGAACTCATGTCACAATGGAACACTGTTCCAGTGGGAATCAAAGCCCTGATTAGAGTACCACCAAAAGCCTTCGTGTGTTGCTCTGTCCGTACAAAGCTCAGCTTTGAGTACAACTTTCCCACTGTTCCAGCCAAGGCCCAGCACGGAGGATATAATGCATGAAAATAATAATAATCCTTGCATTCGATATCTCGCCTTATCACGTCGACGACATAATAATAATAAAATAATAATCCTTGCATTTGATATCGCGCCTTATCACGTCGACGACATAATAATAATAAAATAATAATCCTTGCATTTGCTATAGCGCTTTTCACGTCTTCTCGAGGCGCTTCACAGAATATACTGTAAAGTGAATTGACTGTATATTTGTGGGCGAAACACGGCAGCCAATTGCGCACAGCAGCGTCCCCACAAACAGTTGTGGATTGAAAATGACCAATTTATTATTATTTTTGTTTTGGAGGGATTATTATTAGGTGTGTGGAGTAAGGAAACTTGCCCAAGATTTAGCCCTCTGCCTGGAATTGAACCCAGGTGTCTCGCTTGCGAGGCGATTGCTCTAATCACTGAGCTACAGGACTCCACATGTCTCAAAGCGGTCAGGGAACGTACTGTAAAGTGGATTGACTGTGTATTTGGCAGGCAAAACACGGCAGCCAATTTCTCACAGCAGTGTCCCACAAACAGTCGTGGATTGAGTGACCAAATTATTATTATAATTTCTTTTTTAGATTTTTATATATATATATATAAACACATTGTGTAAACATGGCATGGAGTTTGACCATCTCATAATAGACCTATCAGTAAGGACGAGTTGATTCATAGCTCTGGGACGCTACCCCATGTGAGGGGAGCTATATAAATGCTTGTTGCTGTTTTACATATGCAAGTTGTTGTTGTTGTTTGGCAGGCTTCAGCCCCACTCTCCACCCGGTGTTGAGCCCCAAGAATCTGTTCTGTGTGATGAGCCTGGATCCGGACACCCTCCCCACCATCGCCACCACCCTCATGGACGTGATGTTCTACTCCACAAGGTCACCATCTGCGCCTGCTGGGGTGGGGAGGGTGGTGGGTTGAGGGGGGGATGAGAGGGGCGGAGAGAGAGAGAGAGAGAGAGTCACATCCCGCAGCTGTTTGGTTTGGGGACAATTAAGAATGAGTTTCAGTTTCAGGCACCTGATCACCCCATTCCCGCCCCCCCCCCTCCCCGCAATAATAATAATAATACGTTAATAATAATCTTTGCATTCGATACAGCGCTTTTGGTCCTCTCTTCCCACTCCCCTTCCCCCCCCCCTCCTCCCTCCCTCACTTGGGGTTGGCCCTGAGATGCTATCCCGCGTGAATGGTGCTGTGTAAAGGTCGGTGCTTGTTGGTGTTTCAAAGTGGTTTGAGGGAGGGAGGGAGGGAGAAAGTTGTGAATGAATGTGGGAGAAGTTGATGTTGTTGTTGTTGTTGTGTTCTGCTTGGCGCAGTGTGAAATGGGAATCGGCCGATCAGGACCTGGACCACATCCACTTCTTCTCTTTCTCCCTCATCGATGGCTACATCTCCATCGTGGTGGACACACAGACACAGAAAAGGTCAGCGTGTGGCGGCTCAGGCTGGTTCTGGAAGTAGGGTGCGCACGTGTGTGTGTGTGTGTGAGAGAGAGTGTGTGTGAGAGAGTGTGTGTATGTGAAGGCTGGCACACTATGTTATAGTCCCACGAGCCTGTGTGGCCGCAGTGTGTGATCACAGACAGTGTAAGAGCGAGTGGCCAGTGGGCGGAGAGCGGTGGGAAGCCTCTCTGTGTCTCTCTCTCTGCCTCATGGTGTTTTTTTGGTGACAGGTTCCCCAGTAACCTGCTGCTCACCAGTGCCTCAGCCGAGCTGTGGCGAATGGTTCGAATCGGTGGTCAGCCTCTGGGATTCGGTACGTACACAGCTCGATTGGGGTGGGGGATTCCGATTCTCGCAACGTTGGAAGGGGGTCGGAGGAGGAGGGGGTGGAGGGAGGAATCCTGGGGTTTGAGCCCTCCCCCCAGCGCCCCTGACCCCTCACCCCAGCACCCCTGGGCGCTCTCCTAGCACTGCACTGTCCAAAATTAGGTGGGGGCTATTTGCTGTAGTTACGTTGAGCCTCTGGATGTCCTCTGTGTTGTTGTGTCTCCTCAGACGAGTGTGGAATCGTTGCTCAGATCTCTGAGCCGCTGGCAGACGCTGACATCTCCGCCTACTATATCAGCACCTTCAACTTTGACCACGCGCTGGTAAACAACAACGGCAACTTGCATTTAATAATATTAATTACTTCTAATAATATAATAATAATCCTTGCATTTGATGTCGCGCTTTTCACGTCTTCGAGACGTCTCAAGGCGCTTCACACAGTATACCGTAAAGTGAATTTATAATTGGAGTTGAGGTGTAGATCAGCCATGATCTAATAGAATGGCGGGACAGGCTTGAGTGGCTGAATGGCCTCCCTCCTGTTTCTATGTAAGCTTCTTAAAAAAAACAGTTAAATTGATACCAATTTTGTTCTCTCTCCCTTCTCCCCCGCCCCCCCCCCCCGCCCCCTCTCTCTCTCGCTCTTACTCTCGTTCACTCTCTCTCCTCTCCAGGTGCCCGAAGAAGACATCACAACAGTGATCGGTCTGCTACAGTCCCGCAAAATGGTGAAAGATTGCGTCTCCAAACCCGTTCAACTCTGAAGGGTACAGAGTGCGTGGCTTTGTCATTGGCGTTCCTGCCCCCTCGAATCGACGCGTTTGTTCAAAATACGAAACAAACAACAACAAAAAAGACTAGCGAAGCTGTTTCCCCCGATTCCTGTGCCCCCCCCCCCCCCACACTAGACTGGAGGGGAGAGAGATGGTCCTGTTTTTCAAATGTAACAAACTGGTCATTACACTACAGGAATCTCCTTACTAATCTTCACCCGAGAGAGCTCCGCCTGAATCCCGCTCACTACTTTCCAATTTGCTGGACTTTCTTGCAACGAGATGTGGTGAGATTTGGCTGTAAAGTTGCTTATTAACTTTTTCACTCTCCGCTGCTTTGCGAGGGTCCGTACACGTGTCCTCTCTTTTCTCACGCCTTCCTCAGCCCTCCCCCCACCCCCCTCCCCCCTCCCCCGGCCCCCGTCTCTTAAGGATAAACCGAACAAGGGGTATTGCGAGAGATTTCTCAGATTGCCGCAGTGTAATGAGAAAGCTAGACCCTCGGGCCAATTCGGTGTGTGTGTGTGTGTTTGTGTTGCAACAAGGCTCTGGCTTTAATTTTGCGCTTATTTCTTCACGGATTTCTTAATCAGGCGGTCGGAAAGGAAAGGGAGATAAAAGGAATTAAATCGTCATGCTTCAACCTGTTTTCTTTCACTGGTTGTTGAGAAAGACCTCAAATTAAAATCTAGCATATCTGGAGCATGAGAAAGAACGTGTGCGTGCGTGCGTGTGTGTGTGAGAGCGAGAGTGTCTGACAGTGTGAGAGAGCATGTGAGAGAGAGAGAGAGAGAGAGAGAGCATGTATGAATGTGAGAGAGGAGGGTAAGGAACACTGTGAGTGTGAGAGAGGAGGGTAAGGGTAGTCACTGTGTGTGTGTTCCTCTGTTGGAGACTTGGAAGGGGAGAAAGAGAAGGGAAAGGGTGAGGGAATGAACACGGGGCAGAAACAAGTGTGAAACTTGGAACAGCTAGAATGGTTCATGTTCAGTTCATGTACGTTTTAAGTTTTTTGCTTTTGTTAGGCATGAATTGACTGACATCTGATTATTCTTATTTTAACTTTTCCACAGTTGGTTCTGGGACATTCTGGGAAACCCCTTTGGCGTCCGAGGGCTTGACGAGGCCTCCCCCCAAACTCCGAGCTTTGACCTTGCCTGGTCTTAGCCCCTAACCGTCCCAGAACCAAACTGTGTCTTGTCTTAAAATGTTACAGAGTTGTGGTTAAAAAAAATTCTTTGGCCTTCACTTTAGGGAACTGGGTGGGGGGGGGGGAGTTTTTTTTGTTTGCAAGGCGTTAGCCGGCTTCCTAAATTTAAGGCGAAGTTTGTTAAAACAAACAAAAAATGTTTATTGTATATAGAGTGTTTTCAAGGAATTCTCTTGATCCTATCTAACAGTATTTTGTACTCCATTCGCAGTGTGTTTAAAGAGTCCATTAATCATTCAACACTATTATATTCGCATATAATCACGTCTTCGAGACGTCTCAAAGCACTTTGCAGAATATATTGTAAAGTGAATTGACTGTATATTTTGTAGGCATAACGCGGCAGCCGATTGTGCGCGGCAGTGTCCCACAAACAGGCGTGGATTGATTGGCATAATTTTATTATTATTTTTGAAGGGAATATAACCCCCAGAAAAGCGATTTGCCAATCGACTAACAACCGTGTTCCTACTTACTGTTAGGTAAACAGAGGCTTGTGGTGTAAGGAAACTTGTCCAATGTGTGTGAGTGCGTGTGTGAAGGAGAGCGGGAGGGAGAGAACAGGCAATATTTCCATGAAGGTTCCTGCCAATGAGAATGGTCGGGGGGACTTTGCTGTCTAATAAGTTTAGATGATATTGAAACCTGACTTTGTTGTTCATTATTACCGTTGTGTGGAGTCAGACGTGCCCCATCTAGTGGATGTGTCTGATTTTACACACGATTACACACGAGGTGGAATTCATTTCAACCAATTAAAAAAAATTGTTCGTTAAAAGTGATGTTTTTTTTTATCCCCTCCCGAAAGCCTCAAAACTGCGGCAGCGATCTGGAAGTTTTCAGTCGAACGTGCGAAATCCGCCCACAAAATACACAGTCACTTTATTAATAATAATCATCTTTGCATTTGACATAACGCCTTATCACGTCGTTGAGACGTTTCAAAGCGCTTCACAGAATATACTGTAGAGCGAATTGACTGTGTATTTTATGGGCTAAGTATACTTTACAGAATATCTTGTGAAGCGCTTTGAGACCTCAATGATGTAACAAGACACAATATTAAATTTGAGGATTATAATTATTCTGAATATAACTGATCACTTTTGCCGTTTTGCACTGCTGTTCGCTAGTCGCAACTTTTTTTTTCATACCCCGTACATCCATCGTGGGTTAGGGTGGTAAGCGAATAGCCAAAGGATTTTGGTTGCATTTTCGCGGGCGAGGTGTGGAGTGGGATGGGGGAGCGAACCTCCCTGGAGCCTCGTGGCACAAGCATACACATCTCCTCCGCTCATTTGCACGCTCATGCACTTGCACACTCGTACATTTGCCACACATTTGGTACACGTGTGCGTTCGTTCACTTACGTGTGTGTTCGTTCACGTGCATGCACGTGCGTGTGCACAACTCGCACGTGAGCGTTCACACACACGCACGCGCAGGTCCCTCTCCGAGCTCCGCTTGGAGACTTGGGGTGTTCTTCTGTAAAACAAGTGACCATCCCTTTAATGAACATTCCTTGAGTAAAAGTGATCTCCCTAACCCTAATTGGCAAATCCTAATGAAGAAAAAAGGGGCTGGCCTTAATTATTTCGCAAATAACCCTCCTTCTGGCAGAAATATGCAACATCACTTGGGTTCACAAAAGGGAAGGGTGGTGAGCTCAGTGTGTACAGGAACTGGTGCTGTGTGTGTGTGTGTGCGTTGGGAGGTGGGGGGGGCGGTGGAAAGAGAATTCATTTTGCTGATGTGTGCAACCTTTGGCGTCAGACATCTTTTATCTTTTAACCTATAATCCCTGTGAAAGCAGATATCAAAGATAATCAGCCTTGTATTTGATACGTCTTTGAGACGCCTCAAAGCGCTTCACAGAATTGACTATTGTGTGAGCGAAACACAGCAGCCAATCACGCACATCAGTGTCCCACAAACAGTCGTGGGTTGACTGACCCAAATTTGTATTTAGTAAAAACTCCCAGTCACTCGAGCCTGGCTTAACTTGTGTGTACGCGTGTGCATATGTGTGTGAGCGCGTGTTTGTAGCACAGTTGTGAGTGAGCGACGGTACAAGGTGGAGGGAGTTTCCGGAAGTGGGGGCAAAGTGGCTGAAAGCCTGTCCACCGATAAGACAACAGGATAGAGTAGAAGGGAAATTCGAGGCATTCATTTACGTCCAAAAACAACGCAGAACATTTAATTCCAACCTGAAACCTGACCGTAATTCTTACAAGGTTAGAATGTAGTGCTTTTCTTTCTTACCAGAATATGGCAGATATCTAACCTTGTGGACATGTACCACACATCAGATGACTGGAAATCAACAGAAGTTTTCTGCAAAAACTGAGCAAACTACCACATCAAGGTAGTTTTTACTGTACAGATAAAGATTGTTAACGCACAGATGGACACATCTGATATTTCTGGGTTCGGAGATTCCTGGCCAATATCTCCACTTTAAATTCCACGAAGGAGTAGAGATTACAACCACCTGAATTGGTACAAACCAGTCTTTAATCCCTCTACCCTCCAGGCTGTCAGTGCTAGGGCAGCAATGTCTCATTGATGACTTGATATTATTGTATAATTATTATTATTAAGTCCTGTAGCACGGTGGCTAGTGCGCTCGCCTCTTCAAGCGAGAGGACCTGGGTTCGATTCCCGGGCAGGGCGAAACCTTAGACAAGTTTCCTTACTCCACACCCCTTTGCGTACCTGGTAGTAAGTAGGAACCCGGTTGTTAGTCGATTGGCGTATCGCTTTCCCAGGGGGTAAAAATTTCTTCAAAAAAACAAAATTTGGTCACTCAGTTCACGACTGTTTTGTGGGGCCACTGCAGTGTACAATTGGCTGCTGTGGGATTAGTAATAATCATTTGATACAAATCCTGATTGCGTCATCGAGATGTCTCACAGAGGGACTGCGACTGTGTCACAGAGGGAGAGGTGGGGAGGAGTGGGGGTGCGAAAAAAAACCCCAGCATCTTTGTACTCAGAGATGAGTGTGTTGAATCGATCGTGATTTTTTCTGGAGGTGGGGGTGGAGGGAAGTCTCAGATGGAGACATAACAGCCAGCAGTAACACATAATAATAATAAAATAATAATCCTTGCATTTGATATGGCGCCTTTTCACGTCCATGAGACGTCTCAAAGCGCTTCACAGAATACACTTTAGAGTGAATTGACTGTATATGCTCATCAGTGGGGTGAATGCCAGGCAATTCCATGTAACACATTAACTTGGTAAGCACATAAGGAACTTGATAACCACAAAACATTGTTATCTGCCCCTACAGTGACACTGTTCGTCTATCTAAACTGAATACTTTTCGGTATAATTTCCAGAGAACTCGTACATTTTTATTTCTGCGCACAGAACTGTTGGGATGTGGAGGATACCAAACTCTCAGGAAACTTAAGTGAAGTAATAATAATAATTCTTGCATTTGATATCGCCACTTAGCAAGTCGCTGAGGTGTCTCAGAGTCTTCTGTGAAGTAGATTGACTGTGGACATTGTAGGGCCCACAAATAGTCTTGGATTTTTTTGGGGGGGTGGGGGACGGGCGAGGGTTATTACCTGCGGAAAGCTATCGGCTGATCAATTAACAATCCGGTTCCTGCTTATCGCTAGGTCCTCCCGACGTGAAAGGCACTAAATAAATGAACACTGAAAAAATGCCCCCTCCCTGTAAATTTCTATTCACCGCCAACATCAAGAACAAATTGCATGTACGAGGACATCACGAGGGTCTGATTTTGGTGACCTGTCAAAATCACTATCTCCCAACACCCAAAATATCCATCTTGCCTTTGTAGCCTTAGAGCTTGGTGAACAATCACACCCCACCCACCCACCCACCCCCGCTCACCCTCCCCATCTCCTCCCACACATCCCGCTTCCAAATTAAGACCGGTTTTAAGAATTTCCCACAATATCGCAATACCGTCATTTTGTTTTAAAAAATGTTCCTCGGGGCTAAGACCCGGTGGAATTTGGGCTCTCTCTGACTTTCTCATCAGTGTTGACTCGTGGGTTTGTGACTTTTTATGCTTTCTGGCAAATGGTGATAAAAATCAGTGCTAACGTGTGCTTTCTGTCTCTTGACTGACTGTAAACTCCTGTGGTTGACCTGGTTAGCCCACTGACTGTTTAAATAAGCCCTGCCTTCGACATGTCACCTTATCTCCTGGTGACGACTCAAAGCGCTTCACGGGATTTTGTTTTACTGGCAAAGTGTAGTGACTGTGTGTTTTCAGCAGGCGAACGGGTCAACCAGATTACTCGCGCAAACAGCCAACGAGTTTCTTTCTCTTTCAAGTTGACATCGTTCAACTCACAAGAATAGCGTCTTCGACAATGCAACGATTCCCCCTAACACTGCACTGGAACGTCAACCTAAACTAGGTGAACGTTTTTAACCATTTTATCTCTGAAAGACGCAGTTCTCCAACTACTCCCCCCCCCCCCACCCCCATCCCCTCCTCCACTTTCTCTACAGCGTCAACAACAACGACTTGCATTTACACATCGGGAGTACATCCCCAAGGTGCTGAACGATGAGGGATTTGCACCCAAGCTGTAGAAGTGGGGTGACTATGACTTGGAGGCTCAACTTCCCTCCCAAAACTTTCTAGCTGCCTTTCCAACAAGTCTTGCAATTGCAACACTCAAATAATTGCCAATAACGTCACATCACAAAATGAAAAGTTCACTGTTAGGGCACTCACAGTAAAGCAGATACTAATCTAGGGCACTTTTACATCAATCATACTTAGTCCATCTCAATGATAGACACTGAGACACTGATCGAGGCCAATTGGGGTCAGTTGGAAACACGCTTGCCTTTTGGCCAGAAGATTGCGGGTTTAAAACCCGCCTCTATTTAATTATTATTATTAATATTATTGTTAATAATAATCATTGTGTCTGTAAAATCGGTGAAACGTTTTGAGACCTGCTATGTCTGCTCAAGGTGCTTACATTGAAATTTGTTTTAGTTGGCTCTTTCGCTGGCACCTCTCAAAACCCTTCTCTTTGATTCAGCCTTTGGCCACCCTCTTTCCCTCCCTGGCCTCCACCCTCCCTGATCCCAAACCCCAGCTTGGGTCCAAATCCCTGACTGTCCAGTGCCTTGGGATGTCCTCCTGACATGAAAGGCGCTGGCTAAATGTATTTATATTGTATAAGCCAAAGCCCTCATGGGTAGGGAAGTCCTAGACGGACAAGCAGCAGGAAAGTTTGCCAGACGATGCTCTCAGTGTCAATCTATGCGGTTTTAGCTGATTAGATTCCAGCAGTTACCCCTCATCCAATGCACACTCTGGGGTCCCCCAAGCCTTGGTTCTTGCCAACCTGCACAGAATTAGGTAAGCAGGATGCATCCCTCAAGGGAAAGAGAGAGAGAGAGCGTGCGCATTCCCATCCAATAATCTATTTAACTTTGGGAATTCTCATTTTGGTTTAGAGACTCTCAAGCACGGCAATGGGTTTCTGCGTGTGTCAGACACTCGACTGACCAAAAAAAACCACACGGGTTACCAGCTCCCACTCCCCAAAAAAAGCAAAGCCTTAATTTTATGGGATCTGCAGAAACTGTCAAACCCAAACCTAATCATCTCCTCACCCACGTTCACAAGTCCTGCGATATCGTTTGTTATCTTGACCATCTGAATTGAGCAGAGATCAGCACAGTCTCGCTGCTGATTCAGAATATGTGAACATTGATTGACCAGAATAAGATTGTTGTCTGTTACGGAAGTAAAATGGAACTAGTGTGCTTTTTTTTTTTTTGGTCAACCGGGTGTCACCGTGCTTACGAGTATCCAAACCAAGCTGAGCATCCCACCTGCACACACCTACACATGGAAATTCCAGAGATAGAGTGTTGCAATAGAATGCGCACTCTCTCTCTCTCTCTCTCCCTGGAGGAACGCATCCTGATTACCTAATTCCGGAAACTGTTAGGCGCAGGTTGCCAAGAGCCAAGGCTTGGGAGAATCCCAGAGTGAGCCTACTGGCTGACATGTAGTTTCTGGGAATAAGGGATGAGAGAATGCCCTTGATCTTGTCCTTCTTGAATTCCTGTTCATTCACCCTCCACCACTGTCCACCCATGATAGCATAGAGCTATTTCCTAACTTTGAGATCGCTGGCGCTCTTGCGTAGTGCTGATGGTGGGGGTGGAAGGTGGAACACTGCATTGTCGAAGCCGCTATCCTTCGAATGAGACCTTAAAACCGAGCCTGTGCCTAAAAGAGAAGGAAAAAATCCAGGGAGTTTCTCTTGACAAGGTGGTCGACAATTCCCCCCCCCACCCCACCCTCCTCCAATAAAATCGCTCGTTTGCATCGCGGCTGCTTGCGGGGATGTCGTTGAGCGCACACTGGCTGTTACGTTTGGCTCTGCAATACACAGTCATGACAGTTCACAGTAAAATCCTGCCCACACGGGGGCCGCTGTATCAAAGGCTCGTTATCGTTTATGTATCAAAGGATCTTTATTCTTCTACTCATCCCTCGTCTCTTCTACTAGAGTCTCCCTCTATCTGTCTTCAACAAAAAGTTGTTTTCACAAATGCTTTCACAAGGCCTTGTCTTTGTAATTGATCAAAGAGTCTTTCTTGCCTACCTCCTGCCCACGCACAGATATCTTATGCCAAAATTTCTTGCACACAAAGTGTCCTCATGCGCTCAGTACGAAATGCTGATGAAATATCCCTCGCTCTCCTCTGTCATTTGTGTATGGAATGACACAAGACGAGAGATAGGAAGGGCCATCAAGTCCAGGCAGGTACCAGCTGAGTCACTGGTTAACTTGTACCTCTGCATCCCATTGCCTTAACTATTCCTCGTCCACATTAGACTTGCTTTACCCGGGGTCAATGGGCATTCGAGCCTAGGGTTGGGACTGATAGCTCTGAGAGGGAGGGAGGAATGGAGAGAAGGGGTGCACATTGTTGGAGGTGCCCATGAGTCCCGTAGAGTATTGGTCAGAGCACTCGCTTCGCATGTGAAATGACTCTGGGTTCGTTTAGTAGGAGAGGATGGCGATGGGATTGGGGTGGGGGGGGAGTTTACCAGTCTGGGCAGTCGTTAATTGGACAACCGTTCCATTCGTTCCTCCTTTTGACTTCTGATCACACCACTCACAGAGCGAGATCAAATCCTCATTAGGAGTGCTGCTAGATCGAAAGCCAGCACTTCTGACGAACACGGTGGGAACCACAGCTGGAATAAATTAACTGTTTACAGTCGTTGAAAACCCACTCAAAGCTTCAGGAACTTGTGTTGTGGTTGTGGCCGTTGTTTTTGCAATTTGAAACCTTAAGTAGAATTTCTGGCTTTGCACGCCTCTCAAGTGTCGTGACTTTGCTCACTCTCTGTCTTTCCCGGTGTGTTCCCACTCCTAACCCATTCTCCCATTCCCCCTTCCCCCCCCGTTATATTTTCAGCAAATCCTCTTCCCCCCCACCCCCTCACACCCTTTTCTCCAAGATGTTGACTGCCGTCCGCTCAAACAGACGAGAGTCTGGGTTTAACGTCTCAACTGCAAAGCGGAGGCTCCGTCGTTCAGCCCAAGTCTACGGACCCCTCAAATCCCCTCCAGCCCATTCCCCCCCCACCCCGTCCGCCCCATCCCTGAGAGGCTACGGAGCAAACCTCAAAGGCAGCAAACACACTCTGTAGCCAGTTGAAAAAACTTATTGGCAATTCGTGTCAAAAAAACTCCGGCCCCACCAATGTTTTAACCCAGGATGTCAATCCATCACCATGTGAGCGTTTCTCTGCGCAGGCAACTTCTTTCCAAGAATCTTAAATACTGAGCAAAGCAAGTAGTAATAAATTGCCGATGTCACCGTCTTTCCAAGAATCATTAATTGCGAAAGAGAGGGTTGATTCGTAATCCTTATTGTGGCCTGTTAGTTTCCACAAAATCATCTCAAGTACAAGTTTTAACAACTCGCTCCCCCCGCTCGTTCTTTTTTGGCGGGGGGGGGGATTATTTTGCGTGGGCATCCACGCATGTATGCGAGCGTGTACGTATGTATCGGCGTGTGTCTATGTGTTTGTGAGTGACAGTCTCGGAGTTGTGTCCCTGGGGCCAAAATGTTGCCCAGACTGAGCAAGGACAATAAAATCATTTTTTTAAAAAAAAGGTAATCATTGCTAATAATTCTCGCGTTCAACGTAGCGACTTATCACGTCGTCGAGACGTCTCAAAGCGCTTCACAGGATATACTGTAAAGTGCCGTGACAGAGGCGTGTAGAGTAAGGAAACTTGTCCAAGGTTTCGCCCGGGCTGGAATCGAACCCGGAACCTCTCGCTTGCGAGACGAGCGTGCTGAACACACATATATGGTGGAGCTACAATACTCCACGATATATGTGTATATGTGTATGTATGTATATATGTGTCCCCTGATTTGGTTTGCAAAATATGGTCTCCCAAGTTTACTGCCTCTTTAATGCTCTGTCTCTCTTTCTCCCACCCCAACGTGCATTGAGCATTTCAGAGCAGGAAAACGACTAGTTAGCAGTTTGATTAAAGATTCAGGAGTTGGAGTAAGTAAGTTGTTTTTTTGGTGGGGGTGGAGGAGAGATAAGAGTAGTGGTGAGTGAGTAAGTGAGCGAAATTGACAAGTGTTGATTTCATGTTGATTTCACAGCTTCTCTGATTCCCCCCTTTCTCTCTCTGCTGCTGAGAGAAGAAAAGCAAGTGAAACATTTTTTTTTCTTCCCTTTTTTGTTTGAAGAACAAACGTTTTTTTTTCTCTCCTTCTCGACCCAACTTCCTTGGTGTCCGGAAGCTTCTTCACTTGGCTTCCCGTTTCTTTCAGAGCCTTCAAGTGGTGCAAGCGAGTGCGTTAAAAGTAAGTGGTTTTAAGCATTTTTTTTAAAAAAAACTTAAATTAACTTTAAATCAATTGCCCGTGAATGTACTTCTCGACACACAAACAAACAAAGCAAACTTGCCATTTTTAATGACATTTTGTTTGCTAATTAAGAGCAAGAGGTTATGTCTTTGCAAGACTTTAGTTTGTGAATTGGCATTTCTGGTAAGAAAGGAAGGAGAGAGAGAAAGAGAGAGAGGTTTAATTGGGGGTGAAGGCATCTCTCTCTCTCTCCTCTCCATTCGCTTTCGCAGCCAAGCGAACTGTGGATTTTTCCAAGCCAAAATTGTTTGCAAAAGTCCTGTTGTATTTTGTGTGTGTTGTGTGTGCAGTCTCGGGTGTACTCTATATAAGCGCCATAATGATGATTTTGCACTTACGAAAGCCCATGTGGTTCGCCAATGAATATGACGTTAAATCTCTTCAGGAAATCGCCCTTTAGGGCCAGAAGACAATGTGATATAAACACCAGACAGCCCCCTTAGGGCAATTTAAATATTTTTTCTCTCTGCTGTCATCGACTATCTCTGAAACTCATTCTTTTCCTCCCACCTCCTATTCTTCACCACCCCTCCACTCCCCATATTGCAATATAAGTCAGAATTATTTTTGGATAAGTAATAACTTGTCAGTCTCAAGAGGTGTGAAAAGATGGAAATTGATAGAGGTAACTTTTTTTTGGTATCTCTCTCTCTCTCTCTGATAATAATACTTAATAATAATAATAATCCTTGCATTTTGATTCTCTAATTTGATAATTTTTTGATTTTTGTTCTCCTTTTTTTTGGTAATTCACACTCTCTCGCTCTCTCTTGCTCTCTCAATCACTCTCACTCTCACTCACTCTTGTTAACAAAACTTTGGACTGTACTTTATTTGACAGCTGGCAAGAGAGCGCCTTAATTGACAATAACTTTTTTTTAAAAAATAATCATAAGTTATTTTTTGGTCTTATTTTTGAAAAAATATCGTATCTGTGAAAGTTGATCAAAAAGTGTCTTTTTTTTCATTGATGCACTGACAGTGACCGACACACACACACAGGGAGAATGAATGGATAGGGGTTGGTGTATTGGGGTGTGTTAGTTTGTGTGTGTGTGTTGGGAAGGGATGTAAATCATTGCGAAGGATAGATGCTTTTCCTTTGATTGTTTGTTCGATTGCCTTCATTTAACATGTCGTCTCTTTTTCTCTCTTTCTCGTTCCCCCTCTCACAGCAGCATCCGCACACCTTCTCCTGTTTCTGCTCTCCTGTACCTACGTGAAGTCCAACGCAGTCGTCGATTGCTGCAAGACGAAACATGTCCGCGATTTGGTCGACGAGCTTCACATGAAAGCCCGGGACCTCCTAACCTTATTCGTAAGAGATTTCCTCCTCATTCCCCCCCACCTTCCCTGTGTCCGCGCCCCCCGCCCCCCAAACGTAGCTGGTCTTTAGCCATCAGATCGTTTGGGGGAAAAAATATTATTCGGGTCAGCACCCATGTCTGATTTACCGTGCATTTTCCACTCTAAGTTAGATTATGACTCAAGATCTTTCTCTTCGGTTATGCTTACGTAGAGTCCTGTCGCTCAGTGGTCAGAGCACTCACCTCGCAAGCAAGAGACCTGGGTTCAAGTCCCGGCAGGTGAGGGCGAACCCTTTGGCAAGTTTGCTTACTCCACACGCCTGATAATAATCCCTCAAGAAAAAAATAATAATAATAAATGGTTACTTTAATCCACGACTGTTTGTAGGACACCTCTGTGCGGAATTGGCTGCCGTGTTTTGCCCATAAATATGCAGTCAATTCACTTTACAGTATATTCTGTGAAGCGCTTTAAGACATTTAGAAGATGTGAAAAGTGCTATATCAAATGCAAGGATTGTTATTATTATTATGGCCTCCTCCTATGTTCCTAAGAAGACCATGTGTGACCACGAGTGATGTCTAAGTAACCAGAGACTCTCCTCTTTCCAGCTGTCTCTCCAGGGGCCTCCATTCAGCTCCAACACCAACCAGCTGTGCAGGGTGTCCATGCTCTGTCTTCCCAAGAACCTCCTACACCCGGAACTCGAGGAAGCTCTTCTGGAAATCCATGCTGCCATCGACTTCTTCGACCGGCAATTGGGGAACGTCAGGGAACAGCAACAGAAGCTGAACGCCCGGAGCAAGCTGCTGACGGACAAACTGACGGCTAACATGAACATGCTCACGTCATTAAGGACCCACTTCCCACCCGCACCCACCGTCTTGGATGGGCCGGAGGGCAGCAGCCCCGAAGTGGATTGCGAGCCGTGGATACACGGATACTCAAGGAAGAAGTTCCAGGAGAAGAGGAGGGAATGCGCCATCTTGCAGGCGTTTGAGAATTATGTGAAGGGAGTGTCGATTCACTTCCAACACTCGTACTCTAGACATTGCCACGGAAAGTGACGACGTTTAGCTGCTCAATGTTATTCCCAAGGTAATAAATTTGACTTCACTCTCTCCTGTCAACTGCCTCCACAATCACCAGACCCCCCCCCCCCCCCCCCCACGGAGAGAAACCCCTTTCTCCTTTCGAGACACAGATCTGTGGGGAGGTCTTTAACGCGGGCCTGAATAGGGCACAGATTGAGGGGGTGGGGGGGGGCGGCTTCGTTTATTTAATATCTTCTCTGAAGGATAGGGTCACCGACAATGTAGCGTTCCCCCCTCTCCCCTACCCCAAACCTACCTCTACTCCCTCTCCCCCTCGGTGGGTTCATGGTAGACAATTTGATCGTAATGCAAAAAAAATTAATAATTATAATAATCACCGGCAGCTTTTTGGACGATTGTCCAAAATATCCCGCGTCCAAATATCCCGCGATAATAATAATAATAATAATAATAATCCTTGCATTTTGAAACGCCTTTTCACGTTGTCAAGACGTCTCAAAGCGCTTCACAGAATATACTGTAAAGTGGATTGACTGTGTATTTTGTGGGCGAAACGTGGCAGCCAATTGCGCACAACAGCGTCCCACAAACAGTCGTGGATTGAGTGACCCCAATATTTTTTTGAGAAATATTATTATTATCATTATTATTTTAATTTCTGATTTCAATTCCAAGTTTCAGATTACGAGCCGGATCAAGACTGGAGTAGGTGAACGGCCTGTTTCTGAGCTGTACTTCCTCGGGATCTAAACTCAACACCGGGAAATATTTTTTTTTAAAAATTGTCAGAAAATATTTATTTAATAATAATAAGGTTTTTTAAAGTATTGAATTTATTGCAATTTTTTTGGTATGAGATGAACAACTTATTTAAGATCTCTTATTTGTATTTATTTATGGTCATGGATTTTGTTAAAATAAAGAATATTTGGTGATAAAAAATTTTCTCACCCCCTGTGTTTTTTGGGCAGCTGAAGTGTGCGTGTCTGTCTGACGTGTGGAAACCCAGCACTGTGCTTAATAGTGTGCAGAGCATGTCCTTCACACACATAAGCCACCTAAGAAGGAAATCACTTGTGTCTAAAATGGAATAAGCTCTCTCTCGCCCCTCCACCCCCACCTACCTCCCAGTCCTGAAGGGATGTACGATACTTACCCAATTCTGGAGAGTATCAGGCGCAGGGTGGCTGGAGCCAAAGCTTAAAGACTCCAGGAGCGTCCGTTTGGGTTCCAGAGGGTGGGGGGGGCAGGAAGGCTGAAGGTCCGATCACCAATGGTGGGGCAGGCAGGCGGCAGGGCAGGGGGAACGTGGAGCAGGCCAATGCCTGCTGAACGGAGCGAGCGGAGAGGTTGGTTATGGTGTTAAGAGGTCGCAGATGAGTGAGAGTAGCACGACTGTGGAGGGCTTTTAAACTCAATCCTCTGGGGGATGGAAGCCAGCGGAGCCGGGCAATGATGGGGATGAGTTTGCTTAGTCGAGTCTGGACGTGTTGAACGAGGATGCTTCCTACACCCACACATAGACATTCCAGAGATAGATTGTTGTAATCCGTGGCGGGACGCATTCTGCTCACTTAATTCTGGAACGTGTTAGAGCAGGATGGCAAGAACCAACGCTTAGATGGACCCCTGAGTGTGGGTTGGGGGAGGAAAGTGGTAACTGCTGGATTCTAACCAGTTAAAACCACATATTTTACCATTGAGAGCACTGCCTGGCAAGCTTGTCCAGCTAGGACCACCATTACCCATTGGGGCTTTGGCTTGCAAAGCCAAGCCATGTTAACCCTGCAAACTGAGGGGTGGGGTGGGGGTTAGGGTAAACAGGCTGAGTTTCTGCAGTCTCTCTCTGTCAGCAAAAATGGGTGAGTAGATGAACAGGCAACAAATAAAATAAAGGCAAAATGTCTTTTCTAAGTGAGACTGTGTTTCCGATGAATCAAAGTAGAATGGAAATTTCTTTCTCCAGAATCTTCGATTTAAGATTTGAAGTTTAGATATTTTTTATTTTTCCGTCGTATCTCTTAGATTGTAATTTTTTATCGGGTTGGAGGGGACTTTCGGTTCATTTAACAAGATGTCAATAAGAATTATTATTATTCTGTTAATCTTTATGTTTGATTAACCTCAGTAAGCCAGTCAGGAACCTGGGTATCTTGTTTGACCTTGAACTGTCCTTTCTCCCCCACATCTGCACCATGACTGGCACTGCCTACCACCACCTCCGCAACATTTCTAGACTCCGTCACTGCCTCAACCCTCAGGCTGCCAAAACCCTCACCCACACATTTGTCACATCAAGGCTCGATTACAGAAACTCCCTCCTCATTGGCCTTCCCAACTCTTCCCTTCACAAGCTGCAGATCATCCAAAACTCTGGACCAGGCTCCGTGACCCCATCACTCCCACCCTCGCCCAACTCCACTGGCTCCCCATCCCCCAGAGGATTGAGTTCAAGATCCTCATCCTCATTTTCAAGGCCATCCATGGTCTTGCCCCCTCCTACCTCTCTGACCTGCTGACTCCCTACCAACCTGCCCGCTCCCTCCATTCAGCAGCCTCTGGTCTGCTTCATGTCTCCCGCCCGAACCACCCTACCATCGGTGGCCAGGCTTTCAGCCTCTCTGCCCCCATACTCTGAAACTCCATCCCACAGTCACTTTGCCTCGCTTCCTCCCTTGCCTCCTTCAAGGCCGGTCTCAAGACCCTTCTCTTCTACTGTGCCTTTGGTCACCCTCCCACCGCTCTGCCTTCACTCACCCCTACACCACCCCTCCCCCATGCTCGGGCCCCGACACCTGACTGTTCAGCGCTTTGGGACGTCCTCCCGACGTGAAAGGCGCTCTATAAATGTAATTTTGTTGTTGTTGTTGTTGATTCCAGAATGTTCTCTTTGACCCGTATCCAATTCCCAAACTCCAGATCCATCAGGTAGGGTTATTACCCCCAAATAAAAGTAATAATAATAATAATAATCCTTGCATTTGACATGATGCCTTATCATGTCTTTGAGACGTCTCAAAGCGCTTCACAGAATATGATGTAAAGTGAGTAGATTGTATACATTTTGTGGGCGAAATGCGGCAGCCAATTGTGCACAGCAGTGTCTCACAAACACTTGTGGATTAAGTGACCAAATTATTATTATTTTTTTGAAGGGATTATTACCCCCCAGAAAAGCGATCTGGCAATCGACTAACAACTGGGTTCCTATTTACTGCTGAGAAAACAGAGGCGTGTGTGTGGAATAAGGAAACTTGCCTAATGTTCACCCCGCCTGGGAAACAAACCCAGGTCCTCTCACTTGCTCCCCAAAAGGGAGTCATTTCCCTGTGCAAAGGCTAATCAACAGCTGGAGCGGGTTAACAGGAAGGCTGAAGCTGGCCAGGGCACTGGACTCACTTAACACGTGGATGGATGCTGTAATGATGGTGGGTGTGGGTGGTGTTTATTTCAGAAGGGTGAGATCAAATGGAGCAAAGTTCGGCTGAATTTATCTCAAGAGCCACCTAGAAGCCTGATCTGATCTGATCTGACACCTAATGCTTGAGGAGGGTTTAATGCATCCTTTTTTATCATTGGCCGCGGGTCAACAGGCGGATGGGACCTCTGTGTTTAGCGTCCGATCCCTAGGAGGTCCACTGGATTGCGATACCGATAACTACAACAACTCACATTTAAACAGCGGCCATCACGCGGGGCAGCACTTTGAGACAATGTGATAAGGTGCGATATTAAATGCACGGATTATTATCATTCTAAGGATTATTATTAATATTGACGCTGGTTTCATTAATGTGAATGAACCATTACCATTAATGGTTCTATTGAGATCCAAAAGCAAACTGATAGATGCCACGGAATATTTTTTTTTGTTTTAATTTGCTGAGTGTGTGTGTGTTGTGAAGAGAAATGACTGTATCGGTTATTCACTCCCTATCTGATCAGACGTTTATCTCCGATATAGAACCGAGAGCCCAAACCAGGGAGAAGTTTGTCATCATCACATTATCTTCTGATGACTATCACTAACCCATGCTCTTAATATCTGGAAACTGATTCACTGGAAGAACGATAAAATATTTGTTTTATTATTTTGCCTTTCTCCCTTCCTCTGTCACCTCGCCCAACTCCCAGCCCTCCACACCCCCCCCCACCCCCCCCCCCCCCCCACCCCGGATAAAATCACTCACTTTGCTGTGTGGAAAATTTTCAGCAGCGAAATACACAGTCACCTTGTTTGGTGGAAAACTCTGAGACGTTTCTGCGCAGTAAGACGCTATATCAAATGCAAGGATTAGTATAACATTTGAGCTCACTGATCACCCGTAAATCCCAGGAACTTAATCATGTGGCCTCCTCATGACTGTTGACCTGTTATTCTCAGACAGACAGAAAACCAGGAACTGTCTGTAACCAACAAAGCAGACAGGTCGTGACACTCGCTCATCATCCTTAGTATAATGATCCTTGCATTTGATAGAGCGCCTGATCAGGTCGTTGAGACGTCTCAAAGTGCTTCACAGTGTATACTGTAAAGCGGTTTTGCTCTCCGATGCTACCCTGCGTGAGGGGCACTATATAAATGCAAATTGCTGCTGCTGTTGTTGTTTTGGGCGACGCGCGGCAGGCAGTTTGCGCACAGCAACGTCCCACTTTTGTTCAGGGCAACTCACGTTTGGTCAGGGCGACCCACCATCTCCAAGTCTCAGTGAGCAAATGGATTCATCATTGAATCCAAGGTTGAGTTAGGTCATTGGTTTCATCTGGTGGAGAAGACCAGTCAAGTCTCAGTCTCCTCTTTCTTTACCTGGAAGAACATTTAAACGAGCTGATTTAGTTTTCCTTATCTTTTTATCAACAGGTGCACAGAATGAAACACTAGCAGATGGTCTCCGCTAGGGGGCACTGACTGCTCGTTTTAAAATCTGGTGAGGAGGGAAATTATTCAATTTTTAGCTTTGCAATGACTTAAATAAGCGTTTCACGGGCAAAGGGCGCTACGTGTAATGACTGGTTTTGTAGGCCACTGAGAAGGTCTTACAACACGGCCGTTTAATTTGGAGGATTGTTGGCCAGGACATTGGACGAAGTCCCCTTCTCGTTTCCAATGGTGTCCACTGGGTCTTAACTTTACTCTGTGAGCAGGCCGAGGGGTTTAATGTTGGTTTAATGTCTCGTCAAAAGCACGGCAGCCTTGACTGTGGGCCGGAAGCTGGCAAAGGAAAAACATGGTGGGACGGGGTTGGGATTTGGGGTGCGTTTGGGGTCTAGAGGTGAGGTTGGAGGTTTGGATGTGATTAGGGATTTGGGGTACGGTTAGGGTTTTAGGGGAGCCCTTCCCACGGTGGTGGGTGGAGGGGGGGGGTTATCGTGCTGACCCTGTGACCACTGTGCCTGTTCTCAGCTTTCTTCCCTCAGCACAATGTGTGTCAGCAATGTGTAACTGAGTCGGGAACCTGATAGCTCCGTCAGACAGTTAACAGGGAATCCAAGGCGAGAGTGGTCTCATTAACCTGCCTGAAGGGGAAATAACCCGCATCTGTTAGATCAACCCTTGCCATCAGGACATTTACTGTGTCCCTTTTGTACCTTCAGTGAATAAAACAAGCTGTTTCTTCCAATGGCCCATTGAATAGCCGTGGTGTCTGGGGTAATGATGAGGCACGGGCACTGGATAGATTGTGGAGGAATATTTTAGAACAGACATCAGGAAGCATTGTCTTCTTTTGCACCAGGCTCCGTGAGCCGATCACCTGCATCCTCGCCCGGCTTTGTTGTTGTTAATGATGTATGGTGTCCGAGTCCTGTGGAGTAGTGGATTGAGTGACCAAAGCGATCTGCCAATCGACTAACAACTGGGTTCCTACTTACAGCTCGGTAAACAGAGGAAACTTGCACACTCGCCTCACAAGTATGAGGACCCGGGTTTAATTCCTGGGCAGGACACAACATTAAGCAAGTTTCCTTACTCCACACACCTCCAGTAAGTCAGTCGATTGGCGGATCGCTTTGGTCACTCAATCCACGGCTGTTTGTGGGACACCGCCGTGCCCACAAAATTCACAGTTACTACGCTTTATAGTATATTCCGTGAAGCGCTTTGAAACTTCCCGACAACGTGATAAGGCGCTATATCAAATGCAACGATTATTATTCTAATATTTGAGGTGCGAATGGTTGTCAAATGAGTATTTTTACTTGTTATTCAAATCTTATTGGTATTATTACATGAGACAGTGATGTGTTTGAATGGAGAATTGGAATCAGATCCCATTCGAAGTGCTGGTTCTCCACCCCACAGATAGAGGGCAGCTTGTGTGCTGTATAGACAAGGACACCTATCTATGATTTGGATTTATTGAGTAACCTCACTTGTCACTCTCTCTCTCTCTCTCTCTCTCTCATCCTCTCACTCTCTTTGGCTGAAATCCAACGTCTGCCTGTTCCTTGCAACGATTCGGAATGTCTTCAACTGCAACTTGTGGGTGTGATGAAGAGGGTTAGTTAGAAAGAGAGAGGGAAGGAAGGAAGGAAAGAGAGAGAGAGAGAGAGAGAACACCACCCTGTTCTGGTCTAGGGATGGGCTATGTGGTCTGTGATCGTTCTCAGAGCTTTGTAGTTGTGTGGAACAGCAGAGAGAGAGAGAGAGACACACACACACAGATAGACAGAGAATTCCTTCATCTCCTATTGGAAACCAATTCACCTTATTCTGATGTGACTCCAAACATTGAATAGCAAGACAGACAGACAGTCTCTCAGTTACTTGGCTTAACCTGGGTGCAGACACACACACACACACACACACACATATATATATATAGAGAGAGAGATAGCTCAAATATATTTATATATGTGAGAAAAACAAGTTGCATCCTAAAACCAGTTATGGCTAAAAACACTTCATTGTATTTTCGCATCATTGAAGGAAGGAATTTACCAGCGAAAGATGTGTAAGTTATCTCTTGGACATTTGTGGAGTCATTTATCTGTGTCTGTCTGTCTGTCTGTCTGTGTCTGTGTGTGTTTCTGTCTCTCTCTCTCTCTCTGTGTGTCTTGTGTGTGTGTCTGTGTGTGTGAGTGTGTCTCTCTCTGCCTGAAATCTCGACATCAACATACTTCGAGCACCTGTTGATGTGGAAATGCGAATAGATTTTAACATTGCAAATCTTTCCCTTTGTATTTGCTGTCTCTTCCTCTCCCTCTCTCCATCCCTCATTCCCCTCTCTCCCTACAGGTCAGGGACAAGCGACCCTTATTGCATGGTTAAAGTGGACAATGAATTGATAGCCAGGTGAGTACCTGACTGCCCATTCATGTGTGTTCTCAGTCAAACATTGCCCTCCAACTCTCTCTAGTCGTATATTATACATATATATATATTATATATCTCTCACTGATAAGCCTGGTTTGTGCTAAAAGAATTAATGTGTGTGTGAGTGTTTGTGTCTGGATTTACAGTGCTTTAACTGATAACGCCTTTATTACAGGACTAACAGATAAAGAGTCTTTTAAAACTAATAATAATAATAATAATAATTTGGTGGCTCAATCCACTGTGGGATACTGCTGTGCGTAATTAGCTTCCACCTCTTGCCCTTAAAAATATAATCAATTCACTTTGCAGTATATTCTGCGAAGCGCTTTGAGACGTCTCGAAGACATGATAAGGCGCTATATCAATTGCAAGGATCATTATTATTATCTTGTCGATTCAATTATTATTCTATTTAAATTATGTTAGCAATATTAAATTATTATATAAGTAATATTAATTATAATGTTAATATTATATAATTATAATGAATGTTATATCATATTGATTATGTAGTCCTGTTAGCGTATTGGTCAAAGCGTTCGCCTCGCAAGTGAGAGGACCTGGGTTTGATTCCCGGGCAGGGCGAAATCTTTGGCAAGTTTCCTTACTCCACACCCTTCTGTTTACCGAGCAGTAAGTAGGAACCCGGCTATTAGTCGATTGGCGGATCACTTTCCAGCTGTAATAATCCCTCTTAAAAAAATGAATAATAATTTGGTCACTCAATCCACGACTGTTTGCGGGACGCTGCTGTGCGCAATTGGCTGCCGCGTTTTGCCCACAAAAAAATACACAAGTCAATCCACTTTACATTTTTTTTTCTCTGTGAGGCGCATTGAGAACGTCTGGAAGATGTGATGAGGCGCTATATCAAATCCAAGTGTTATTATTGTTATTGTTATTATTACAAGACACCGGGACCTCTACGGTTCGCTTGAAGGACACAAATGGGGAGCTCAGTTTAACGTCTCACCTGAAATATGGAGACACACTGTTTGGCCAAGTTTATTTATCTTCCTTCAACATCACCGATAACGTACACCATAAACAAACCGTGCTGATGCCAAGTGTTGTTAATTGTTGTGACTACATTTCTTTGGAATCGTGAGGATTAAAGGGCAAAGCGAGATAGTGTTTTAGAGGTTAACGATCCCAGAAAGAGAAAGGAGTATCTCCCGGAGAGGTAGGGGTTGGGAGGATTGAGGAAGGGGGTCAGAAGGAAATTCCGTGGGAGTGTCCTTTTTACCTCTGGGGTGGTTGGTAAACATTCTTTGATGTAGCCAGTCGGAATATGACCTGCTGTCTGGTAATTATTTTTAATTATGGCTATGAATTTGATATGTAACTCAACCTTTGGCACATATTGCCATACCTCGATACAAAGATCCACACAAAGATACAACAGGAAGAAAGTCAAGTCAGTGCAACAGTCGAATGATGAAATGCAGCGAATATAACTTATATTGTCAATCAGGCTGCCTCTCCCCAGTGTTTGTTAAGCACCTTTTTATTTATAATAAAAATTTACAGCTGAACTAAATTTAAAGTGTACATTGTTCACCGCGGTTTGTTCAGTAATAATTTCTCAGTTTCCATCTCTCCCTCGCTCTCTCCTCATGTGTTTTCCTGGATTTCAAATATTAATTTCAAACAATCCTTGTGTATTTAATAATAGCTCCATAATCCTTGCATTTGATACATCCCCTTATCACGTCATTGGAACTTCTCAGACCGCTGCACAGAATATATTGTAAAGTCGATTGCCCATGTATTTTGTGGGCGAAACACGCCAGCCAATTGCGCACAGCTGTTTCCCACAAACAATCATGGAGTGAATGACCAAATTATTATTATTTTTGAGGGGTTGGGTAGATTATTACCCCCCGGAAACCGATCTGCCAATCGACTTAAAAAAACAGGTTCCGATTTACTGCAGGGTAAACAGAGGCGTGTGGAGCGAGGAAACTTGCCTAAGGTTTCGCCCCGCCCGGGAATCAAACCCGGGTCCACTCGCTTGCGAGGCGAGGGTGCTAACCGCTACGCTTTCCGGTATATTTCTGAGAAACGCTTTGAGACGTCTCAACGATGTGATAAGGCGCTATATCAAATGCAAGGATTATTATCATTATGATTATTATTATTGTTGAGGAACTCTTGTGAGACGACGTGAAGCTGGTGGTTCACTGTCTGCTCATCACACAGGACAGCCACAGTTTGGAAAAACCTGAACCCTTTCTGGGGGGAAGAATACACACTCCACCTCCCCATGGGCTTCCATAGCCTCTCCTTCTACGTCATGGATGAAGACACCATTGGGTGAGTGAACGACAATGTCACACAAACCTAACAAACATCTATCCACCTCAATCATTGACCAGAATCACGTGATATCTCTTTACTTCTCTCTCTCTCTCGCTTTCTCTCTGAGAAAGCAGAACGTGAAATTTAATCGTTCTTTTTAAAAAAAAACTTGCCCCGAAACTAAACGAAACCTTCCCCATTAACATCCCCAGGCACGATGACGTCATCGGGAAGATAGCTCTGAGCCGGGAGAGCATCGCAGCCACCCACGGGCGAGGTGAGGAGCCAGGGCTGGGGTCACCCCGGTCAGCTGTGACCCCACCCCCTCCCCACATACTCTCATTCCTGCCACCCACCCACCCACACACCCACACCTCACCACCCAACCACCCACCCACACACACACACCTCACCACCCAACCACCCACACACACACACACACACACCTCACCACCCAACCACCTACCCACACACACACCCACAAAAAATGTCTCTGTCACTCTCTCACTCGGCCAGGGATTGATCGCTGGATGAACCTAACCCGCATTGACCCTGATGAGGAGATCCAGGGTGAGATCCACCTGGGGCTGGAGATGGTCAAACACCCGCCTGTCAGGGCCGTCCGCTGTCATGTCATCGAAGCCAGGTGAGAGAGAGCATCGCAAGGTACACAGGCTCCCTCCAATCTTCCCTCCCTCCCTCCATCCTTCAGTCATCTGCTCCCTCACTTTTCCCCTCCTTCGCTTACTCCCTTGCTCCGTCCCTCACTTTCTCTCTGACTCACTCTCTCCCTCGCTCGCTCCCTCAATCACTCCTTCACTCGCTCTCTCCATCCCTCGCTCACTCCCTCACTCGCTCACTGACCTGTGATTTAAGACAATATTTAAGTGCCCGTTTTTAATATCTTCCTTCTTATTTCCCCAGAGACCTGGCCCCGAGGGACATTTCGGGTACTTCAGATCCATTCGCTAAAGTGATATTTAACAGCAGGACCATGGAAACAGCGGTAAGTCAGCCCGGGGTGTGGGGGGGGGCAGAGATTGGGGAAGAGAAAGAGAGAGAGAGAGAGAAAGAGAGAGAGGAGAAAGAGAGAGAGAAAGAAAGAGAGAAAGAAGGAAAGAAAGAAGGAAAGAAAGAAGGAAAATAAATGGAGTTGACAATAAACACAGACTCGGGTTGATGCAACAACATATGTTGAAGTGTGGTTCCAGAAGCAAAGATATGAGTGTGTAAATGCCAGCAACAACAAATTGCATTTATATCAAAGGATTTTCAGTCTGTATGTCAGCCTGGAACATTGGTAGCGCTCTCTCTCTCTCTCTCTCTCTCTCTCTTTCTCTCTCGCTTCTGAGTCAGAGGGTTGTGGGGTAAAGCCCCCATGTTGGGACTTGGAAAAATACAGTCTAATCTGACGCCCCAATGCAGCGCTGGGGGGGGGGTTTCGCATTGTCGGAGGTGCCGTCCTTCGGATGAGATGTTAAACCGAGGTCCTGTCTGCCCGTTCAGGTGGATGTTAAAGATCCTGAGGGGCTATTTGAAAAGAGAAGGGGGTTTCTCTTTCTCTCTCGCTCTCTCTCTCTATCCCGGTGCCCTGGACAACAATCCCCGCAAATAAAATTGGTCACTCACTCACTCCAAGGCTCTCTGTGGGACACTGCTGTGGGCAAACTGTCTGCCGCATTTCACCCACAAAAGACACAGTCACTGCCATTTTACCATGTACACTGTGAAGTGCCTTGAAACGTCTGTGATAAAGCACTATATCAAATGCAAGGATTATTATTATTATTATTGTAATAAAGTTGGATGCTCTCTCTCGCCTCTCGACCCCCAGACCATAAAGAAAACCCGCTTCCCTCACTGGAACGAGGTGTTTGACCTTGAGCTGGAGAGCAGAGCGGAGACAGAGGGAGTGATGCTTGTTGTGGAGGTGTGGGATTGGGATATGGTGGGAAAGAACGATTTTCTGGGAAAGGTGAGTGAATGAGGCTCCACCTCTGGCTATGACGTCTCTCTCCCCTCCCCCCGTCCCGTCATGCAACACACGTGTGTGTGTGTGTGTGTCGCTTGTGTGTGTGTGTGTCGAGGGGTGGGATGAGGGTGGTTATCGCACGTCTAATGTCCACACGGTTGAGTGTGGTGCAAGTGTTCACGGTCAAACAATCAATCAGCACACATAACATACACGCACGCACAGCATACACACACAAACAACACACACACACACACACACACACATGCAACGTACGTACACACAACATATGTAAACACGCACAAATGCAAACAACACAAATTATGGTGCGTGCTTAACATAAAAACGAAGCGTTTAAACCAAACTGAATATCAGAAGTGACCCGAATGTCTGTGAGCCTCTGTTTTCTTTTCTGGAGACAGATTGACAGTGGGTGGGGGGGGGGAAGAGGGGGGTCATTTACCTACATAACATCTCCTGTATTATTTAAAAGACCTGTTGCTAGGAGACACGTCAGACGAGCAGGGTTTCAAACACTCACTGATCTGAATGTAAATTTACCAGAAAGGTTTCCCTAAGGGCTCAGCTTTGCTGTTTAGCCTAAAGCTTGTGTGTGTGTGTGTGTGTGTGTGCGCGCGCTTGTGTGTTTGCGTGAACACCTGTGTTACGCGCATGTGCATGTGTCTGTGTGCGGGAGTATTTGTGCGTGTGTGTGCGTGTGTGTGCGTGCGTGTGAGCGTGCGTGCATGTCGGTGCATCTATGTGTGTGTAGTGGTGCGTTTATGTTTGTGCGCGTGCTTATGTATGTGTATTTTTGTGTGTTAATTGTTTGCGTGTGTCTGCGTGCGTGCGCGTGTGTGTGAGTATTTATGTGTGCGCGTACCTGTGTGTTGGAGAGGGTTGTGGGGGTTGTTTGCGGTGGGGGTGGGGGTGGTGTTTGTACTCGCACGCGTGTGTTTGTGTGTGTGACTGCGGTTGTTGCCCCTGTATTGATGAATACGCCCTCGCTGTGTTTGTTTGCGGTACAGATCGAGTTCAGCCTGGACGCCCTTGAGAGGATGGAGAGAGCCAGGGGCTGGTTCCGGCTGATGCCCTTCGGAAACCTGGAGGATGATGAAGGGTGAAGAGACCCCGTGTTTGATAGTCCCCTTTCCTCACCTCCCTCACCCACCGCAGTCTCACTGGCTTCGTAATCTCACCCCCTTCACTTTTTTTTTTGATCAGCCGGGTGTCTGACACACGTGGAAACCCACCACCGTGTTTAAGAGTCTCCAAATCCAATTGAGAATTCCACGCATTCCACCTGCACATGGAAATCCCAGAGATAGATAGTTGGAATGGAAAGCGCACCCTCTCTCTCTCTCTCTCTCTCTCTCCCTGGAGGGATGCATCCTGCTTACTTAATTCCGGAAAGTATTAGGCACAGGTTGGCAAAGAGCCAAGGCTTGGGGAGGGCCCAGAGTGAGCTTCTGGGGGTAACTACTGGAGTCTAACCAGCTAAAACTGCACAGGGGGGTGGGTTGGGGGGGGGGGTGTGGGTCGGAGCTTCTCGGTGCTTTAATGCCAGTATAAGTAATGGTTTGTTTCTGTAGTGGCAAACTGGGAGCGTTGCGGTTAAAGGTGAGATTGGCAGAGGATCGTATTCTGCCTTCGTTGTATTACCAGCCGCTTATCGATCTCCTGGTGGAGTCCGTCAGCTCAGCCACGGAGGTCAGTCTCTCCCAGGTGTGTGTGTGTGTGTGTGTGCCAAGGCTCCAGTTCCCCCCTCCCCACCCCCTAACCCCAAACACCTGTGACCCCCCCCCCCACTCCCCCCTCTCTATCCCTCCGTCTCCTCCCCGCCCCACCCCCAGCTCCTCTCCAGAGGCAGGGACTTGAGGACAGAAAAAGGGAACTAGATAAATGCAAGTTGTTGTTGTGACAAATCGTGGGAACGACTATTAAGAAACATCGCAAACTAAACCCCTCGTGGTAACGTTCGGTTGTTTCCAGTGGCGGGGGGTTTGGGGGGTTGAGGGTGCAGAGCGGAGTGAGGGGGAGGGGCGTGTGGTTGTGTTGCGTGGTCTCGGCATGTGAGGGGCAAGACCCACGCAGGGGACGAAGTGACCGTAGCCTAGTTTCACTGCCGTTGGCCTGTCAGACATTGACCTCTCGATGGGCGTTCAAAGCCACATGGGGAAGGTTTCAGTCGCCAGTCGTTGCCATGACGAAGGCTCCTGCCTGCCTGACTGATCTCCCTGTGAGCTCTTTGGCTCCGTCTGCTTCCCGACCTTCTCTCCCTCCTCCCGAGCCGCTCCCCCGCAGGGCACTGGCCTCTCGGAAAAGCCACCCGCCGGCAAGTCAGATAGCACAGACAGGCCCCGAAAGTCGGCAACTTTCAATACAGTGAAAACAGACCAAATCTCGCGTTCGATGCAGCGCCTTATCACGTCATCACCTTGTCTCAAAGCGCTTCACAGAATATACTGTAAAGTGGAGTGACTGTGTAGTTTGTGGACGAAAGTGGCCCCCAAACAGCGGTGGATTGAGTGAACGCATTTTTTTTGTGTGTGGGCTGAGGGGTTGGGTGGGGGGGGGTGATGGATGGGGATGGATTATCACCCCCGGAAAGCGATCCCCCAAAACCCCATCCACTGCCCAACCCAGCCCGGATAAGGCGCTATATCAAATGGAAGGATTATGATTATTATTGTATTATGATGATGATTATTACTGCTCTGACGTGTGGTTTGGCACAAGGTTGAGGATGCGAACCCTCTGGCGATGGTGGAGGAGGTCACCACGGTGGACAGCCGGCAGGACGTGGCGGTGACGCTGGTGAAGATCTTCATGGGGCAGGGTCTGGTCGGGCCGTTCCTGGACTTCCTCAACACCAGAGAAGTGAACAAGACCAGTGAGCGCTGCTGTAACGATCCTCAGTCTGTAACAGCAACAACAGATTACATTCACACTCTGCATCTCTCTTAGTTGCCACTTAACTCGATCCCCTCAACCCGCTGCCCTCTCGCCCTCTTCCCCCCTGCCTTCTCCCCCCCCCCCCCCCCCCCACCCCACCACCCCAACCCCACCCTCTCCGCCCTCTTTGTTCTCCTCCCTCTTACGCCTCACCGTGCTATCTTTCTTACAGCTGATCCGAACACCTTGTTTAGGTCTAACTCTCTGGCCTCGAAGTCGATGGAGCAGTTTATGAAGGTGAGAGGCGGAGCCGCCTTAAACCAAAACAAGATGGGTTGGAGAGATTTCCTTCCCGCTGTCCCTGAAATGATCTTAAAATGATGTGAGTGAGTGACAGAGAGGGAGAGAGGGGGAGAGGAGAGAATGTTTGTCCCTAGGCTAAGCGAGGTAGAATTTCCGTCCCTCAGTCTGGCTCCAGATCAGTGTAAAACAATTAATCATCAACGTTTGCAAAGAAAGTTTGGCCGTTATATAAAGGTTCGGCCGATTACTTAAGGGATGAATCACTGCAATGCTGCAAACTCAATGGTCCGTGGGTTGTTGTGGGTTTTCATATCGGATATAGTTCAGCTCCTTTTTCGAACGTGGAGATTGTGTTAATTGGTGACTAATTTCCCTGCATGATTGCTGGCTCGTACACGCGTGTGTGTTGTGTGTGTGCGTGTGCCATGCTGCGATGAGAGTGGGGGTTAACTGAAGCGAGCTTATGACGTTGTGTTGTGTCCGTTGTTCCAGCGTGTGCTGTGTTGCTGTGACTCTGTGTGCAGTGTGTCAGCATGTACTGTGAGGTGCTGTGTTATTGTCAAGTGGGTACACTGTGCTGTGTTGGTTTGCTGTGACGCTGTGTGCGCTGTGTTGGTTTGCTGTGACGCTATGTGCGCTGTGTTGGTTTGCTGTGACGCTGTGTGCGCTGTGTTGGTTTGCTGTGACGCTGTGTGTGCTGTGTTGGTTTGCTGTGACGCTGTGTGTGCTGTGTTGGTTTGCTGTGACGCTGTGTGTGCTGTGTTGGTTTGCTGTGACGCTGTGTGTGCTGTGTTGGTTTGCTGTGACGCTGTGTGTGCTGTGTTGGTTTGCTGTGACGCTGTGTGCGCTGTGTTGGTTTGCTGTGACGCTGTGTGAGCTGTGTTGGTTTGCTGTGACGCTGTGTGCGCTGTGTTGGTTTGCTGTGACGCTGTGTGTGTTGTGTTGGTTTGCTGTGACGCTGTGTGTGCTGTGTTGGTTTGCTGTGACGCTGTGTGTGCTGTGTTGGTTTGCTGTGACGCTGTGTGCGCTGTGTTGGTTTGCTGTGACGCTGTGTGCGCTGTGTTGGTTTGCTGTGACGCTGTGTGTGCTGTGCTGTGTTGCAGTTGGTGGGAATGCCTTACTTACACAGGGTTCTGAAGCCAGTGATCAACCGGATATTCGAGGAAAAGAGATACATCGAGCTCGACCCATGTAAGATCGACCTGAACAAAACCAGGTAAGACGCTGGCCAGCTGTGACCCCGACCCTCCCCCAGCCCCCAGCCCCCAGCCCCCATCCACCATTTCCTGTAAAGCGTAGTGACTGTGTGTTATATTTGCAGAAAAAATCCCTCCCCCTCCCCTCTAAAATAGGAGAAAGGAAAGTTCCTGGATTCTGAACTACACCCATCCCCACCCTCCGCCTTACTGAGGCGATTTGAGACGTCTCAACAGCGCGATAAGGCGCTATTACCAAACGCAAAGATTATTATTATTGTCGTCAATATTACTTTCATGATTGTTATTGTGGGACACCGAGCACGCTAGAGGCCTTTGCATTCAGAAGTCAAACACTTAACGTTTAGCGTCTAACCAGCTCTACAAATAACCCTCAGTTATTAAGTCAGTCGCTCGCAAAGTGAACTTCAGTGGGCAGAAATAACACCTGACTCACTTTCCTATTTGGATTTTTTTTCGCTCGAGCTCAACTCCCCCAGATTCCACAGCGGGAAGGGAATGAAGGCTGAGACAAGGGAGAGTTTTTTTTAATCAAATGCAGCTCGTACCAGCATCTATCTGAAGGGAGAAGAGAAGAGAAAGGAATTTGGCTCTCACAGATTGCAGATAATATTGCTCGCACCTTCACAGCCAATTGCGTGTCATGAAGGCAGCGGCTGCGTGTTGCGCGCGTGGGCGTGGCAGACGGTTTCTCGTGGCCGGCCGCAAATCGGGTTCAGTGTCCGCCTGCAAAACGCACAGTCACTACACTTGTAGTAATAATAATAATAATAATAATCTTTGCGTTTGATTCAGTGCCTCATCACGTCCTCGAGATGTCTCAAAGGGCTTCATTCACGGCATTTTACCGTCAAGTGTGGTGACTCCAGCAGTTACCCACAACACACACTCTGGGATCGTTCCCCGCCCCTCCATCCCAAGCCTTGGCTCTTGCCAACCTGCGCCTGATACTTTACGGAATTAGATAAACAGGATGTGTCCCTCCAGGGAGAGAGAGAGACAGACAGAGAGAGATAGGGCGATTCCATTCCAACAATCTATCTCTGGAATCTGTGTAGATGGAATACATGGAATGGATATTCTTCAAGCACACGGTGACGGGTTTCCACGTGTGTCGGACCAACAAGAAGGATTATTATTATTCATTACTATATTAAAAAAAATCACAAGTGGCCTCTGGCTTTACATTGCTGAAGGAGGATATCGTTCAAGGGGAGCCTGTCGGAGGCTGGGGTGCGGGAGTGTAGTCAGGAGCTGCTGAATTCTTACCTGACGGACGTGATTGACTCGATCGTGGGCTCGGTGGAACACTGCCCGCCCGTCATGAGGGCAGCGTTTAAACAGCTACACAAACAAGTGGAGGAGAGATTCCCTGGAGCAGAGAACGAGGCAAGCATCGGCTTCCCTTCACCTCTCCCACACTCGCCCTGACCAGGCTTTGCAGCGAACACACACCTCTCTCTGTGCTGGTGACACATAGAGTTAAAAATCCTCATTGCCCTCCGTGGCCTTGTTCCTCCCTACCTCTGTGACCGGCTAACCCCATACCGATCTGTCCGCTCCCTCTGCTCAACGAGCTCCAGCCTGCTCCACATCCCCAGCCCGGCCCATCCACCCAACCAACAGAGATCGAGCTTTCAGCCTCTCTGTAACAGCCCCACTCCCGCACCATCTTTAGAACTCCATCCCGGAGCCAGCCCCTCTCTTGTTTCCTTCAAGTCCCATCTAAAGACCTTCCTCTTCGACCACACCTTTGGTCACCCTCCTAACCCCCACCCTCCCTGCCCTCCACCCTTCCTGATGCTGACCCCCAAATTGGGTGCAAATCCTTGACTGTCCTCCTGACATGAAAGACGCTGTGTCAGTGTAACCTGTTGTTGTGACAGTGTGTGACGGTGACTGTGTTATTTGCAGGATGTGAAATACCTGGCGATCAGCGGGTTCCTGTTCCTGAGGTTTTTCGCCCCGGCCATCCTGACCCCCAAACTGTTCAGCCTGAGAGACCACCATGCAGATACTCGCACAGGCAGGACCCTGCTCCTCCTGGCAAAGGTACTGACAGACCAGCCCACCCACCCACCAACTCACCAACCCAACCACTGACCCATTGACCGACCAACCCGTTGACCAACTGACCCACCCACTGACTGATTTACCGACCGAACAATCCATTGACCCACCAACCAGCCCACCGACCCATTGACCGACCGAGCCAACCACTGACCTACTAACTGACCAACCAACCCACCCACCGGTTGACCTACCCACCCACTGGCCCATTTAGCCACCCACTGACCCACCCAGGCACCACTCGCTGTTCATTGAGCAGAGAGGGATGTGTGTAGGAGACCGAGACTTAAGTCTCTGGTGTCAGTGCCGAAATTGCTCTCGGTGTTGTCGTCCTGTTTACCTGGGCCCTAACCCCCTCCCACCCCCTCACCTGAGGACCTGCATCCTTGAGGTGAAGTTGTGCGGGTGCGCGTTGGAGGGGTGGGGGGGGTGGAGGGAGGGGGTAATTCCTCGCTGTTGCCATGGCGACGTGTTTGATGGACAGTGGATTTGACAGATGGTTCTTCCTCTCCTCAGGCTGTGCAGAGCATTGGGAACCTGGGCTTACAGCTGGGCCACGGCAAGGAGCTGTGGATGTCTCCTCTCCACCCCGTCATCCTCCAGAGCGTTGGTTTCCTCAGGGATTTCCTGGACAGGATCGTGGACATCGACAACGAGAGCGGTAAAGCCTCAACACGTCATCGGCATCGGGGGGGGAAACGCTTCCCGTGACATAGTCCTGTAGCGCCCTCGCCTCGCGAGCGACAGAACCCGGGTTAACGATCCCTCCAAAAAATTGCCTGCCGCGTTTCGCCCACAAAATACGCAGTCGAGTCACTTTACTGTAATATTCCGTGAAGTGTCTTTGAGACGTTTACGAGTCGTAGTGCCGTGTGGTGGTTGGGGTGGGGGGGGGGGTGTGGGGTGGGGGTGGGGGGGGGGCGGGAGAGGGAGGATTTCCCCACTGATTTATTATTATAATTAATATTAAATCAATACCTCTTCATTTCATTTGAATTCAGTCAAATGAGATGTGCCCCGGCCTCTCGGCAAACCACGTGCCCCCATTCACATTCAAATCCGATTCAAGTCCCAGCTGCTGCTCCCTTCTCGCCCTTTCTCTCGCCGCACTCTCTCCCACTACCCGCTCTTTTGCCGCTCCAGCTATGCCCGTCCACTCTGCTGCTCTCCCGCTCTCCCGCCCGCCAAGCTCAGTGCTGTTGGGATGCCCGCTCCCCCCGGTCAAGGCACAGCAGGGGCCCCGGTGTCCTCAGGGAGACACTCTCAATGGGCCGAGGCTGGAAAGCCCAAATGTTCCTGTTCCCGTTCCTATTGGGCAGTCGTCAAAGATCTTTGTGGCGCTATTCGGAGAGAAGAGTTCTCTCTCTCTCTCTCTATCCCCCGAGAGTCTCTTTTTCTCTCTCTTTCTCTATCCCTCTTCACGCTCCCCACCCACCCACCCCTCTCTTGGGTCTCTCTGTCTCTCTCTCTCTCTCTCTCCTCTCTCTTACCCTCCCACCCCACCCACCCCTCCTCCTCCCCACCCCTCTTTCTTGCCCGGTCTCCTCAACCAGCAATCCTCTGGGATGGAAATTGCTCATTCCCCCGCTCACCCCCACCCCACCTCTCTCCCTTCCCTCCGTGGCTATTTTTGTGTGTGCAGAGGGGGTGGACGAGGGGACCTTGCTGTCCGTCACACTTGCGTTGGCGTTTGCCTGGAACAAAGAGGCAGTGTGTTAAGCGCGAGGCTTATGTTTGGTGTAGAGAAGGGAGCGATGGTGTGCGTCTGTGTGTGTGTGTGTGTGTGTGTGTGTGTGGAGAGCGGAGGGAGGGAGGGAGGGAGGGGGCTGGTGTGTGTGTGGGGGTGGGGGGTGGGTTTGTAGTCAGGTGTGGGGTTGAAGGATGTGTTCGTGATTGATGCTCTCTTGGCTGACATCCGGGTCCGATTCCTTGAATGCTTTCCCCCCGCCCCCCCCCCCACCCCCCCATACACCCCCCCCTCCCCACCCCCCACTCCGAACGGTTGATAGGCAGCGTAACCAACCACGTGTTGCCGAGTGACTGGTTGCCACGGAGACCCCGTGTTCCAAAGGTTGATGCTGATGTTCCGGGCGAGAGGCTGGGATTGGAAGGGGGAAGTGGTGGGGGTGGGGGTGGGGGGGGGGGAAGGGTGAAAGTTGGGGTAAATAGCTTCCGCACCAACGATAGCCCGTCACGGACTCAAGCCTGGCTCGGGGGGGGGGGGGGGTACAGTCGTGCTCTCTGACCTCCGAGGCGGATGGTCGTGGGTTCAAGCCACCGGATACTATATCGTCTGATACCGACAGTTAGTCGTCTGATGGATGGGAATGGCCTTTCAACTTTGTTTAGCTCAGCACCAAGCATTGCAGCGCAATAGGAATAAGAATCCGGTTTGTCTCTGTTTACACAGGCTCACCACATGTTTGGCGCTGAGATGTTTTAGCAGAAGAATGTGGCTTTGTTTGCATTATAAGCTGTGGTTAAACAGGCAGGACTGAGGCTTGTGTGCGCAAGCGACAGCCCATAGCCTCTGGTAACACGTATGGAACATACCTGAAATGTGTGAGCGCTTTGTGTTGGGGAGTCAATGAAGCACAATGTTTAACAGATTTCCTCCCCTCCACCCCTTTCGCCCCAAATCAAGGCAGATTTCCATCAAAAATAGATTATAATAATAATAATAATAATAATCCTTGCATTTGATATAGCGCTTTTCACGTCGGGAGGACGTCCCAAGGCGCTGGGTTGGTTGTTGACTTTATCAATTAAGAAAGCAGATCTATGGAAAAAATCTAACCCTAAGTCCCCACCATTACCCCACTCACTTCCCCTGCTCTTAGCTTAGGCTGATTCTCCAGTGCAGTGTTTGGGGGGTGGGGGGTAGGGAGGGGGGTAGGGAGGGAGTACTGCGTTTTCAGAGGTGCGGTCCTTCGATTAAGATGTTAAAACTGAGTCCCCGTCTGTTCCCTATTCAACAACCGCAAAAAAATGGCTTTCACGTCAGAAGGACATCCCAAGGCACTGGACAGTTAGGGGTCTGCGCTCGAGCTGGAGGTTGGAGGGCAGTGGGGAGTGGGGGGTGGAGTGGGAGTGTGGCCGGTCAGAGACGAAGGTCTTAAAGGAGGCGAGGGAAGGGGCGAGGTGGAGGGGTTCGGAGGCAGTCCTGGCCTTGAGGGCCCCTCTCGAAGGCTGTTACGATGTTGAAGCTGATGGGAGTGATCTCTGATCGTCATCGCTGTGCGGTGGTGGTGGTGGTGGTGGTTCACTGCGCCCTCCGCTGGCGGGCCAGGTGTCTGGCAGGCACACAGAAAATCTCCGCGGCTCTCTCTGAGAGGCTGTGATAATAATAATAATAATAATAATCCTTGCATTTGATATAGCGCTTTTCACGTCGGGAGGACGTCCCAAATGTGACGAGGCGCTGTGTCAAATTACCAGGGTTGGTTGTTCAGGTGTTGGGGTATTGTCGGAGGCTCCGTCCTTCGAATGAGACGAATGAGAGCCCTTTGGGGTTCCAAAAGGTTGGGGAGAGGGGTTGGGGGGGTGGGGGGGGTTGGTGCAGAGAGGCTGAAGGTCCAACCGCCAATGGTTTACCAGTGGATCTCTCCTCCCCCCAGTTACTGAGGATCAGCATCATGGAGCCTTCCACCCCGCAGTGACCATTAAGGAGGGATATCTCCACAAGAGGAAGGCGGAGGGCCTGAATCTCGTCACACGTTTCACCTTCAAGAAACGTTACTTCTGGCTCAGCAACGAGACTCTGTCGTACGCCAAATCCCCCGACTGGCAGGTGAGGGGTAGGGGGAGAGAGAGAGAGAGAAAGAGAAAGAAAAAGAGTGACAGAAAGAGAGAGGGAAAGCAGGAGAGTAAGAAAGAAAAGCAAGGAAGGAAAGAAATGGGCCATTGTTGGGAGATGTCGACCTTCGCTTGGGATATTAAACCATTGCCATGCCCTGTTCAGGCTGATGTTAAACATATCTCCCCACCACACGGATAAAACCGCTCGGTCATGTCACGGGCTGTTTGCAGGACATCGCTGTGCGCATACCGGCTGCTGCTAAAACAAAACAGTCACTACACGTCATATTAAAACCCCGCAAAGTGGCTTTGAGCCATCGTCGCCCCCCAACCCCCCCCACTTCCTGTGAAAGATGGGGGCTGTATCGAATGTGAACCACGTTACACGTGTGTGTCACGCGGGTCTCAAGCGTGTGTCACACGTGTTTAGGTGAGATCGTCGATCCCGGTGCGGAGGGTCTGTGCGGTGGAGCGAGTCGACGAGAATGCCTTCCAGCAACCCCACATGATGCAGATCGTCAGTCAGGACAATGAGGGACAACTGCACATCATGTACATCCACTGCAAGGTGAGACTGAGACTGATCTCCATACACACTCACACACACACACTCACACACAACGGCACAGTCCGCAACCTTTTGTGGAGCACTTCATGGACTTTACCATTGAGAGCCTCTTGTGGGGACGGGGAGAATGGGAGGTAAACGGGATCTCCTCGGAGCTGAACTGGCTCCAAGGTGGCAACGGAATGTCAGAATCAAATCCACCCTCTGCGACGGTCTCCCTCTCCCTCTCCCTCTCTCTCTCTCTCGGTCGTCCAGTTCCTGAGCCGGGCGGGTCCGCAGTACTCCAAAGCACTGCTGATGGCAGCACAGACCCAGCCTTGGCTCATCAGCAGGACTTGGAAGGGCAGACCAGTCACTGGGGGCAACTCCTGTTAACTCTGCAAGCCAAAGCCCTACCCGGACAAGCAGAGGGACAGCTTGCCAGACAATGCTCTCAGTGTGGTTTTAGCTGGTTAGACTCCAGCAGTTACCTCAACGCACATTCTGGGCTCCCCCAAGCCTTGTCTCTTGCCAACCTACGCCTAATACTTTCCAGAATTAGGTAAGCAGGATGCATTCCTCCAGGGAGAAAGAGGGAGAGAGAGAGAGAGAGAGAGAGGGAATGTGCATTCCGTTCCAACAATCTGTCTCTGGGATTTCCACGTGTAGATGGGATGCATGGAATTCTCAGTTGGGTTGGGAGACTCTTAAGCACAGTGATGTGTCAGACACACGGCTGACTTAACAAAAAAAGGGTTATTATTTATTATTATTATATGAATAAAAACGCAGGAAACAAAAAAACACCCCAAAAAACTCTCTCTCTTAGAACGTGAACGAGCTGAGCCAGTGGCTGTCGGCGATCAGGAAAACCACCATCTACAACGATCATTTGTTGCCGTTCTTCCACCCCGGCTCGTACCGGGGCACTCGCTGGACCTGCTGCCTGCATTCCGAGAAATCCGGTCAGTCCTTCTCCCCCCACCGCCACCCGGTAAAACCCCGGGGTCCGGGCCATCTTAATGTTAGGGTTTGGGGATCCTTGTTGGATTTCGCTTAGCAAAAACATAAGCAAATTCAAGGCAAACCGTCCACCCGCCACCTTCTAGAACCTTCCTTGTGTGCTCCTGACAAGGTTTGTTTGATGTGTTGTACTCTCTCTCTCTCTCTCTCTCACTCTCTCTCCAGTTCGAGGTTGCAGTCGGACTCACTCTGCCGTGACTCTCGGGGATTGGAGTGACCCTCTAGACCCTGATGCTGAAGCTCAGACTGTGTACAGGCAGCTCCTGCAGGGGAGAGAGAAGCTAAGGTGAGTGTAAGACCCCCCCCCGCACCCTCCACCCCACTCTCCGGGGAGTGGGGGTGTGTGGGAGGGGAGAGAGAGAGAGAGAGAGAGGGAGAGGAGCATTCCAGCGACTGGTGCTTAGAAAAAGACTGGGCTTCTGTCATTGAACACTTTCTTCCCCACAAAAAGATTTATTAGGGGGTGACACCAAGTCATGCAGTACATAGTGGGAGCCACAGGAGAGAGCTGTGCTACCAGTCACAGCCGAACCTACAAACCTAGAGACTGACCAACAACAACAAACAAATTACATCTGTATTTCACGTCGGGAGGACGTCCCGAAGCGCTGGTCACTGCCAGCGGCTGTTCATTCACAAGCAAACTGGTGGCCAGTAAGTCGTTACTGAACTGGCTACGCTGCATTAACATTGCAGTGCGTGTCAGACACACGCGGAAACCAGTCACCACGCTTAAGAGACTCCAAACCCTCCCTTGTCCGTGAAAATTCCTGAGATGTCTGTTGAAATGCGCACTCTCTCCCCGGAGGGACGTGGAGTGGGTGGTGGGGGTGTGGGGGAACTGGGTGTTTTATGGGAGAACCAATTTTGCACGGAGCAGGCAGGTTGGTAGGGAGTCAGCAGATCAGAGAGGTAGGAGGGGGCAAGGCCATGGATGGCCTTAAAGGTGAGGATGTAAAGGTGAACGAGCCAGGCCAGGACATGGGGAGAGAGATTGTCTACTCTGTACAATAGATTTCAGTGAATGTCGTTTTAGGTCCAGCCGCGGCTCCAGGTTTAATCGGGTGATTTTCTCTTTGACGCGTTTAGGGATAAATATCTTGAGTTGTCCGACGTGGGGTCAGCAATTGGCCAGAAGGACGCGGTGCAGAGCGAGGAGATCAGGGCAGGTATGTACGTGTCCCCACGCTCAATGACACTCCCCCTCATCCCACTCCCCCACCCCTCCCACCACTTCACCCCACCACATGCACATACACCACACACACACACATACGTTATTATTACCCCTGGAAAGCAATCCGACAATCGACCTATTTACCACAACAACAACTTGCACTTACAGAGCACCCTCCATGCAGGGCAGCGTCTCAGAGCGCCTAACAGTGGCGGAGCAGGGTACAGTGCAGGGCAAACAGAGGCGTGTGGAGTGAGGAAACTTGCTGAAGATTTCGCCCCGCCAGGGAATCAAACCCGGGTCCTTCTCGCTTGCGAGGCGAGTGCTCTCACCGCTGAGCAACAGGACTCCACAAACAGTAACAGGACCAGAATAATAAGTAAGGGGAGTGCTGGGTGAGAGTAACACAAAGCCCGTCTTGTTCGCAGGTGTTGAGAGGAGCCGAACGTATCACAAGTGGAGAATGGCCTCGGCTGCCCGGCTGCTGGATGTGGTGCAGGACCTGGAGCGGGCTCACCAGGCTTTCCAGCGCCGCGAGAGAGAAGAGCAGGCCAGCAACGCCCTGCTACCCTGAACCAGGTCTGAGCCAGGCTTGAGCCACACACTACGAGTTTCTTCAGTCCAAGAAGCTCTTGAGGGGCAGGTCACACACACGGTGGGTTTGTCACTATCATTGTCCACATTAGACACAAACCCAACTCGAAGGTGGGACGCACAGAACCTGTCTCCCTGGGTCCTGGGGTGGGAGGGGGAGGGAGGGGAGGGGAGGGGAAGAGGGGTGGAATTACCAAAAAGGGGAAGAGGCTAATTTTGCGGTATTTCTTAATTCAGAAATCAAAGTTGCCGCGGGGGGGGGGGGGGGGGGAGGGGGTTTCCTTTTGAACGTCACTCATGCCCTAAGCTGCTAAAAACGATGCTTTGTATCGCTGAGTTTTGATGTAAGTGTCGTATTTTTTATTAAACTGTTCGCCGCGGATAGACGCAGTTGCTGTTCGCTCGGATTTAGGGGGATGTGGGATCCCGACATTTATTTATCTCCCCTCCCCATCCCCAACCCCCCCCCCAAACACAGACACTCCTGGGCTCCCACCCCCACCAGCGGAAACCAAAATGGCCGACTTCCAGGTCATAAGCTCACGGCCGCCGCCACTTTCAGCGCACAAGAGAGCGACCTTCACTGCCCTTCCTGGTAACCAGTTCTGGGTCGTTCGGTCGCTCTCTCGGTGGGGGTGAGAAGCGGAAAGTGGGTCACCAGACCTCCGGCTGCCTTAACTTCTTTACCGTGTGTCAGTGATCAATTTCTAAGCGTGTTTGAGCCGTGTTTTAGTGTGACGGTGCTTTTTGAGACGGTGTTCCTTGTATATTTGGGGTACAGTCCACGCCAGATGTAACGTATGAACAGTTGGCGATCAAGTGCCAATGGTTTATTTATATCAAGTTTTGTAAAGAACAATTGATGGGAATATCGTATCGTTTTCCTAACCTGAGGAAGTCTCGAGGTTCAAATTCGATGTGAGGGGCTGTTGTTGTATTTTTTTAAAATTTCACGTGAAGAGTGTTGCTAAACTCAGTCGAGGAGATTAAATGTGCATGGATACTGCCTCTCCCTTGTGTTTTTAAAAAGAAACTCATCAGTAAAACTGCTTATGGAACACACGGTCACTATGTTTTACAGTGAAATCCTGGGAAACGCTTTAAGACATCTTCCCGACGAGGGGGAGGGCCGGGGGGGAAGGAGGGAGAAACTTAATGAAACAGTCATTCCGAACCATTTCGAGTCTCGTGCTCATTAAAGACAGCATCCATCCTACGGAAGAGATGTTAAACCCAGGTCCCGTCTGTGCTTCGTTAGGTGGACTTTAAAGATCTCCCACTTTGCAGTGTATGCTGTGAAGTGTTTTGAGATGTCGCTAAGGCTTAATAAAGCGCTGTATCAAATGCAAGGTTTATTATTATTATTATTAATGTTAAAGACTCGGGAGTGATTGCTGGCTTCGTGCCGCTCACCACCAGCTCTCTCGCTCACGACTGTAAGTGGGTTATTCTCTCGCTGGGGAGAGCTCCCATTTGCTGAGAGGCTCAGAAGGTTCTTGTTGTTAATGATGCTGTCTAAAGCTCCAGTCAGAGCCCCGCGGCCCAGATTAATCACTGTCCGCACACTCCCCACCTCCCAGACCCTGGGGGAAAGACGTAATTGTTTCTATTCCTGTGATTTCCCTGGAGTCAACCAGTGACAGGGGTGCTGGTTGCAAATTGGTGCCCCCCCTCTCTCTCGCTCCCTCCCTCCCCTCATATTGGAATGTGTGAGAACCAACACAGTAATGGTAATGTGAGCAAAAAGCCACCAGAGATCACTGATATCTGGTTTGTAAGTACAGACTGAAGTGACACCTCGATATAATCTGATATTAATAGTGACACCTCGATATAGTTTGATATTAATAGTGACACCTCAATATAGTCTGATATCAGCAGTTCTATGGGATGGAGTCTGATGTTACAGTCACTGAGGCCAAGGAGTCACCTCACTCAGCTCCTGTTAACTCTGCAATCCAAAGCTCTGATGGGTTTGGGTGGTCCTAGCTGGACGAGCAGTGGGAAAGCTTGCCAGACAGTCACATCAACGGACAATCAATGTAGTTTTCGCTGGTAATTGGAGTTGAGGTACAGAGCAGCCTTGATCTAACAGAATGGCGGTGCGGGGGCTCAGTAGCCTATTCCTGTTCCTACACTCCAGCTGTTACCCCAAAACACACTCCGGGGTCCCTCAAGCCTTGGCTCTCAATTGGGGGGGGAATTGATTCACCTCAGCCCGAGCCAGGAAAGATGCGTCACCATGACAGCGTTGACCAGCCTAAAAAAACTCTTTATTAACATCAGGGTTGGAGATAATGCAGAAGCAAACGTGGTCACCAAGGCAACGCAGAGCAACACACAACTAGCCAGCTGGTTCACAGACAGTAAAATAGGTGAATTAGCCACACAGGAAGCAGTGAGATAGATAGGGATAGAGAAAGATAGAGAGCATTGCATACCACTTGATCTAGATTTGCGACTTTAACGGATGATTGAGAAATTTGACCCATAGGAAGGGGATGGGAGTGGGCGGGGGGGCTGGAAAGAAACAAAAGAGAGGAGGGGGAGCAAACGAGACTCCAAACAACAGGCTCGAGACTAAATATATTGTCCAAATAAAGTTTATTTATTTAATTGTTACTAACAATTACAAGCATATCCAATAGTTTATACATATTATACGAGTTTCAATACATAAATCCAAGATCCTGGACACAAAACAGAGGAGCGGGGAGGGGCGAAGAGGGGAGGGGTTGAAATCGACACTGTGGTAATGTGCAGATGGATTGAATCCTACGAAATTAGGACACACTGATAAATATCTCCGGAATCTCCATGTGAAGGTGGGATGCATGGAACTCTCTGTTTGGCTTGGAGACTCTTAAAACATGATGATGGGTTTCCGCGTGTGTCTGACACCCGGCTGCCCAAACCCGCCCCCTCCTCTCTCCCCCACCCCACCCATTTTTCCTTCCTGAAGGCAATTTCTCCCTCAAACGGACAGGGTATATAACCCCACCCCCACCCCCGCCCATCCCCTTGATGCCCAACCGATCACAAACCTTGTTTTTAAAGTGGTTTGTGGGTGGTCGGACACTGAGACGGACGGGGAAGGGGGAAGTGGTGCTTGGCACGGGATTTGTATCTGGTTTGATGCGTGGGGAAAAAAAATCATTCATAAAAAAGATCTTTCATACCCACGGGATGGGGCGGGCAAGGAGGGAGGGAGAGTGGGGGAGAGGGATGGACGGAGGGAGGGATGGGGAAAAGAAGGGATAGAAATTCCAGCTGGGTGTAGATCTAGCATTTCAGGACATCCTGAACCGAGCAAATTATTATTAATAATAATCATTGCGTTTGATACAGAGCCTTTCACGTCTCAAGGTCCCTCACAGGATTCACTGTGAAGTGCAGTGACTGTGTTTTGCAGGCAATCGCTAGGACATTGGAAGAGAGAAACCCTCTACTTTCCACCCCCCTCCCCCCCCCCCCCCCCCCCCCCCCCGAGTGCCATTGGATCTTTAAAGTCCACCTGAACAAGGCACACAGACGGGGAGCTCGGTTTAACGTCTCATCCGAAGGACGGCGCCTCCGACAATGCAGTGCTCCCACCCACCCCCAGCACTGCACTGGAGCAGCAGCCGAGACTGTATGAGCTCAATGTCCCCGACGTGGGGCTTGAAGCCACAACCTATTATCAGAGACAAGAAAAGAGTGCAATGGCCTGAGCCAGGCCGACATATTAACATGGGGTGGGGCGCAGCGCCCTGGACACTGGCCTTGTTTAGCAAGCCTAAAGGCTGAGCTGTTGGCTCCCAGAGCAATGAAGTCACACGCTCTCGCTCCCATGTTAATTGGAACCTCCCAGCAAATAATTAACACAGACATAGCTGCCTGCAATAAACTGTAATGACAGTAACTCCCCTCTGTACTCCTGGTTTACACATGGCACGTAATATACCGCTTTCGCGCATGGTTTACACACGGCACATAATAAATCCGTGTCTTGCACGCGGTTAGCCACATGCCGCGCGATCAGCACAGTGTACATGAAGGGGTCAGAGAGCTGAGCAGTCCGTGGGCTTTGGTGGAATCTCAATGCAGGAAAGCAACAATTCAGTCAAATTAAAAGGACACAAAGATTTTACAAAGAACGTGCAGCACGGAAACAGGTTGCCCAGCCCAACTAGTCCATGCCGGTGTTTATACTCCACGTGAGTCTTTGCCCGTTCCTCACTTCCTCACACAACTTTCTATTCCCCTCGCTCTGGCTTCCTCTTGAGCTGTATCTACACTATTTGATATAACCACCGCATCAGGCAGCGAGTTCCTCAGTGCACGAACACTCTGTGGGAAAATCTCAAAGAGGCTTAATTTTCACCCCCTCCACCCCTTCGCCCAGAAAGCACAGATTGCCCAAAAAGCTGCTTATGATTGCACCCTCTGACCAGCGCAAGCATCAACTCCCTCTCCTCCCCCTCCGCCTATCCCACCTCACACACATGCTCCATTCCCCACCTCTCACCCCCCCCACCCCCCCACCCACAGGAAACAAGCTGAGCAGTGCCTAACACGCCAACCCACCACCTCCCGTAAAGATTTGCCAGATTATTACCTAGTCACATGTTTGTAACACGGATTAAAATCTCCCCCTCCCTCCCTCCCTCTCCACATCCAACTCTTTTGCCTGCTGACTTCGGACACGGTTTTGCGACTGCTAAAAAAAAAGCAACAATCTCGTAGTAAAAGGGGAGGGAGGGGGGCAGTCAAAGAGTTAAGTCGGGAATGTAAAGTTAGTGGCTTTGTAAACACGAGGAATATCGAGTGAGGACAGATGTGATCACTGTCACGGACATGCAGAACGGACACTGAGACACACAAACACTGTTTTTTTTTTGCCGGACTAATGGAATAACAAGACAAGAGTTTTTTTTATATATATATATGTATACTGTATATCTCGACACAGAACAAAGCCCTTGGTTGCTTTTTTGGACAACACTCAAAAAGCAAGTGTGCGTTTCAAAGTTAGACATTTTATGTCAAAAGAGAAAGACACAAAATTAAAAAAAAGAAACTGGTTTCATTTGCTCTATTCCACCGCATTCCTGCCTGCGTAGTTTATGAAATCAGATCAAAAAGGGCACTTTTTGTTTAAAATCCCTTTTAAAAATGAAAGCAACAAAGAAAACAATGACACAGAGGCGAAGAGGGACCGTTTTTAAAATACAATTTCCAAAAAAAAACAAAAACTGCTTTCTCAACGCTTCCTAGCTGACTGTCGATCACATCGACAGGTTTCCCCTCCTCCTTCCCCCTCCCCCCATTCACTGCCCCCCCACCCCCAAACCCCCCCCTGCTCCCCACCCCGGAAAACCTGCCATCCCTGAGTGACGCACACACATAAATCATTCATGGAAATGCCTCATGGTTCCTGAACGCTCCCGATCACTTGCGAAGCAGCGTAGCGACTGCCTGATGCCAGCGTTCCTAACTAAAGAGGCACACGTACGCCAGCGTGTGCAGTGCGTGTGTGTGTATATGTGCGTGCGTGTGCACGTATGGATATGTGCGCGCCTATGTACATGCATGCGTGGTGTGTGTGGGTTACCTGGGTGGGTGTCAGTGGTGCGTGTGTGTTGTGTGCAATGTATATATGTGGGCGAGTACGCGTGTGTGTACATTGTGCGGGGGTGCGTGCGTGCGTGTGGGCACGTGCACACGTGGGTGGGTTGTGAGCGAGTGAGTGTTGCAGCGTGTTGTGTGCATGCATGCCGTTTCACTCCCAATATAGCAGGAGATTCACCTCCTCGACTAAAGGAATTTGAAAAAAATGGAGTTGGTGGCGGGGAGAAGGAGGGAGGGAAGATAAAAACTTGTTTTAACGCAACAAATAATAACCAAACTACAGCCCCTTCCTGTCCTGAACCTGGAGGGTCCTGTCCCCTAACCATCGTCGTCAAGAAGAATGGGGGTGTGGTGCATGTGTGTGTGTGTGTGTTGTGTGTGAGAGGGTGAGGTAGGAGAAACAGACCACTGGAATCCACCCCACTCAGGCAAGCTAAGGCCTGGCTTTACCCTGTGCGTGGACAAGAGGGGTACCTAGCAATGACTTGACCCAGGCAGGCTGACAGTAGACTCCCTCCTCGATCTCAGTCACCTTCATCGCAGGGTTATTAAGGTTCAGTGTCTTGCGCACACTCTGCAGGACTTTCTCTCACTCTCTCTCTCTGTCTCTCCATCGTCGCCTCCGTGTGTGAGTCAATCTTTTATGCACTCCTCGGCCACTCCCTGTGCAGACAGTTCCGCGAGGACGTTCTCCAGGTAATTAGGGTCCGGGTAACCGTGACCCGTCAGGTTGGACCCGAATTCCGTCTTGTGGTGGATCTCGTTCCACACGACCGTGTCCGACTCACCTGTGGTGTTGGACGTCCCGATGGTGAAAATTAACCTGCGTTCCCACGCCACGATCAGGAGCTTCAGAACCTGGGGTGGACGGGAATAATATTAATAATATTAATAATCCGTGCATTTCATATATAGAGCCTTATCACGTCGTTGAGACGCCTCAAAGCACTTCACAGAATAGGCTGTAAAGTGCGGTGACTTGTGTATTTTGTGAGCGAAACGCAGCAGTCAGTTGAGCACAGCAGTGTCCCATAAACAGTCGTGGTTTGAATGACCACATCTTTTTTTTGAGGGATCATTACCCCCAGAAAACGATCCACCAATCGACTAACAACCAGGTTCCTACTTCCTGCTGGGTAATCAGAGGCGTGTGGAATGAGTGAGGAAACTCGCTTAAGGTTTTGACCCGCCCGGGAATCAAACCCGGGTCCGCTCGCTTGCGGGGAAAACCTAACCACTACGCTACTCGACTCCATAGTGAAATCATCATAATGAAATATGATACAAATGGATCATTTATCCCATCTGAAAACACTCCACCTTGACACGGGCACAGGTTTGCACAATTACCAATTACACAAGGAGGGGGGTGGGGGGGGGGAGAGGGTGGAGGAGCATTTAACCTCATTCATTTTTAACGAGGGTTTCCATGAGATGAAAGAAATGTGAAGTGTAATTGTGCTCGGAATGGCCCAGCCAGAGGGCGAGGGTGGGAAAATAGTTGCCGTTAAAATATTTTACAGGCTGCTCGCAAATCGCCGAGGGTTACGAAAGGCAAAGTGACGGAAGAGGGAGCGTGTGGGATTTTTTCCTTGAAGGAAAAACTAGAGGACACACATCTCTCGAGTCGCGAAGTATTTCCAGGAAGTATTTCGACTCCCCTAACTCCCTCCTCTCTTCGACCGTGCCTTTGGGTCATCTTAACACCCCCCCCACCCCCCATCCCCTTTGTCCTCCACCCCTCCTGATTCCAACACCCATCTGGGGTGCAAATCCTTCACTGTTCAGCGCCTTGGGACGTTCTCCTGATGTGAAAGGCACTGTGTAAATGCAATTTGTTGTTGTTTTTGTTGTTGTTGTTGTATAAAGCCTTCACCATATTCATTGTATACTGACTAATAAACACTAACAAAGTAATCCTTTACCTTTCTCCCTTTCTCGTCGTCAGGCAGATAGCAGTGCCGCGGGAATCCTCTGGCTGTGAACCGTTTTCCTGGGTTTGGGTGTTCCGTTCCCTTAATTAAACACAACAAACATTGAGGTGTATTCCTCCTGGTGCGCAGTCCCATATACCCTCCAGTAGGGGGCGCAAACAGATACCAACCAGGAGCAGGAACTCTGGCTGATTCTCTCCTCCCTTACCCAAGAAGCAATGAGGCCATTCATTGCCACCACTGCAGTGGGGGTTGGTTCAAAAAATACATTGGGATAAAGTTTGCGAACTTCCTTATTTAATCCAACGCACCTCCAAATAAGCACCTTCTTCCCTTTCAGCTCCCAGAGTGTGTCGGCCATTTTTTTGTTAGAGGAATCTGTTAGGTTTTTTTTGTTTCTCCGATTGAATATTCTCCAGGGTTGATCCGGGGTAAGTGGGAGATGGAGTGAAGACCACTCTCTTCCCATCCAGGGGGAGGGGGTGTGGGTGGGTGTGGAGGGAATACTGGGCATTTGCCAGAAGCAGTAAAGAGATGTTCATATCAGTTAGGTGATGGTTTAAGACCAACCGACTCACAAGATATCCTAAGCTTTACTCCGTTAACAAAAAAAGGGGACCATTTTTACCTGCAGACCTGCTGGGATGTCATAAACAATCCGGATGGTTTTGGGTTCGGGATAGCCGGGCAGCGAGTGCGGAATTACGTGATATTCCATCTTCCCTGGGGTTGGGTCCCGGTTTTCTCCCCGTAGATGGCCTTGCAGGTAGGACATTGGAGACTGCCGTCCTAGAGAGAGAGAGAGAGAGCGAAAGAGAGGCAGCTAGTGACTCGGTGTTAACCCAGCTCGTCCAACAACAATTTGCAACGAAACTGAGCCGGGGTTGAGGGAGGAGATGACTGTAAGCACAGTGGAAGAGGAAGGTCTTCAGTCGTGATCTAAATGAAGAGAAGGCGGGGGCAAGGCAGAGGGATCGAGGGAGAGAGTTCCAAAGCTTCGAAGCAAAGTAGCTGAAAGCGCAGCTACCGATGGAGAAGTGGGGGGACAAGGGACAGGCAGGAAGCCAGGACACTGGGAGGAACTCTCATATCCTTTTCAATTGCACCGTGAGATGTTTTAACATCCACCCTGAACAGGGGACAGACGAGATCTTGGTTTAACATCTCATCCGAAAGAAGGCACCTCTGACAATGCAATGCCTCCCCCTCCTCCAGCACTGCACTGGAGTATCAGCTTAGACCATGTGAATTCAAAATGCCCCACATGGTTAACTGGTTCTAAATCTAGGATTTAATTTTCTGTGGATTGTAGGAGGAAAGAGAAGACAGAAAGGGGTGAGGAGTTCAATGGGAAAGAGTGAGAGTAGGAGAAATTGCCATCAATCTTGATTTCCTACTCTGTAATATGAGGAGGAGGAGGAGGAGGAGGAGAGAGAGAGGGAGGGAGAGAAGAAGGGAGAGAGAAAAGGGTGGGGGAGGGAGGGAGAGAGGGAGGGAGAAGAATATGAAGTTAATTTTCTATAAAAGTAGATTTTTTGAGCCCCTGCAAGTATTTCTTGAAATGGTTCAATTTAAACTGTTTACATTTTTCTGTCCCCACTTTGTTCCCTTTCTGTTGCAGAGCACTTCTGTCTGTTAAGAAAAGCTTTGGTGAGGAGCCAAGTCTTTGTGACTGAAGTGGCATTTCCAAAGAGTCCTCGATTCTCCCCCCCCCCCCCCCCGCCCCCCGGATGCTCGGATCCAACTCTGCCACTGTATGGCGCTCCTGGATACTATCCTGCGTGAAGGGCCTGGAGTCTCAAGGTGTAGTGGTTAGTGCGATCGCCTCGCAAGGGAGAGGACCCAGGTTCAATTCCCGGGCAGGGCAAAACTTTAGGCACGTTTCCTTACTCCACACGCCTGTTTACCTAGCAGTAAGTAGGAACCCGGTTGTTAGTCGGTAGGCGGATTGCTTTCTAGGGATAATAATCCCTCCAAAAACACAAATAATTGGGTCACTCAATCCACGGCTGTTGTGGACAATTGGCTGTCGCGTTTCACCCACAAAATATCCAGTCACTCCACTTTGCAATACATTATGTGAAGTGCTTTGAGACATCTCAACGACGTGATAAGGCGCTATATCAATCACAAGGATTATTATTATTTGTTATCATGATAAACGCTCACCTTGTTGCCGTTGTTGTACATGGCGACCAGACACAGCAGGTGGTACATGTGCCCACATTTGCTGAGCTTGCCCACCAGCTCCGCTTTCCCCCCCTTGTTGCTCAGGACGCCCTCGTACCCCGACGAGCTGACCAGCCTCTCCATGCATATCGTGCAGTCCTGGTGACACAAACACAGAGTTACAGCTCCTGCCCTACACCAGCCGCCCACCCCACCCCCGACTCCCAGCGCCTCCCGCTGGACATCCACCATCCATGGCCAAGCGCCAACCTCAGGATCGCCGATATTAAACCTCCGCGCATTTCAAAACTTTGTTGAGGTTTAAACGGGAGGGTGGGGATCCTGGTGGTGATTGGCTAACGTAGCTGTCCGAAACAGGTCCGAGCTATCACTCACCCGGACGTCTGGGATGGTAAGCATCAGAAGCCAATCATGGGTGTGTGGGGGGGAGAGGGGGCTCCGGAACCATTCACAACAACAATAAATTGCATTTATATAGCGAGGGCTATAAATTTCCCAATTTCCCATAGAGCCAGTGAGTCCATGCCTCTACCCTTCCATCTCATCCCCCACACCTCCATCTGTCTATACGTTCCTCTGAAACCTTGTCTATGGTCACCTCCATTCCCCTCCACCCACATCCGCCCTTCCCCCCCCCCGCAAAGCGCTCCGAGACGGTACCCGAGCGAAGGCCGCTGTATAAACACACGTTGCTGTTGTCATCGTCAAGTTGCTCTGTTAAATTTCAGGCCTCAAGGTCCTCTGGTTTCACAAAGACCTTCTTTTTGGCTTAAAGATCGGGGGAAAGAACTCTTAAATGATCCGCTCTCAATTTGGAAGAAGCGAGAGAGAGAGAAAAACAGGCTTCTAAATTAAGAATAAATTCAAGATAAGGGAAGGGAGTGTCCTGGTTGACAATCCCTCACTTTGTGGCTGCTTTGTTTGGGCGTTGCTTTGCACAAATGCAATTAATTGAATTAACTAATTTATGATTATAAGAATATATATTATATTATATGATTATACGTCCCACCCAATTTGGGCCTCTGACGTTTTTGGAGTCAAAATGGTCTCGCAGGCTGAGACTAGGTGGAAGTTCAGGCGTTAGAATCTGGAATGAACTGACGTAATTAGTGACTCAGAGAGATCACACAGAGGACAACCCACAGCTGGAGATGGGGTGGTCAAAGCCAGGTCAATGGGACTCGTCTTAAAGGGTCCACGATGCTGTGAGACGAGGACAGGAGTCTGAGTGTTCTGAAAGGATGAGATCAAATTGGCCTAAAGGCCTTCTTCATCCAAACTTCTCATGTTCACCCTAACACTAATAAGTCAGGGTAGGTTCCTGTTGCTTGTCAATGTGAGTTTCAGACGAAAGAAAGGTGGGAAGGGGAGAAAGAGAGCAGAATCAGATGTGGGAGTATGTGGGTCACTGGATGGAGTGAGTTGATGAGAAGATTCAGAGATAAGTTGAGTGAAGAATATAGATGGAGTGTGAGTGTGAATAAACAGTTTTGCCTAAATAATCCCACTGCCAGGTCCATCCAGTTTGAGAGGATTAACACAGGCAGGATGGAAAAACAAACATGGCGACCAATGGACCAAGGGGCGGGGGGAACAAACATGGTGGACATAGGGGAAAAACAAACATGTCTGCCAGGGGCCTGCCCAAGCAGTGCCCTCCGTCACAAGTTTTGAGAGGAAGGTGGTAGGGCAGGGTTCCCAGGATTATAATGTTCTCACCAAGCAAAGTCTCGACTTCTTTTTTATTAGAATTCATAAATTACATAGTAAATCACGGCCCCAGGCGTTCACAGACACAGAGACACAGAGAGCAACAGTGTCACAGATGAGGTCAACGCACTCGGAAGGAACCACAGAGACAGAAAGGTCCTAAAATTCCACATAGTCTCAGCCTGTGAAACCGTTTTGCCTTAAGGTGGAAGGAGGTGGCGCAGAACTAGACAAAAACAGTAGCAACAACAACAAATTGCATTTACACAGCACAGTTCATGCAGGACAGCATCTCACTGTAAGGTGACGGGATCAGACGCCAAGCAAGGGAGAAGGGGACGGAGGAGTCGAGGGAGTGAGAAGTTGGGAATTGAAGGCTTAGCCACTGATGGTGGAGCAGATGGGTTGGGGAGATGTGGGAGTTAGCTGAGTGGGGGTGTGGGAGGGAAAGAGGGGTGACAGGGTCAATGTCAACAAACGGCGAGCGATAAACGGACCGACAAGAGGGAGGGAGTGCATTTTGTCTTGACGTCGCCTCTGAAAACTAGTCGTTGACGTTGCCTTCAAACAGTGGTGTTGGGGTTGCGAGGAGGACAGAAGCCAAGTCTTCAATGATACTGGAGATTTTGAAGGGGTGGTCCTGGGGGAGGGTCTGTGTGCGTGTGTGTGTGTTGGGGGGGGGCGGGGGGCAGATAGAAGTAAACGGGGGGTGGGGGGAAGGAGAGAGGGTTCTAAACACCCCCTCCACCCTTCTACCCGTTCCTGGTGTTTCTCCAGTGCCTCATTTGTAGAAGTGATTGATGGATTTCCCTCACCTCGTCTGGCGGGTTCTTGACTTTCTGCATGTAACGTCTGACCACATCCTCGGGGGATTTGCCTGTGGGGAGGGAAGATTTTGTGCTTTATTAACTTGTTCACCAGCAGGCAGAGCCCTGACCCAGCCACACACCCACCGCCGTGATTCAGAGACTTCAAACCCAACGGGCAAGTGAGCGGGTCTTTCTGTTTGTCTGGTATGTATGAATTACACGTGGGAGAGAGAGGAGAGAGGGAGACAGAGTGAGAGAGAAAGATGGAGAGAGAGAGAGATAGAGAGAGATGAAGGAATGGGAGAGGACAGAGAGAGATGGAGAGAGGAAGAGAGAGGTGAGGGGAGAGCGACAGTGAGAGAGAGAGAGAGAGAGACAGGGGGGAGAGAGAAAGAGGGGGGGGAAGCGAGAGATGAAGGGAAGGAAGAGCGAGAGGGAGAGGGCGATGAAAGGAGAGAGATGGGAGGGGGGATGACGGGAGAGAAAGAGACACAGAGACGGAGAGACGGACGGGGGTTGGCTGGGGACAGGGAGGGTGAGCGAGGGATTGGCCTGAAGACACAAACCGTTCTGGGAAACAGAGAGCTAATAAAGTACAATGAATGGCTTTGATCTGCCAGCTGGACTTTAACAAGCAACGAGGAGTGTGGAGTCAGTCAGCCGCTGTTCTCAGTTCACCCTAAAGGGACTGCTCCCTACTCCGCTCAGCTCCAGAGCCTGGGCTCCGTGGCCTGGTCTTGATGATTATCGGGTGCTTGTCCAGAGCCAGGCATCAAAGCCCAACCAGGAAAACGCTGCTGGGCACAATTGGCTGCTGTGTTTCGCCCACAAAATACAGTCAATTCACTTTACAGTATATTCTATAACAAATAATAATAATCCTTGCATTTGATTTAGCGCTTTTCATATCTTCGAGACGTCTCAAAGCGCTTCACAGAATATACTGGAAAGTGAATTGACTGTGTATCTGTTTATTCTGTGCAAGGATTATTACTATTATTATTTTATTATTATTATTATTATCGCCTCCACCCGCTCCTCTGTCCAATGTCCCCTCCTTCCCCGTCGCCGTCATCTTGAACCCCTCACCTTTTTTGAGATGCTTTTTCTTGGTTTTCCTGCAGATGCCAGGGACGCCGGGCACGGGCTTGATGTCGCTCTTGCTGACAGGCGGGGGGTGGAGGATGGGTTTGGGAGCCCGGGTCAGGCACACAGGCAGCCCCGCGGCACACATCAGGATTCCTGTCATCCCTGGCAGGCCGTCAGGCAAAGAGAGAGAGAGAGACGAGATTTCAGAAAGAACAATAAAGAAATACATCCAGTTGTTTATTCCCCTTAATAAGCGCTCCGAGACACTTGAAAAACTCTACATTAACCCAAGTTGCTGTTGTAAATAAGCCCAGTACAGTGGGCTCATCGCTTTGCCTTAAAATAACAGGAAAGCCACAAAGAGAACCCTAAGATCTCCTCTCAAGGCTTCTGAAATCCATCTTGTACTTCGGAATAAGGTCTTTAACTGTTATTGCTCGGCCGCAACCTACGGTTCCCCATCGGCTCGGAATTTCCGCAAACTTCCTCCGTCCCTAACCTTTCCTCACGTGCTATGACACGGACGTCACGAGGGAAAAAGGCCCAAAATTTTGCGTGCTTTTTTTCCGCACTCTAAAATAGCCAACCGCTGCCGACACCACCTCCTGTGGGCCTGCAGGAAGTGGTAACGGGGAAGAGAGAAGTGAAGCGAAGCGAACGCGGGTTAACAAAAGCAGGGCCCGAGACCCGCGAGGCAGGCGCTTTTAACCAGGGGGAAGGCGGCAATGGGCGAATGTCGCCAATGGTAAACGCTCGGTGGGCTCGCTCCCGCTGGGCAAAGCGCCTCCTACCTGCTAAGGCCGGGTGGACAGGACCAGAGCCATTCAGGTTTTTCACTGGCAAGGCAGGAACTCTGCAAGAGATTAGAGATCAGATCGTTAGTTGTTTGGACACGAACCATCCTGTTCTCAATTGCAAGCTGGTGGGGGGTGGGGGGGAGTGGTATTTCGGGACAGACACCAGCTACTATTTATCTTCTTTATTCCAGAAGGGAATTGGTGGGGTGGTGGTGAGGGGGGTGGGGTTGAAAGAGGGGGAGAGAGAGGAGGCTTCCCCCTTCCGAACCGAACCATTCCTGTGTAATCCAGGGCGAAACCTTGGGCAAGTTTCCTTGCTACACACTCCTATGTTTACTTAGCAGTAAGTAGAAACCCAGTTGTTAGTTGATTTCTGGGGGTAATAATCCATCCAAAAAAAGAATATGGTCACCCAATCCACAACTGTTTGTGGGACACTTCTGGGCAATTGGCTGCCGCGTTTCGCCCACAAAATACACAAGCAAATATACACTTTATAATCTATTCTGTCAAGCATTTTGAGACTTCTCAACCACGCGATGAGGAGCTATATCAAATGCATGGATTATTATTATTATCATTATTATTATTATCCAGCCATTTCTTAAATGGATCTCGTCTCAAACCTCTCTTCTGGTAACTGGTTATTCACTTTTTAATTCCCTTTAAAGAGCCTCACTGGGTTACAGTAAGATGCAATATCAAATGCAAGGAATATTATTAATATTATTATTACTATCAAGACAAAACCTGGACTTGACTTTGACTTGGACTGGACCTGACTGAGCCTGACAGCCGTTCAAAGAGCCTCCGAACACCACTTACCCATAAAGCAGTGAAATCTTCATCACTGGACAGAGACTGAGCCAATATTCCCGCGAAAACAGAAACTGAGCTTCAATTGCGGAGACTTGAGGGGTTTTTATTTCCTTATGGCTCAAAGCTTCGCGTTCCCCTCTTTATAAAGTGCTTTAATCTCCCCCTCATGATCCTAACATGCATGACGGCACAGGCAGGACTCATGTGCGTCATGGGTCACCTGGATGGATTAGTCACAAATCCTTTCATTCATAAACAACCTGAGGCAAGTGGCACGTAAACACTCCGTGGGGGGGGGGGGGGGGGGGGCGAGGGGGGCTGTCTGTCAAACTCTCTGGGCAGCCCTTGAACACGCCACAATTTATACACCCTGTACAATAATTACTATTATTAGCCCATTTGTATGGGATAATACAGTACCCATACATTTTGTGAAAGGGACAATAATAATCCTTGCATTTGATACAGTGCCTTATCACGTCGTTGAGACCTCTCAAAGTGCTTCACAGAATATATTGTCAAGGGGATTGACTGTGCATTTTGTGGGTGAAAAGAGGCAGCCAATTGCGCACAGCAGCGTCCCACAAACAGTCATGGATTGAGGGACCAATTCTTTTATTGAGGGATTATTACCCCCAGAAAGTGATCCAACAATCAACTGACAGTCGGGTTCTTACTTACTGCTGCACTGAAGGAGCGACGAGCACACGCATTTATTTCATCAGAAGAAACTGCTATCAAGTGCATTCGCTCTGCATTTCGCCCACAGAATACACAGCCAATCCACTTTACAGTATATCCTGTGAAACGCTTTGAGACGTCTCAACTACGTGTTAAGGTGCTATAGCAAATGCAAGGATTATTATTGTTATTTGCAGCTAATTGCGATATCCCGTCAAAACAACGGAGAGGTGAGAGACCGATGTGTTGATCATAACGGTGCAGTGAATGCGTTGGCGTAAGGCAAACTGCACAGCAAACTGCTGCCGCCTCCCCCATCAGCTGCTAAACACAAGTCAGAGGAAACGGCAGTTTCTCTCCCCTCCCCCACCCTGACCAAATCCCCCGCAGCAACCGGGAGTTACTTTCCATCCCCCCGCCACCCACCCACCCACCGCTTCCTCTGCACCTTGCCCGTCCTCTCCGCCGATGAGAGAACGAGTCACCGGTCGCTGATAGCTCACTGCGAGACGCATTACTTACACTATCGGTGTCTCCATCAGTCCAGCACACAGCACACACTCGCTCACTTCCCTCGGCAAACACACACAAGATATCACAGGACTCAACTTCCTCTTATCTCTGGGCACTCGCACTCTCTTTCTCGCTCTCTCTCTCTTACTCTGTCTCGTTCACTCACTCTCTTTGTCTTACTCCATCTCTCTCGCTCACTCTGTCTCGTTCACTCTCTGTGTCTCTGCTTTGTTTCTCGTGCCCTCTCTGTGTGTCTCTTGCTGTCTGTCTCGCTCTTTCTCTCACTCTCTCTGTCTCTCTCTCGCTCTTTATCACTCTCTCTTGCTCTCTGGGCAGGAAGTGTTGTAACACTGATGATTCCTCCTCGCGACGTTTAAAGGAGTAAAAAAAACTTTTGCATTATTAATAACTCCCAACATCCACTAGAATACTTGCCCAAACCTCTCACATCAACACTCAGACACACTTGCACACTCTCACAGATGCACACTCTCACAGACACACTTGCACACTCTCACAGATGCACACTCTCACAGACACACTTGCACACTCTCACAGATGCACACTCTCACAGACACACTTGCACACTCTCACAGATGCACACTCACAGACATACGCGCACACTCGGACACACTCGCACATTCACAAACACACTCACAAGACCCACACAGTGCAAGAGGAACTGGAAATGGGAAGCAATTTCACAGTGAGAAGTGACTGCAGTTACAACCTACGACTCCCAAGTGGAATTTGCATAACCTCTTACTCCCCCCCTCCCCATGAGGGCATCAGTGTCCACTGATTCCCACCCCCCACCCCACTATGAGAGCATCACGCATCCTGTGATTGCTGAGGTGGGGAAGGGGGTCTGTAATGGCGGCCAAAATGGGCACAGATGGGGACCTCAGTTAATGTCTTGCCCGAAGGACGGCGCCCATGACAATGCAACACGCTCTCTGTCTATGTGTGTGTGTGTGTGTATTTATCAGTGTGTGCGTGTGTGTATTTATCAGTGTGTCTGTGTGTGTATGTGTGTGTGTGTATGACGTCTCTTCCAGCTTTGTCAGATTTAAGTTGTAATCTGGCCACGTTGGTTTCCTGAGTCTATATTTGTTTACAGCCAAGGCGGTGACTTCACACACGTCAACAGGCAGCTCGAGGGAGTTCATCCCTCGTCCTTCCACCTGGACTGTCCCGACCTGACCCGCAACTGACTAGTAAACACTGAGCTTACTGCGTACAGCGGGGTGGTGGGGCTAAGTGCTTCCATAAGTGGGAGAAGGGAAATAAGACAGCTTCAAAATAAACAGTCATTTCACTTTCAGTGTATTCTGTGAAGTGCTTTGAGACGTCTCAGTGATGAGATAAGGCGCTATGACAAATGAAAGGATTATTATTAGTAGTAGTTAATGGGGGAAAAGGGGATTAGGAAGGGTGGGAGGGAGGAGGTGAATGGAGTGTGTGAGTATACACACCATCACAGATCGCTTTTCCGGGGTTAATAATCCCTCCCAATAAATGAATAGAAATTTGGTCACTCAATCCATGACTGTTTGTGGAACAATGCTGTGCGCAATTGGCTGCCACATTTTGCCCACAAAACACACAGTCTCTCCACTTTGCAATGTATTCTGTGCAGCGCATTGAGACATCTCAACGACATGATTAGACGCTATGTCAAATTGCAAGGATTATTATTATTATTTATTATAACATATGTAAACGGCAGACACGCCCCACCATCGGCAAGCGAGCTTTCCTTCATCTTATCTCCCCCCTCCCACCCGCCAATCATCCATCCCCACCTCCCCTGCCTGCGGTTGTCACCGTAACGGGCACTTACCCGGGCAGAATGGCGGTGCGGGCGTTGATCACCAGTGACCTCTGACCTGCGCCGGGCCGGTTGAGGTTGTTCTGTCCCGGAACGGTGGTGGTGCCGTTGATGTTGCCGTTGTGAGAGCTGGGTGAGGGCTGGGGGCCGGCGGGGGAGCGGGCCTGCTCTGGGCGGGCGTGGGCGGGGCCGAGGCCGGGGCCGAGCCCGGCGGGGGGCGGGGCCGTGACCCCGGGGGGCGGAGCGTGGCCGGTGCCAGGCGGCCACAGCGCTGGGCCGGTGAAGGAGGCACTCTGGCGCACGCTGGCGTTGCCGTTGGCGACGTTGTTGTTGGTGTAGACCTTCCTCCGCTGCGAGGCCATGATGGCATTGGAGGCTGCGCGAGTGCTATTGACCAGAACACATTGCTGGCAGCTGCACGGTTGCCCAGATTGGGTGCCGACCGGCCAGGACTGGGACTTGGGGATGGAGCCCATGGTGAGAGGGTAGGCCAGGTCAATGCGGCGTCTCAGCCGTCGCTTCCTCTGGGTCTGACGGTTCATCTGGCACATGCTGGTGAAGTCCACGATATAGCAGAAGCCCAGGGAGGTCAGGTCCAGCCAGGGGTGCTGCTTCTCGTAGGCATTCTGGATAGTGATGCAGATGTCCATGTCATAAGCCGTCCACAGCCCGCTATCATTCTCCCACTCCCACACGATGCCCTTCCCCGGGGCCGAAGATGGGTCGTAAAAGTTCCGACGGACTGGCCTCATGGTCCCTGGGGAGGTGGGGGGGGAGGGAGAAGAGGATACTCATGTTATTGATGGAGTCCCGTAGTGTAGAGGTCAGAACACTCACCTCGCAAGCGATAGGTCCCGGGTTAGATTTTCCCGGCCGGGCAAAACCTTAGGCAAGTTTCCTTATTCCCCTGCTCTTTCCCCTACTGCAGCTCTCTTGTCTATAATCCCATTCCTCTGCTTTCCCCCACCATTCCTGTGTTACGTCTGTGCTGTGACTCGTTCCCCTTTCTCTCTGTGCTGTAATCCCGTAGCGTAATGGTTAGCGTACTGTAGTGGAGTGCTATAGCGTAGTGGTTAGTGCGTTCGCCTCGGAAGCGAGAGGACCCAGGTTTGATTTCCCCAGGCAGGGCGATACCTTAGGCAAGTTTCCTTACTCCACACACCTCTGTTTACCTCGCAGTAAGTAGGAACCCGGGTGTTAGTTGATTGGAAAGATTGTTGGAATGGAATGCGTGCTCTTCTCCCTAGAAGGGAGGCATCCTGCTTACCTAATTCCGGAAAGCACTAGGTGAACGTTGGCAAGAGCGAAGGCTTTGGGGGACCCTAGAATGTGTGTTGGGGGTAACTGCTGGAGGAGTCCAACCAGCTAAAACCGCATAGCTTGCCATTGAGAGCACTGGCTGGCAAGCTTTCCTGCTGCTTGTCCAGCTCGGACCACCATACCCGTTTGGGCTTTGGCTTGCAGGGTTAACAGGAGCTGAGTGGGAAGGTTCCCTGCCCCCAGCGACTGGTCTGCTCTTCCAAGTCCTGCCGATGAGCCCGGCTGTCACTGATGTCCCAGCCAACACAGACTTCGCACAAGCTGCCTTGCACATTAGCCTTCAACCGTTTCCCCTCAAAACTCAGAGAAACACATCCTGTTGCCTTCAGTCCCACACCAGAGACTCTGCCTTGCTCCAGCTGTCCATAGCTTCTCCCCCATGCCAAGATAAATAAACCGGTGCGGGGGGGGGGGGAGAAATGGAAAGTGTTGGAACAGCCTGCTCCGGACATCAGTAACACAATCTGCCTTCCGCGCACACACACACACACACGCTCTCACACACACACGCTCTCACACACACACACACACGCTCTCACACACACACACACGCTCTCACACACACACACACGCTCTCACACACACACACACGCTCTCACACACACACACACACGCTCTCACACACACACACACACACGCTCTCACACACACACACACACACGCTCTCACACACACACACACACGCTCTCACACACACACACACACGCTCTCACACACACACACACACGCTCTCACACATTCACTCACTCACACATATTCACCCACAAATACAAAACCAGACACACACATACACAGAAAGATAGACACACACATACACACAGAGCCAGACACGCACTCAGAGCCAGACACCAGACACGTACTCACACACACACACACGCACACACACACACGGCACACAGGCACGTGCACTCACGCATTCATCACACGCAGACACATTCACACACCCACACAAGCCCATTATTACTCAGTGAAGTTACCACACTGTGCGTGCAAAAAAAAACTAACCCGCTTGAACTCAACAGAGATTAAAAAGGAAAAGGGCAAGATGATAAATTCTCAAGGACGCTGCAAAAACAATGTGACACTTAATTAAAAGGTAATTAATTGCCCCGAAGCACAGCCGAATGACCCTGGAAATGTGACCTGTATTGTGTACAGGAAGAGACTCCTGCTCTCTCCCTCCTTCTCCCCTTCTCTCCATCCTTCTCCTTCCCTCTCACTCTCTGACACACGAGGAGAGGGAGTGAGGGAGGAGAAGGGGGTGGGGCGGGGGGTCTGAGCAGAGAAGGAGGGAGCGAGGGAAGGAATGAGAGGGAGAGAGGGGAGGAGGGAGTGAACGAGGGAGAGGGGGAGAACGAGGGAGAGAGGGAGAAAGAGGGAAGGGGAGAGAGTGGTACGGGAAGAGAGAGAGAGAGAGAGAGAGAGAGGAGGAACGAGGAGAGAAAGGGAGTGAGGGAAAGAGTGAGCGAGGGAAAGAGTGAGCGAGGGAGAGAGAGGGGGAGGGAGGGACAGGTAACACTGAGCTGTCAAGTTAACGCTAAGTGTTCTATTGGGAAGCCAACCTTTGTCTATAGGAAACAGGCCTTGGCATCTGTGACTGTGGGATTTTCCAAGAGGTAGAAAAGGGCATTGTTATTGTCAGTGTCAAAGGAAAGTGTGGTTTAAAGCTCCCCCGGTCTGTATAACCCACGGCAAAAAAGCAAACAAAAGGTCACGCTCCTCACATTCACTGTTTCTGTCTCTACATAACAGCACTGTCATCACTCCATTCCCGGCCTTTTGATGTGGTTGGAAGGGTATGAACATGGAACGTTTCTTAAAGGGATTTCTTATTAATCATCTGCGATTACTATTAATCAGAATCCATGCCTCTGCATTTGGCCTGAGGGTGAAGAAGATAATCCCTGCATCCAATACAGACATTTTATCGCGACTCAAAGTCTCAAAGCGTTTGGAGTCCTGTAACGCACTGGTTAGCACGTTCGCCTCGCAAGCGAGAGGACACAGGTTCGATTCCTGGTTGGGGCGAAACCTTAGGCACGTTTCCTTACTCCACACACCTCTGTTTACCTAGCAGTAAATAGGCTCCCGGTTATTGGTCGATTGGCAGATCGCTTTCTGGGGATAATAATCATAATAAAACAATTTGGTCACTCAATCCATGACTGTTTGTGAGACACTGCTGAAGCGTCAGCCTGAACTGTGAGCTTAGTTGACTAAGTTCCAGGCTCAGATCAGCTCTTTTCCCTCTGGGAAAAATCAGGATGCTCCGAGTCCTTCCCCTCCCAGGAGCATTTCATTTGGATTTCTTAACTGGAAAATATTTTATTGATAATAATAATAATTCCTGCGCATGGTACGGCTTCAAATCACGTCTTAAAATGCTTTCCAGAGTTTCATCGCAAAGTAGTGCGACTAACGCTTGCACACATGCAGACACACACATGCAGACGCACAGGCAGACACACACACATACAAGACACACATACGCAGACACACACACACAGACACAGAAACACACATGCAGACACACACACACATGCCCAGACATACACATGTACAGACAATCACAGAGAGAGACACACAGGCACAACACACAAACAGACGAGAAAGCTTGTTTCACTGATATATGAAACAAAGCAAGTCAGTGGTATGACATTTGCGCCCACACGATCAACCACGTCTGTTTCAGAGAAACAAATATATGAAGGGCCTTTTCCGATTCCACAAACTGTCCACATCCGCCCCAGTCAGACTGTGCTCTGTGGTTCAGGAGGCTGTTTACTGGATGCTGTTTTTTTTAACAAAAAGATATATTTATTTTTCTCTCAATCAACAGATTTTGGTTTTGATAACAATAACTTGCATTTACACTGTGTCCGAGAGCATTTGGTTGTGATGGTTGATTAAAGAGAAACCTGGGTCGGAAGTGAGATTAGAGAGATGCTTCTGTTTTTTTGGCCGAAAGTAGGTATGACCAGTCATAGCATTAAGACAGGACATTTCAAAGCACTTCACAGAAAAGTGTAGGGACTGGGTCCTTTGTAGGAAAATGCAGCAGCCAACTTGAGCACAGCAACGTCCCGCCAACATCCATGACCAATGTTATATCTCGGGGATTGTCGACTAGGGAACAGCGAGAGATACTCCCTTCTCTTTTCCAATAACGTCACGTGGATCTTTAACGTCCAATCCTAGAGACAGACTTGGTTTAACGTCGCATCCGAAGGACAGAGCATCCGACATTGCAGCTGTCGATTTCACCCTCTGTGTGAATACGCCTCAACTTCCACCTCTTTGACCGTGCTTCGCCATCACCTTTCCCCTCCCCCTCTAACGTCTTATCTGAAATGATGGGAAACAGAGTGGAAACTGACAGCATCTCTGCGCACACACACACACACGCACACGCGCACACCATGCGCTTGGGCAAGACGCATATAGCTGGGATTTTGGGTTGCCGTAGCGACGGGCCAGTACTGTTTCCTCACACACTGTGGCCGTCAACCCACAGACTGAGATGGCTCCCCTGCCTCTCCACTGTTTACCTTTCACATCCGTCCGTCTACCTGTTGGCTGTGTCTGTGTGCGTGTCCAAAGCCCGCGCTGTGTCACTGAAGGGAAACCCCAGGGTCTGCACCCCACGAGGGGCTGAGATTACTGTACAAAACGAGTGTGAGGATTGAGTAACCAAATTACTATTATTATTTTGATTATTTATTTACTTTTTGAAGGGATTATTAACCCCAGAAAAGCAATCCTCCAACCAACTAACAACCGGATTTTGCCCTATGTTTCGCTCTGAGTGAGAATCAAACCCGGATCCTCTTGGCTGAGAGATGAGTGCTCTAACCACTAAGCCACAGGACCCCACGACTTGGTCTCGGCTGGGGGATTTTTCCCCCAGCGGTCCTGTTTCCCCCTCACCCACCCCCGGGGTCGATGTAAAGAACTAATTCTTTACACACGCAGACACAACAGCTGGTTTAGGTCCAATCCTGGCAACCATCCTGCAGCTTAAGGGCAAACAAATGTTTATAATAATTATTGCATTTGATTCAGCGCCTTATCACGTCACTGAGACATCTCAATGCATTTCACAGAATACATATCGCAAAGTGAATTGACTGGGTATTTTATGGGCGAAACGCGGCCGCCAGTTGAGCACAGCAATGTCCCACAAACAGTCGTGGATTTTTTGGGGAGGGATTATTGAAATCCGCCAATCGACCAACAACAACAACGACAACAACAACTTAGATTAATATAGTGCCCTCTACGCCGGACGGCGACTCAGAGCGCTTCACGGTAACGGATCCTGGGGCCGAGCCAGGGGGAGGGGGGAGGAAGGTGACCGAAGGCGCGGTCGAAAAGAAAGACCAACAACCTACTTACAGCTAGCTAAAAGAGGCGCATGGAATAAGGAAACTTGTCTAA